ATGAAGAAGTCGGAACGACCAAACGATGGAAGGCGACCGTACAGCAGCCAGGTTGATAGCTGCCGTAGCCACGATGTCTCTGCGACTTTGCTCAGACCCCGGGCAGTCTCTTCAATGTCCGGATAGCCTGTCTGTCCCTCGCTTCGCAGCTTGTCGATGACGGCAGCTCCAGAGGCAGCCTTTCCAATCATCATTTCGAACTTCGCAGGAACGTCCGAGGGCAACATGTAGTTGCTGATATCCCGTAGCCATTCCATCACCCTGGTCCATTCCGAGAACTCGCTCACTATCCCAGCCAGTGGTACGATGTTGTATGCACCCACGATGGAAGCATCTTGTTTCAAGACACGGCTTTCGACTTCCAGTACCTTGCATTGGAACCGTTCGAGATGGTAAGAGGTAATCGAAGTAGCGACCGCCCTGCAGATGACTGAGGGATGTGACGCGGCGATTCTAGCGACATGATCGCGTGTGCTTCGATGCAGACGCGACAGATGACCGATTGAAGATAGCAGCTCTGCTTCGGGCGGTGACAGTAGGCGACGCGCAGTTGCCGTCACGTGGTCCGGGGCATCGAACAGCGCCGATGGGTGTCCGGAGAGCGAGAGGAGGATTTCGTGGAGCATGGTCGCGGCGCTGACAGGTCGCTGGGTGCGCGGAACCGTTTCTTCCGTGCCGCCAGTCGCTCGAAAAAAACAATGATCAAGCTCAAGAGCTCGAAGCGACACATTGAACGCGTCGCGCTGCGCGCATTGCTCGATGCGGAGGGAATGAGTGGGCTCGGATTGTCAACAAGTGCCCGCGCTAGCGGCAAGCTCATGCACCGGGCGGGCGTGACCAACCTGGGGAGGGGTGATTCGACTCTTCAACAGACAATACCACGTCATGCATCTACTGACTGCACGCCAATATTGACCACCATTTCCTGTGCGCAGAGCGAAGACACGATAAATTCGTGTCATCTGGCGTAGCAGCCCTCAGCTGTCTGGCAGCACCAGCGCATCGCTGCTGTCCGGTGGATTCATCTCGTCTCTCAACCTGTGCTTTTTCGGGCATACACAAGATGGTCGCACCACCACAAGTACCAATGCATATCTTACTACAGGCAACGTAGTTAATCGAATTCCAAAGGAACTCGGGGGTCTGCCCTCCACTGAAACAATTCTAGTCTCCCACAGGGAGTTCTACACAAAGGCAGTCGTGCAGCCGTGCGATACATCTGACTATTGGTTCCACGAGACTGCCCAGGTGTTGTGCATTTATGCTGTTCTTGTGATAGGAGCTTCGATAAGAACTGAGGATATTAACTCAGGAAGGGGCACGGCTCACACATCTCCTAATGCATCAGACTGTTTCTGATCCATCACATCGCATCATCACAATTGTTCAGACAATGGGTTTGCTTCCGATAGGTTGTTCCCTCACGGGTGCAACAACACGATGCACTGCTACACCCGTTTGGTGCGAGTACCATCAGTGCGACATTTCCCCTTGAAGATCAATGTTAACAGTCACGATATCAGGGCGCGCTGGCAAGGACTACATCTGAACTCTTCTCTAGTCCTCTATCTTCTCGAAGCTCTTTTTGGTCATCCGGCAGCATGAACGCTCTCGATTTCTTAGTCGACTTTGCAGCCCAGGTTAGCACATCAGAAGCTTCAAGACCAGGTTTTGATGGGGGAAACGTCAACCACAAACTCGACACTACGCGCATCAAAGCACAATCTGCATCAGACATGCGCATCCCCATCTCGGAGGAATCCTTTCATGTCGACGGAAGGCGACCTGTGGAGACGATCCAACTTCAGTCCAGCATGGCACCATCTTCATCTCAGCAGAATTTCCCAGCCCACGTGGTGAACCGCCCGTTCTTGACCGCCCACCGCCACGACCCATACGAGGAGTCCCTCGCAATTTCTCCAGTGCCTCGCATGGTTCAATCTTTCGATCAATTCCTATATGAGCATCCGGGCCTTGGTCTTCCTCGAGTGACTCTCGATGAGATGGGTTACGACTGTTGCGACTGCGAGAGACTCCACGATTGGGGTTTGGGCTACGAGGCGAACTATTCGCTACCTGCAGAGCCAACATCATGGCTTCACGTTCAGCCACAATATTGCGTACCGAATCACGATGCGAGGTATTTGGAAACCCAGTACACGCTACCAGCGCAAGCAGTGTCAACGCAGCCATCGCAGTGTATGAACGCAAATTGCCATTGCCAATACCCTCGGCCCCATGATTCTGTTGATAGTAACATCCCCGCGTCTTCAATGCACATCTGTGGGCCCCACGCATATATTCACGATAAGAACACCTCGAAAGACGATGACGAGTGGCTGTGGGTGAGCGCTGGAAGAGTTAACGAAATGAGCCAGTTTTGATGGCTGTGAATCAAGCAACGGTGATTCAGTTACCCTAAATCGTTTTGGTCCTTTGAACGTAAGGTTCGTTAAGTATGTAGTTGCGTAGTAGGACTCTCATGGCCTGCGATGATGGAATCTGATGACGTCGCTTTGTGATATTGATCTTATCTGCCATGTGGTATTGCATCTCTCCAGAAGCACTTCATTCAATTCAACTGTGGGCTCTTGGTTAGCATTCCAGAGACGCCATGTGACTCTGCTCGGATCACCCACCTGTTTTCACAAACAATGTATCACGCGATGTCGCAGCGTAAAGCCTGGGTTCTACAAACGTCTTGTAGCGTAAAAGCTGACATCTCCCCCGGCTAGTCCTCCCTCCCCTTTAATCCGAACTTATCCATCTCTTCCTATCATGGCAAACAATCAGATCACGCTCGAAGTATCCGGTCGCAAATTTCGTACGTCCAAATCAGTCCTCTCGGTCTCGCCTTATTTTGAGGGTCTACTCAATCGCTGGGAAGACGGCGCAGACCTCCAGGCCGACGGCTCGTACTGCGTCGACGCGGATGCGAATACATTCGAGCATCTACTCAGCTTTATGCGTCGGCCTTCCAGGTTTCCGCTCTACTGGACGAGGAAAGACGGCTTCGACTATGCTCTCTACAGCCGGGTCGAGGCAGAGGCGGATTACTTCATGTTGGAGGGGCTGCGGAATTGGATCAAGCAGCGCAAGTACCTGCAAGCAGTGGTGACAGTCTCACGTATCGACAGTGCTATGAAAGACCAGAGACTAGTTGGCGATGTAGTTATCGAGAAATATGTCGTCAGGAAGGCTGGGCATGTTCTCTGCCCATTGGCATGGCACCATGACGTCAGGAATGACTGTTGGCGCGACGAAGACTGCAGAAAAGCGATGATGGCCAACGGGTTGCCAATGAGTAGCGCACAAGATGAGCTCCTCGTCGCCGTCACGGAGTTCCACTTCAACAATGAGATCTTGGTCAATGACAGTCTATAAAGCTATTGGGCACTAGGCAGTGCAACATGGAAAAACTTGGGTCAAAGAATTGTACCCTGGCGTTCATCTCTTTCGTCGATATTTTTTTTAGCTCTCAAGGTTGAGTGGACATTATGTTCTCTACTAGCAGATCACAGACGTGGCTGCTTTGCGTCGAGATCAGGCCTTCGTTATGACGTCGACATTAAAGTTTGCGCATAGCACCTCGAGCCACGATTATTTTCCCAAGAAATAAACAAAATGCGCAAAATATTGCTAAAGGCATTCCCGCTCAGGTTCAAAAGTGACAAATCAGTGTAGTTGTGGATCCTCGCGGATGTAGTCTTTCCCATGCGCAATGATGCATAAGCGCCACATGTTAGCGTCAACGATATCCATCGATACATGAACGGCCAAGTATCCATGCACAACATTCTTCTACGTTCTCATATTGATTGCACATTATCCTACACAGAAACAACAGGCATCTCCAAAAAGTACTTTGCTCACCCAACAACATGGCGACCCAATCCGCAATCAACTGGCCATCGCACTTCCTCCCGGGCACAACCGACAACTTCGTCTCCAACGAGCGCATCGCCAAAGACTTAACCAGCACACAAATCTGGGCCCTACTAGCCAACATCTCAAAATGGGAGTCCTACTACAAGAACTGCGCTCAAATCACTCCTCCGTCATCCGACAGCACCTTCCTGCACAAAGGCGACGTCTTCAAGTTCAGCACTTTTGGATTCCCGCCGCTTACCTGCACGGTCGAAGAGTCGGAGCCGCCGGAGAGTAACGGGCGCGCGGGTAGATTGGCGTGGAGCTCTAAGACGCCGGATGGGCTGGAAATTTACCATGCGTGGGTTGTGGAGGATCTGGAGGGGCAAAGGGTGAGGATTTTGACGCAGGAGAGTCAGATTGGGCAGATTTTCAGGGATTGGGAGGAGCAGAAGCCGAACAAGATGCTTCTAGGACACCAAGATTGGCTGGACGGGCTGATCACTGCAGCGAGTGGCAAGCAGGTTGGAGGAACAAATCTTGAAGCCGTCAACTTTCCGGTGAGGGAATTAGATGCATAGTCTTATATTTCCAAGCAGAAGAAGAGTAGTTCGCCATCACAAGAACAGCAGGGTAAAGCAGTATGAAGTTTCAGAAGTATTATTAGCAGTACACGAAGTCCTCTATCGTCATCCCATTTCCGCATCCACGAGGTCATGGCCCGTCGTAGCTGTCAATACCCATACTCGCGTCCTGACGCCGGTCATGGCAAGGAGATGAACGAAGGTCTAAGGAAAGAAAAACATGCTGACCCCGAAAGTGATGTCGCGCCAAAGCAAGAATGGAGGACTTGGAGTCCAGTGGAAGAAAGATCGGGAGTACACTGCCTCCCAAGAAAAGCGACCCTGTGATCCACTCAAACCGTTGTGGTACAAGATGCCGCGCTATATACTGCTGTTGAAGGAGAAGAAGAGTGAAATGGTGTGCTGCGATGAGAACAGTACGTAGAGTAACCAGGTGAAGCACTTCGAGGAGCTATCAGACATTCGTGTACTTGTGTGGCGACAGTGCTCGAACGAGGAGAACATTCCTTGTAGCAGTGGTTGGAGCTAGTGGGGGACTGTGGACGACACTTAGGCCGTTGCAACCTTAGCCCAGGTTGTAGCTGTGTGAGCTGGGGATGAGCGAGGAGCATTGTTGTTGCTGGTGGACCAAGTCTTGGGAGCAGACGGGCGTGAAGCGCTGTTGTTGTAAGAACGATCTGTCTGGCTTTGGTGCGAGGGCTTGCGCGGGCGATCCTTCGCACTGTTGGTAGAAGTGGTGCTCGGCGTACCCGTCGCTTTGGGTTTCGGTTGCCTGTTGAGTTTTGGACCGTAGTGCTTCCTCTGCACTGACTTGGTGACAGGCTGACGCATGTTCGCGAGGCGCACAACAACGTCGAACTTCAGCCTGTTCTGTGTCGTCTTCTCAATGTCGAATGCCTCCAGGCGGCGAATGGTGAACGGGTTCTCCAATTTCTTGTGCCTCGGGTGCTGCTCATCTCTAGGCGCGGCCTTGGGTGGTTGATTGGCTGCGAGGTGCGGAACCTTGGACAATTTGACGGTGGGCAGCGAACCGAACTCTCTGTCTTCGAACAGAGCCTCAGTATCACCACGAGTGACAGCCTCTGCACCACGATCATCTGCAAAGATTCTCGTCTGAGACGCGCTGGGCAATGACACAGTTGCAGGACCAGTATTTCCTCGAACGTCTAGCGAAGCCTTGGACAAGGCAGCCGGGGCGACCGCGCCTTGCTGTGGAGTAGCGACCGGCAGCATTGGAGACGTGCTTGGATGGGCTGATGGACGGTTGGAACCTGGCTTGTCGAGGAGCTTATTAAACCTTGCCTGCCACTCCGGGTTCATTGCGAGAGGTCTGGCGCCTAGAGCTTGGCCGCGCGACGGCATGTTCACGTGAGAAGCAGCGGCCGTACCGTTGCCAGCTGCCGACGGTGGAAGTCGCACGACAGGCGAGGGCTTCGGCAGTCTCACCAATGGGTGACCGGCTTCACTGCTGAAAGCAGGGTGTGTCTCTGTCTCGGGAGGCGGAGGAGGTGAGTCTGCTTTACTTGACACAAAGGTCGACGGAGACGCCGTCGCCTCTGTTGAGGTCTCAGTCGCACGAGGGAAGAAGCGCGATGCGCGAGGACCAGTAGCCTGCTGGAGAGGGCCTTGAGTCAGACCTTGCTGAGGCGACGAACCTTCAACCAAAGGCTTCGTAGTATCGTCCTTTTTCAATGCCTCGGCAAGAGCCAGTTCGGCGGCGACCTTGTCATGCAGCGTCACTTGTGCTTGCCCACGTTGATCTTTGTATACCTCTCGAAGCTCGGGACGGAATTCGCCCTGGCGTTCTCTATCTTGAGCATTCTTCGCTGCGAGGTCCTGGTCATCCTTTTTGATAAGTTCACCAAATGTATCCCAACCGCCGCCAGTGACGTTCCTTGGGGGTGGTCTAGCCGCCCGAGCCGCCGCAGCGTTTTGGACGCGCGAAGATCGCTGGGCGTACATGGGTTGCGAAGGTGGCATCTGTCTTGCTGGGTGTGAAGTCAAAGCCTGAGGAGCTAGGCCAGTGCCAATGGGAGCTGTCGCGGCAGGTGGCTGAACAGGAAGTTGCTGCTGGGCACCAGGGCGAGATTGGCCTCTGTAATCGGAGTCGAAGGTACCGTTACCAAGAGCTCGATCTTTTGCGCCGGGAGGACCCCAAACTTGTGATGTCCAAGGTCTGGGTTGAGGTGCTGTAGAAGAAGACTGCGACCAGGTCGGAGGTGCCTGCGGCCTAGGCCCAGAAGGGATAGCGCCGTCTGATTGGTGAGCGATCGCTTGAGATTGTTCAGTTGACAGCCGAGACTTTTCGTTGTCACGAGTGAAGGCGTCAAACGGCGGCGTCGATTGCTGGTTAAGTGATGAAGGAGCAGTCACCGGTGAGGGATTTACTTGAGCATGGCTCGCCTGAGGCGATCTTTTCACCGGGTGAGACTGATGGACCTTCATCATACCATACTGTGTAACCTCACCCTCGGCAGTCGGTACAGGTGGCTTTGGCGGTGATTGCAATGGCGCAGGAGCAGCCTTGTCTTTCTGTGGGGACTGCTCTGGGCGGGTAGGCGACTGATCCTTGTTTTTGGGCTTGGGTTCAGGCGGTCCCATAGCGGCCAGCTTCTTAGCAAGACGTTCTTTCCTCTCTGCCTCTGCCTGCTTCTCGGCTTCCGCATCCTGCTGTTTCTTGAGACGAGCACGCTCGATCTTTTCAGCCATCAAACGTTTCTGTACCTCGACTGGGTTCTCTGCCGGTGGTGCTGGTGTAGGCGCCGGTACATCTTGTACAGCTGAGGTTACTGAGCCATAGGGTGAAGCCGGGTGTGCATGAGGAACGTTCGGAGACTTCATCTGCTGGAATGGCGATTGTCTGGCGGCTGCAGGATCCGAAGGGTCCACACCGTTGATCGAGTGTGATTCGCGTCGCTCCATGTTCATGGGACCAGTAGGCATGTCTACGCCCCGTGGGTCCATCGACATGCGCCTAGGCATAGTTCCACTCACGTTGGACGAGTTCCTCCTCCTGCCCCAAGTAGGACCATCCGCGCTTGCCCTTGACGTCTGGAACGCCGCTGAAGGCTCTGCTGGGCCGCCGTCCTGAGAAGGCCTCTGTAACACAGCGGACGGCTGCTGCCGGTAACCACCACCAGCATCTCGACCAGAACCCCGCCGCATGTCATTGTGTACAGGCTCATAACGACCACTCTGTGAATTGAACAATTCCCGGCCGTCTCGAGTATCTCGGCCGCCGCTTTCGTTGCGCCAGTTGCGATTAAAGTCATCTGGGGCGATCTCCTTCGCGGGAGGTGGGGGCATGGAGTCGTAACCATAGGAATCACGCTGTGAGTAGCGCTGTGGGGGCGGTTGCTGCGCAGGGGGATTGATTTGGATCGGCGACACCTTCTCGACTGGAGGCAGGGGCGCCCATGGTGACTTCTTCTCGGTTGCTGATGGCTTGGCCACTAGAGTTGGTCTCTCTGGCTGACCCTTGAGGACCAGACTTGACTTTCCAGTAGTAGGCTGCGTGTGCGCACCAGGCTTCAAGATAGTTTTGGCACCACCAGTGACGCTCAATTTGGGCGCGTTCGTAGCTGGAGCCGGGGACGTAGTAGGCTTGGGTGCTTCGGCGGGCGTCTCAGGCTTGAGAATAGTCTTGGGCTCTTCGGCAGGCGGTGGCTGCGTCTCCGGTGGCACCGCAACTGAGGACTTGGTTCCATCCATCCATTGCACTGCTTCCGGGGTCCAGTCTTCCTCGTCATCGTCAATGTCTGCCCACTTGGCCTCCTTGCCTCCTTCATCAGCTTGTAGGCGTGTTGCAAGGTGTATGCCGTACTGCTGCTTCAGTTCTTCGTCGGTGAAGGTTTTGGGCGGTGGAGTTGGGACGGGCTGGTTCTTATTCCAGACTTTGCTCGCATCTGGACCTGCACCTGCGCCATTGGTCTGTCCCAGCGCACGCGGGGCGTTGCCAGCGCCGGATTTCGCTACGAGGCGGGGCTTCGCGGTGAGAATCGACGTCTTGGGCGGGGCTGCCGGGGCTGCTTTCTCCCCCGGTCGTGCAGCAGGCGTGGTCGGAACGGTCTTGGCCAGAAAGCTCTTCGTCACAGACACTGACTTGAACGGCTGTTTCTTGGCTGCTGAGTTGGTCCGCACGTGAACTCCGTCGCGCTTGGACTGGTCGACGCTTCCTGGGCGGCTGATGTCGGTATCTGAGCCACCACTGGCATCTGCTACGGCTTGCGACTCCGCCGCCAGATGTTCGCTCGAGAAGCCATTGAGGTGGGGCTGTTTGGAATCGTGCCGTGATGCATCCGACTGCTTGTTCTCGCCCTGCTACTATTAACACCACGTCCGCATGCCTCTTCCTCGCTACTTACAGCTGCCACATCTCCATCGGCCTTGTCTGACACGTGTGCACTACCAGTGGCGGGTGCACCTGTGCCGTTCACAGTGGGTTTCGTAGGAGACGCTTCTCGTGGGGTCGGTTTCGTGGTCGCTGTGCCCGAGGGCGGTTCGCCGTTGACGGCGGGGGTGTTGGTAGTTGACGCAGAGTCGTCGATGGGCGCAGAACGACCCACCGACTGTGCTTCCTTTACCACATCGTTGGCAACCTGCTCTGCCATAACAGTTTCCGGAACTGAAGTGGCGCAAGACTCAATGTCAGAAAGATGTTCTTGGTCTGATCCAAACAAGGACGTGGGCGTGAGCGGCGCCGACTGCTGCGAGTTGAGCCCGGCCGGACGCCCGCTGTCCTCCACATGCGACATGGGAGCTAAGAAAAGTTGGGGATAATCACCTAATGTCAGATGCTACAAGTCGCCACGGATGTCGAGTCGGCGCTTCCGCAGAGTTGCTATCTGCAAGTTGCTGAGGTGACGCGGCGAGTGCGGAGGTTTCGGAGTGTTTCGCTGGATGGATGCGCGGGCTGGAGGCAGTCGCGAACACGTGCTGGGTCGCGCTGATTCACCGAACGGCGTGGAGTCGCGCTCGGGAGGGGGCGGCGTGAAAGAAGGGGCCCTTTCGTGGTGGGGCGGACTGCGGGTGTGGATGGGTGTATAGGAGGTTGAGGCGGGTAGCTTGAGTAGCCACGATGGTGAGAGGCGCTAGTCTTGGCACACGCCTGGGGTCCTCTTTGTATCGATTCTGACATCTGGAATGCCCTGGGAGCTATGCGTCACACGGCTGCAGCGACAATCACGACTCACGCCTGAGCTGCGGAGGTGCGGGCCGGACGAAGCCTGCTGGGAAGACTGGTCGACAGACTGCTACTGACACATGCTCACACCATGCACGTGAGGTTCTTTGACATGTGCATTTTCAGAAACGAGACGACAAGACCCACTACATTTCCGTAGCACTGCACATGATGTACTACCTTATCCTCGCCCGGGATGACGTTGTCGGCCCCATGAGAGCTGACCAGGCCTCCGCCACTGCACACGTGTGAATGTTGACAAAGAAAAGAGCAGAGTCATTTGCATGATAGGAGAAGAGACTGTCTTGGCTAGATGTTTGATTCACCAACTACACTTTACATATACACATCCGGTCTATTCGCCCGTGACGATGCAGCGCATTCAGAGGATCCGCTTAGTGCTCGTTGTTCTTGTGGTGGCCTGCGAGTGGTGAGTCACATCATCTCGTCAGCGCATCTGATTCGACTTACGGAGATGGAAGTAGTAGTTCTGCGCGTAGCCGATGGCGATCAGGAAGCCAATGACGTGAACGAGGGCTGTACAGGGTCAGTCTGGTGCTCCCATCCGATCTCGCAGGCTCAAGGACAGCGCTCGCACAGTCTCCTGCCCCGCCGGGTGCACTCACGCCTTGCTGAAGGGTTCTTGCCCATGTACTTCTTCTGGTAGCGTCCGAGAAGACCCTTGGCCTCGGGCTCGGGAGCTGGGCCACGGGGCAGCTTCTCGTAGAAGCTCACGACCTTCTGCATGCGGACAGCATTGGGGGAGGAGCCGATAGCCTGTTTGGTACATCAGCCCTGGTCTGGAATCGCCATTTTGAGAGTCGTCGGGATGCGCCAGGGTTCGCAGTCGGGGTGCTGCGACTGTGGAGGCGTTTGCGGTGGGCCGAAAGTTGCGCGTATGCGATTGCGGGGGTTCGAAGGCGTGCTAGGATAGCGTTTGGAGGACTCTTACATTGGGAGAAGCAATCTAGAGAGCATTGTCAGTGCCATGCGCGGTCCGAGGGGCAGACAGAAGCCGTACCTTGGGGGGGATGAGGGTCGAGAGACCGCGCTTTTGCATGAAGCTCATCTTGACGGCTGCGGGCCAGTTAGCATCAATTGCACTCTCTCTGCGTGGCGGATCGGTTCGGGCGACGTACCAGGGCGGGCAAGACGATGGAGTGGAGATGGAGGTCGTGCGGTCGGTGGTGAGGTTCGAGGAAGAAAGCTGCAGGACGGATTATGCCGGCGCCTTCGCCAAGCAACCACCCCAGCTTCATCCCATTGCATCGACATCACCAGCATTCCCGCCCGCCACGCCGACGACACAACCACCATGGCTGCCCTACCGAGGACAATTGCACCGCGACTGCTCGCCCCCGCCCTGCGGCCCTCCGCGACGAGGGTCATCGCCCCCTCCTTCCGCACCTATGCGACCAACGAGCCCACCCCCCACGGCCACAAGACGAGCTCCGAAGATGCGCCCGCCGTCAAACTCACGAGCGAGTCCACCCAGATCCGCGAGGAAAACGCCGCAGAGGGCATGAGGCACCAGCCAGACTACAATGTCGCCATTGACTACCGGACCTCGTGCGTCAACCGTGGACTAGGATAAGGCGGCATATGGCTAACATGTCCCCAGCAACTTCTCCCCGGTTCCCAAGCGCGTCATGGATGGCAGCGAGCCCGGTGACAGTGTTGCGGCTGCCGTTCTCTCCGGCGCCCCCACCGACCTCCAGGCGCGTACTGTTCGGTACAAGACATCCTTCACCCGACGTCGGCCTTGATACTAACTGTTCCCAGCATCTACAAGCCCTCCAAGACCGCCACACAATCCGGCGACTGGAACGCTTCGCACTGGCTGATGGACTGGGACGTCCTCCCCAAGGGCCACCGATGGGAGAACCCGCTCATGGGCTGGCAGTCGTCTGCCGACTTCATGAACGGCCACCGGATACAGTTCAAGTCCAAGGAGGATGCCATCAAATTTGCTAACAAGCAAGGCTACGAATACTTTGTCCAGGAACCCAACAAGCGGAAGACCGTCCCCAAGGCATATGCCAACTTGTTCAGTCACAGCCCAAAGAAGCTCAAGATCATAACAACCAAGTAAGAGTTGGATTTGGCCAGGCGCGAAACAGCACGTGTACATACTGCATTGAATTACATTTTCAAGATATTTTCCTCCTGGATGCCCTGTATGTTGATGTTGATGTTCGAGCGTCCCGCATGTTGCCTGGCCGCCGCAACACCGCTCTTCCTGACGCGTTTGCAATTTCCTTGTGGTCTGAAAACTGCACCGGGCCGTCGTAATCCCCATTGACGGCGACTTTAACGAGGCAAACGCACACAGCCGCTAGCCATATATCAGTCTTTTCTGCCCCTCCGTCTCCGTCTCTCCTTCATGAACACCGTCACCGTTGCCGAACCTCTTTGTGCAGCCATGTCTTCTTCACCGGGACTCAAGGTGAAGGGCAGTAGCCCCAGACTGCCCTTCACCTCTGCGCTAACAAAAGCTAGAAGCTATATACAAACTTTTGAGCTTTCGTCTTGGTTCTCCAACCACCAAACTCCCATCACTAGTCAGTATATCGTACGGCTTCAGCGTATCTTTTGCTAATGGCGATCAGCCACACCAGATTACGCAGCAGTCAGCAAAGCACTCCACCACCTCACCAACCAGCCAGTGAAAATGGGTCGAGCAGGGTACGAAACTACCTACGTCTGCAACGACAAGGACTCTGCGGCGGCAGACGCAATTGCCATGCACGAGGTCAAGAGGGCCGAGGCAGCCGTAAGTATCTCATCACCTCCTGACACTACCATGGCACTAACGTACAACAGAAGATCGCGGCCATCGAGGCTGCTGAGGCTGCAGAAGCCAAATTCATCAGGAGCAAGAAGTCTCGTGGAATCGTGGCCGCACGCAAGGCCGCCAAGGACAAAGCCACCTCGCAGGCGGGTGCCTACGAGTCGGAGGGCGACTCAGACAAGACCACAAAGCCCTGACGACCGCGCACCACCAAGACACCTGCGGACGACCGTCTCTCCTCCGCTCATGGTACCCGTCTGGCGACAGTATAAAAGTTGGAACCTGATATTGAAAGAAAGATACCCAAGCTTGATCAAAGCTGGTGGCATCTGTCTGGCGGCATATCACATTTGAAACTTGATTTCTGGAGTAAGGAATGGCATTGCATTAAGATACCCAAGTCTAGTTTAGCACAATGAAAAGTCATGAATTCGTTACAGTCTATCTCATCACTCCACTCTAGTCTAGTAGTCTCCTCTCAACTATGCTCTGCCTCTTTGCCTTGACCGCAGCAGCTCCCTTGATTGCTGTCCTGGTGGCGTCGAAGAACTTGTTCGCCATCTTCTGTACACCCGTCTGCAAGTTGGGGTGTTCACCATCATCTGTGTCCTTGACTGCGTCGAAGTCGGCAAAGTTGTCAACGAAGTAGACCGGGCTCTTCACATTGCTCTTCTTAGGCATGTGCGTAGCCATGTAAGCGTTGAGGTCTTTGATGCCTTGAACGGCCTGGGCATTGAAGCGCGCGGGGTCCAATGGAAGGAGGTTAGAGACGACGATCTGCATGTTGGGATTCTTCTTCCGCATTTGTGCGATAAGAATGTCGTACGAAGCGATGATGTCGTTGATAGGCCTCTTGCCGATGAGGACATCGTTGGTGCCGAGGAGCATGAGAACGACATCCGGGGGGTTCTTGTCGAGCCAGCCAGGCAGTTGACTGTTCTTGACAATGTCGGCGGCTTGGAATCCGGGGTGACCTTCGTGATCCTGGTCGATGTTGGTCCCACTGCAGGTGCTCTTTTGGCCACCGACAAAGTCAAAGTTCGTCACACCTGCATCCCTAAGCTTGGTTTGGAGGTTGGCGCGCCAGCATCGCTTGAATGGGAGTCAGTGGATGGAAACTTGAAGTGAGGAAGGTGGGATACGTACCGAGACGATGGAAGCACCAAAGGGCATGACCTTGACTGTCTTTTGAGCGCAGACTTCGCTGGCAAGGGTGAGGAGCCCGAGGGCGAGGGCGGAGATCTTGACCATCTTGTATATGGATAATGTATAGAAGTGGTGAAGTTCTGGGGATTATTTCGTGGTTGTCTGAGTAGTTGACCAGTAATCAAGAACTCGAGAAGAGGAAGGCCGCGGTATTATATATTAATAGCAGCGCGCAGTCAAGCCGTCGGTTGTGGAATCCGTGCGCGTGGGAAGCCCCTCGTGCGTTGTGCCGTTTGTTATCGCGATGCCCGGTAAGGTCCAAAGCGTAAGGCGGCAGGAGCTTTGCGTGACCCGTGAAATGAGGCCAATGTATTTAGCAATCACCGAGTTCAAAGGGCCGTTATGATAGATTCCGCGAACGTGTAGATATTTATTCCGAAAAAGTATAGTGAGCCAGGGGGCGAAGCAATATAAGTTATGGATAGTTCGTAGCAGTAGTAGCAAAGTAAACCTTGAATGTTGCTTGCTTGTGATATCAACATCCAGGGATGTGAACCGGCACCTTATATCTAATTCCCAGACACAGTACGGTGCACGCTAGACTGATCAGACGACTGACGGCGGAGTAGACTGGCCGCTGTTTCCAGGCCTAAGCCCCACCCACCCCGCCCTTGCTCGTCGTCGCCTAGAGTCAAGAAACAAAAGGCCGGGTGCGGCGTACATGTGCTGGTCGCCGTGGAAGGAGGAAGCGGCTGTGCCTGGCTCAGGAAGGCTGGCTGTACCACCCCTGTCAAGACCGTATCGGGAATAGATGACGCTAGAGTAGTCAGAACGCTTGGTCGGTTTGGGGAGACGGGAGACTAGATTGTAGGTCCAGATTACACTGTGCCGCTCGGAGGGCTTTGCGTTGTTGGTGATGCGGTGAACGGTATGCGTCTCCCCATTCTATACGCTCGGTATCGAAGGACGTGAAGCCAGTCATGAACAACAACAACAAAGACAACACGCCGCAGTCACCCACGCCACAGCCAGTAGCAGGACCCGGTCGCAACGACTTTCGCGAGGTCTTCCAAATTGAGCCTACAGGGTCTCATAGGTCTAGCCTCTGCCGTCATAGAACCCTGCCGCGCGTGGAGCTTCCTAGCAATCTAACCATACGAGAAAGCTTGTCGGCAGATGAGCTTAAGATAGCTGCAGGGACCCTAAGCGTGCGAAAAAAACGGAGCACGAGCGCAACACTTCGCGAAGATGTGTTCAAGGGTAGGGTAGAAGGAATTCCTCCCATTGGTCTTTGCGACATTGCGCCGCTACCACTTTGCTGAAAACGAAAGAGCCAGGGTGGATTTGGAACACTTCTGCGGTCGACAGGAAACGTGCGTGACACTGTCCGTGACAGAACGGCCGCTCCGCGATGCGATGGCGGGGGTGGAAACCTACAATGACAGCTGATGACGGACTAGATTCCTAGAGACCGAATTTTCGAGGCAGGATTGCATCCAAGCGCCATCGTATTGAAGCAAGCTACTCACGTTTTCGACGTCGCGCTGCAGGCCAATGTGTCTCACGAGACTGTCGTACCATGAAGTTGGGAGCCATGTCACAGATAACTCCGCGGGAAAGGACACTTGAATGTCCGGCCAGCATCATCGGCGGCGTACGGCATCGTGGTGTTGGTCGGTCCTTGGTCGAAGGAGAGGATGTGGTGTGTCTGACCGGGACAAGATCAACTTCTCCCCCGGTGTCTAGTATTATTTTAGAGGTATTAGGCATTAAAATACACTAATTAATTTATCTAGTCTCTATAGTATAATTTACTAAATTCTTTATATATTTTACGCTCTTATTTATTCTTTACTAGTTAGCTTTTTTTTTAAGCTTATAATTTAAGTACTTAGTAATTTTAGAGGTTATAAACTCTATTTTTTAAGCTTATAAGTAACTATAACTAAGTATTAAGTATAAAGAATATAGCCTTAGTTCTAAGTATAATAATAGTTTTCTTATAAAGAGCCTTAAGTATAGTAATCTTCTTAAGTATAAGAAATCTAATATTACTTAAGTATATTAACTATAATTTACTTAGAATATAAATAACTTTAAGCTTAATACTAATTATAATAATTAGTTTTTTATATTAAATATATACTTATATATTTACTAAGCTAATAATCTTAGTATATATAGATTAAAGCTATTACTTAAAGTATAGACTAAAGTCTAATTTTTATATAGTAATATTTTTATACTTATTAGTACTAAAGTTATTAAAGTTAGTAAAAGTAGTAAAAAATACTATAGTAAATATAATAATAATAGTAGAGATTTTATAGTAATAAAAAGAAACTAAGTATAGCGCGCGTAAAATTTCTACTTTTAGAAATAAGTAACTATAGTATTATAGAACTTATACTTATAGTTTAGCTGCCTTTACTCTTCTATAGAATATATATTAAACATTACTACTTAAAACCCTAACAGACACCTAGAAGATTAACTTCCGTGGCTTGCGCCCTCTCGCTAAACCACCGGCTCAAGTGCTGCAACATGTCCCCTATACCTGAACGGGACGCAAGCCATCTCCACGTGCTACGACCTGCAGGTTCGCGCAGAGGGGCAAAAGGCCGCATTATCGGCGTTGGACAGAAGATTGCACTGTCAGCACTATGCCTGCACGCATCGTGGTGTGGTAGCTCGAGTGCTCCCGAGGTTGATCTTTCACGAACCTGCAGCAATCAGCATCATGCTCGCTATCTAGCTCCGCCCTCCTCCGCAGCTCCGCCTCTGCGCTCGAACAACAACACCAACACCAAGATCGTCTTCAGCCAGCCTTACGCTTGGATCGCAGCGTAGATCGCATCCAGAACAGCGCTAGGCGGCCGCTCCGCTGGCGATAGCGCGCTGTCGCTTAAACCTGGTGACCTGGCGTCTGGGCTCGCCCGGACGATCAATTATAGATTCTGCGCTTCGCTTTCGTGTACAAGCCTGGAGTTTGGTTATATATCGGCGGATTGCAGTTCTGAGATAGATTCTACAAGTCTCGTGGACAGGACAGTGTATGCAGGGACTCTGAAGTGCGTCTATACTACTGCAATGATGCATCGGTACAGAGCTTGAACACTTGCATGTGCACAGGGTACGTGCTGGCGGGCCATAGCCGAGCGGGATCGAGGGTCAAATCGCGAATCGAAGCCGACTGAGCAGAAGATCTTCAGTGTAGACAACGTCATTGGAGATTAAGGTTTAGTAGTTTACATCCACTGAAGAACTTACATTGAACATCGACGATTTTCACCGGGCGAAAGTAGGTTCAGGTAAACCATCTTCTTCTAATCATCAGCATATCAGCATTACAAGCATAGCCAGGCCGCGGGGCTTGCGACCGCAAGGCGACCCATGGTCAGGCCGCAATCCTACACAGCACAACTTAGGCTATCTATGCAGTCCTTGAAATCTAACACGACTGCGCCTCAACGGCTGGCTCAAGGCATCCATCACAGCCTATATTTCTTGTGAGCACAGGCCGGGAGTAGGAGTAATACCATGCGTTGTTTTCGAGGAGATTGCAACCGTTTACCAATGATGTTCTGTCAAAGAGTGATCAACGCATGGCTGAAACAACCTAATCTTGTTGCTCCCACTCCAACATAATAAACTGCCCTCCGAGATCGTCACGAAGAAACACGACACTCACAACGCGCTACCGCTCTACTATGACGACAGAACAAGAGGAAGCAAGTTTGTAGCTGTAGCAGATTCGTACGGGATATCGATGCGAGATATGAAGCGTCTACGTTTCAGTCGTCGCGACAAAGTTTGGCTTAGAAGGAGACTCGTGATGTAGCTTTTCTGAAATAGAGGGGAAGAAACGTATCGGATGTCTCGGCCGGCGACCTGTTTCGTTATGAAGGACCATGGCAGGTATGAAGAGAGTCTTTACAATATTGGGCCTTGGTCCTATCGGCGACTGCACAGGTATCCATCAACCACACTCGGCAAACTTTGTGCTGTGAAGACACGAAGATTTGTTTGCACTTCTACACGCGCTATCTCATCGTACACTGTATACATTTGAGATGAGCATGCCCATATATCGGGGTGCTCCAGACTTCGCCTCTGACAGCAACAAGCTAGACATAAATCATCGTACTTGGTAAACCCATGCCCGCTGTACTGTGGTAGATTGAACTAGAACATAAAGGAACATATCTCAATCCTAGGATCATGCATAAGTTGCAATGATAATCGACCGAAGATAACGCCATCCATAAAGATATTGCAGAAGACTGGCGAAAATAGTAACGATGTAGCTCCTCATGCATATGCCTGTATAATCATAGCGAAGATCTATAGGTACTAGTCAGTAAGGCTAATGAAGAGACAGTCGATAAAGTCTGACCGATCAGATTGACGTACGTGATAATCGACTCACAAATCAGACCCTGAAATATCGCTGATCAGGCTGGGACCGATCACTGAGTCCTGCGTCTCAGTCTGCGCTTCGGGTTGGATCTGACCCGGAGGCAAACATTGTCCAGACGCGAGTATGTTCATGCCGTCAAAGAGGTCATCCTGAGGAGATTCATGGATATTATCAGTACCGTCTAGGCCGTACGATTGCGGAGGATCGTCAGAGTAAAGAGCGCTGGAGACGAGGGAGTGTCGGTCCGCCACCTGTTTTTCGGCGCTCGACTGTCGATATTGCGCAACTGGTATGATGGACATCCCTTCATTCTCCTCGATGAGCGGCTCGGGGCCTGTGTTGCTGGGGTTTTCCTTATCATCATGCTCATAGTTCAGTGGTGACGCTTCCATTGCTTCGCGCGCTAGCTGGTCTTCAAGTTTCTCTTCAAAGATTTCGAAGGCATCGCCTGGAAGGACAGACCAATAGTCTCGATCGTGGTTGAGGTATCTCTTTCCTGGAGGATAGTGCCAGACATCCATCCCTTCCCGGCGACGAATGCCATGGCCAGTAGTGTCAGCTATAAGCAGCAAGCGCGGGGATGTGAGGGCGACAGTAGCTGCATTCTGTCAGTAAGTCTGAATGTCTAGGGGAAGCTGACCACCTACAAGCGCTGGACTCAATGTTGTTACCGTCCTCCACACTAGCAAATACGGGCGCACCACTGGAGTCTAAGTCCAACGCATCGGATGTATCGTAGTCGGCGGGGCGCGATCGCCTCCCGTGGACTGCTTTAAACCTCTTCGCTCCTTTGGGATTGGATGATGCATTATGTCCGGAATTTGCACGCTTACGAGAGAGCTTCTTACGTTTGTTGCTCGAGATCGGTCTGCCGTCATCATCGCTCGAGATGACAAGATACTTGTCCTGAGGGTGTTTACCCATATCATACGATGCCTTGATACCCGAGACATTGCGCGTAGACCGTCTCGTACCCTCGGTAGGTACTGGTCGCGACTTGGACTGCTTGCGCGCCTTGCTCTTCGTCTTTCGCTTCGGTATCTCCTCCTCATCTTCTCCCTCGCTTTGTGCATCATCCGACTCGGTTTTATCAGCGTCAGCATCGAGGATGCTAGAAGCCTCACTTGAATCGCCAGACTCGGGGACTAGCTTTTCTCCGTGTGCCGAGCGACGTTTGGCAGCCTGAGAGGGTCGAACGGCATCGTCCATGGGGTGGTACTTCACGTCGTATACGAGCTTACTCTGTGTTCGGCTGCGCAAGCTATAAGACGAGGTAGGTACGGCGGAAGCGGGTGGTGTCATCGGTGACTTGTTGGATTCGACGACATTCTCAACGCCAGCACTAGGCGGAGAACTGGTGCTGCTGTCCTTGTTTCCAGAAGATGGCGTGATTTGCTGTATACATTAATCAAACTATACCACAGAATCAGGGACGGACTTACCGGGGTCTTCACAGGATCGGGAACACCTTGACCGCTCTCGTCTGGGTGGAGAAAGACAGTACTGCCACTGCTGATTGTTTCGCTGGAATGACTGGAGCCGCGTCGTTCGGAAGCTTCTTCGGACGCAATTGGGGGTTTCCTGGCATCGTCGAGCGATTCACTTGGGTAACGCGATCCATTAGCGGTTTCTTCTCGGGTGATGCTTGCATCTGCTTGGACAAGCAACTGTGTCGCGTTAGTGTAGCCTACGCGGGAAGTGAATGATTCACTCACATCGTGATCTTCTTTTGTAGTCTCACCCGTCACTTGAGGGTCATCTTCTATGAATGAGAAGAAATTGAATTCAGCTGTACTCGCTTGCGACGAAGCCATTTGGGTAGTTGAGGGTAGTGATCGTAGAGGAGGTTAGCGAAGCTCATGCGAGTGGAGATCGGGGGAGAAACTGAGGGATGATAACGCATCGGGAGTGAATATGCATTGCAAGGCAGGTGCGCTGAACGCGTCGGACACGCGCTCCAGTGTCCCTTCCCTGTTCTGCGCTCATGTGGTTCTGAGGAAGGAGCGAGTGAAAACATCGCCTCTGGGGAGATGCCGGGTTTCACTGAGCACAACTTCGAAGAACTTATTATAGAACAATGATTTTGCTGGGAGCGGGTAAGACATGGAGCAATCGGTCATGTTAGTTGGACAACAGTAATGATGAAAATGCGCTATGAACTAAGCAATAGTCTCCCAACGAACGTGAACTGTCTTTGCGACATGATGCATGAATAACTTGGAGATAGATTGAACACGCTGTAAGATAGCAGCAACGATGCCTCGCTGTAAGACGCCGACACCCAAGAGATGTTTAGTGATGCATGTGGATATAAGCCCTCGCCCTCCATTTTCGTCCCCAACATGATGCATGGAAAAGACGCATGCACCCGCAATGCATTCGAAACGCCGTGATAGGAGCAATGGCTGAGATGGAAATCGCTTGAACGCATGAAAAGAAAAGACAAATGGATGGATCAGGAAGATCAGCCTCGACGATTCAGTCGCGAGGTTAGCCGTACAGGCGACAGTACGAAGTCGTCATCGTCGTCTTCGTCATCAACCTCAATGTCGACGATCTTCAGTGGTTGTGGGGTAGTCACAGGCTGTGTTGCCAATGTGGTCTTGGGTTGAGTATCGAGTTCGGGTGGTGGTGGTGGTACGGATTGCGAAGTGTCTTTCCGGTATGTCATCTCAGGCTCTAGGGAAGACACGGATGTGTCGGAGGTCTCGTGCGCCTGTAATTCAGGTGGATGTTGTGCCTTGCGTGCGTTGCATTTCTCCACCTCGATCTTTGCCGTCTCCAACACAGTCTCAAAGTTCTTTCGCACTCCTTCCAGCTCTGTTCTGCAGTCGCCGTCACGTAATGTGAGATGCGCCGACTTCTCGCACAGCTCTTGGGCTTGCTCTAACGTTTTGTCCGAGGTATCGAACAGCACGACAGGTGTCTCTACACCACTGGTGACGCCCAGTCTGCCGCTTCTCCTCGCCGCCGATCTTGCGCGTAATGATGACATGCGGGCTCGGTAGTTGATTTTGGATAGGTCGATCTCTTCGTCGTCGTCGTCCATGTCGTCCTCCTCTGCGCTCGACTCTGCCTGCGTGGCCATCTCGTTCATTCTGGCCTCCATCTTGGCCTTACGTAACATGTTGCGTCCAGTCCCTATTGCCCGCACGAGCAGTTCGAATGACTTCTGCATATCTCCATCGTAGTTGACAACCACCATGGTTCGAGGGCGATGGCGGGCAGTGCCAGGTTCGTGGCCGGACGAGACGGATAGCGACTTTCGTTTGCGACTTGGGACGGCGTCTGGAGGTGTTGTGTTCGAAGGCGCTGCGTCCTCTGCGATGGCGTCCAGTGCTGGTCGTATGGACGCGGTGGAGTCGGTCCGCTTCCCGAACGGTGACTGCGATACGGGCACTTTCGTATTATCGGCCTGCATGGCCGTGACCTTCTCTTGGATGCTGGCAATGTCCTGCAGCCATTGCGGCAAGTTGTCCTGGAGGAACACGAACGACTTCTCAATGTCGGACATGGTGGGCGAGGATTGATCGGGGTTTCGGGGTTAAGCGGCACGAGTGGTGGTGGTAGCAGGGACGGATGCAGACGGGTTATTGCATAGAGCAACGACGGCGACGGTGACGGCGACGAAGTTGACGTGAGTGTCGACCAGCGAGCAGTGAGGCGGTGGATGTGGATTAGGGGAGCAGAAAGGGCGTGGTCGGGGTACGTGTGCAGCGTTGGGCGGAGAAATAGTGGCAGGACGATCAGCGATTACTTATGGGGAGAGACGGCTGACGGGCAGGGAGTGCGTCTGCTACGAGATGCGATCAACGGGGCCAGACTCACAGACCCAAACGGAGTCGTGTCTACCGGCATGCGAGTGGGACGATGGTGGTACAAGGCCACGGTGCATTGCATCAAGAAGAAAGAGGGGGCAGCCAGAAAGCAACGAGACGGCCTTGCATGGGCGCGCGCGGGTGCAAGGTGCAGGGAGGATACTCCGCTTGCAAGAGGTATGGGGTACCGCAGCAACGGTTCGTCGACCCTTGGCGGTGATCGAACAGGGCGCTCGGCCTTATTGCAGACGAGTCGCCAGATTACAAGATTCAATTGCCTCACTCCTTGCGCGCCCGCGTGTGTCGTCGTTGCGCGGCCACATGGCCGACGCCGTACAAGATCGATCCTACTGTCACCGTGTTTCGCATGGCTTCACGATAACGCACCTACACACTTCACCTGTCGCAATCCACTAGCCGGCAGGGGCACCGCTTCTTAGCCTCCAGCTGTCTCGCATGCACATGATCTCCTCGAGTTGCGATGACAGCGCGAAACATCCATCTCGGAGCACACCCGCCGCCCGTCCAACGGTGCCAGCTCACCCCCATCCATCGACCTTGGCGATAGCGCGCATATGAGTTCCGCCCGGCGGCTAATACCACCAGTAAGCACGATGGCGGCGCGTCCTATACCCGTGCCGCAGCGCCTCAGCCGAAACGAAAACAGGGTGCCCTTTGGCTTCTTCGCAACTTTGCGAATTGCCTACCAAATGCGGTAGTCGCAACGACGAGCATCCCACATGTCCGTATCGTCGTCCGTACCCATCCGGTCTCCCAAAGTGTCCACGCACATGACGCAGACACCGTCCACGATCTTGGTCCTGTGTAAAATGATGACTTGCTGTGCACAGTCCAGTGACCGACCTGCTTGTGCTCGCGAACGATGCCCGGCTAGGAAGGCGGGTGCGCGCACCTGACCTGTTGAAATGCGTACCCAATACCGTTGGACTGCTAACCGTTGAAGCTTACCACACAAACAGCTGTGCGCCTGAATGTTAACGCACACATCATTATTTAGATTGGCCGCCTAGGTTGATCCCAGACAGTTGACAACTACGCACCGCATCGATTACTCCTTCAGGCAACCTGGCGACTGAAATAGCGCACCCTTGTCGTGCGGGTAAGGGGCCTGCTCAACACGCGTTTCGTTTCGCACGTCTGCTTTTTGATGTCATCAGCCCGGGGACTTGCAATGAACAAACCTCTTGCCCAGGTTTCACCTCCCATATAGGAGGAGGAAAAACATCTTGCCTGCCTGTGTGTGTTGCCCTACGCAATTGAAAACAGCTCCTCTCACCAGGCAAATCTAAACCGCGCTCAACAAATTTGCCATCTGTAGGCGACTATTCAAATCAACAAGGGCCATGGCCGTGGTCGCCGACCTGAGCCACATTGTGGGGAAGACTGCATCGGAACCACCCATGTGCATCCAGCAAGGGTCCACGGTCTCTGTGACAAACGAGTTACACAGCACAACATACGCTCGGCCCGATCAAGGCATCGAATAATGCCTGGGAACTCGTGGTATTGTTTCGAACATTCGAAATACTAGAACTCTTTCGAAACCATATTCATGCGTGCTGTTCACCAGCGCCTTTACGGCCAGAGCTCTTCAGTCCTCCATCCAGCGTTGGCCTTTGCGCTCTCGTCGAACGTGTATCTAAATCTCCGTGCCTTTGCTGGGTCGCTGAGATCCGTCTGCTCCACCGAGTCTGGCACAATCACCACAAGGCGGAAATTCTTGCGTGCCACGGGGTCTTGCAAATCGTCGACCTTTGAGCCAAGGGCAAGGTTCTTGTCGTCAAATGGTTTGGAGGTTGGCTGGCCGGGTGGAGGGTTCTTGAATGAGCCTGAGATGACTTGTTAGCGATTTGCAATGTACAGTAGACAGCGGCCATTTTTACCTTTGATGCCAGGACTCTGGTTACCAAAGAAACCGGTCAGCTCCCTTTGCCAGCTGAAGTCGCCTTCCTTGCCCTCATCGACGATCCTCATCCTCTTTCCCAGCTCGCTTTTGACAGTCCTTACACCACTGCTCTCGTCATCGCCCTCAATATCGGGTGCAATGATGAATGCCCTTCCCTTGATCCGCCATTGTGTACCAGTATCAGCATTCCAGTACACAGCCTCTACAGGGCCTCCACCACCACTGCCCTGCACTTGTTCGCTGCTCTCAGCGTGCCCCGCACTCGTCGCGAATATTTGTCCGACCTTCTCCATGCGAACATCCGTTGTAAACGTTGGGCAATCGCTCTGGTAGACTTGAGGATTGCGCTCTGCATCGTTGTGCTTGTTCTCTGGTAGCTCGGCCCAGAAACCGCGGTGGATGCAGTATCGCACGCGGGGCACGAAGGGTGTAGGCGAGCCCTTGGGAGCTGCATCGAGCGTTCCCAACACAAATTCAGGCGACTTCATCTTCGAGATGTGCTCGCTGAACAGGGACTTCCATGGCGCAGGCGGGAGGGCCGATGCTGAGGGTGCGGTGGTAGACATGGTGCGTAGAAAGCGCGAAAGGCGGCGGGATGCTGCGCGTGAAGCTATGATGGCTATTATGAGTAGATGATACTGTGTTAGTCGTGATGATGGAAGTCAATTGAGCTCTGAAGCTACAGACTATTTGATGTGTCGGAGAATGATGTCGTCATCACCTAGATCGGTACCTGCGCAATCGTGCAGATTCAATGAGGTCAGTAGCCTGTGTCTAGTCTAGTGCAAGTACCTGTGCGGCTGTTCGACATGTATTTTGTAGAAAAGTAACTAAGAATGATGGTATCTGCGGACACCGAAAGCACACTGTGTACGACAGAGCTGTACGCCAGCAAATCATGGCTTCCGTGGGGTTGCGGGGTATCCGAGTAAGACCGCGCCAGTCACCAGCGACAACGCGAACCCAGAAGATGGGGAGTCTCGATTTCTCACCTTTGCAATACAAACACATTCAGGCTCCAGTGTTGAGGGTGGCACCAACTGGATCTGTACTTAAGCTTAGCATGCTTGTCTATAGAAAGGATTGCTCTCGATCACATGCTAATCATGTCACACAACATCACGATATCCAGACACTGTTCAACAAGTCAAGATCTGTGTATAACATTGTACAGTAGGCGTCTGGGGCAGCACAAGTCGGCGACCTGGTCAACGTCGCTTCGCCAAACCGGCAGGAGTTTGCTGCTCAAGTGGTAGGACAATATGCTCTTGCAAGATGGACGAAACGTTTGGCGGGTACGAGCGACGTATTGGTCATTCCAAATACACGATTATGATTCGAATGACTTGTACGCTATGCCTGAATATTGCTTTGTTCGGTTGAAGCTGTGGTAACGCTGTTCGTCTTGTTCACATCTGTAGATCTCTCAGGCTTTCTTGAAGAAACTGGCTATGCTTCCTTGGCCTTTCTTGCCAGCATTCTTCGCTTTTGCCGAGCTCGTTGGTTTAGCTGGCGCTGGCTTGGTCTTCTTTGGTGCACGTTCTTCTTCCGAGAAGGACTCCCAGACGGCCTCTTCCTTGGTCACTATGCAGTCAGTGGGAGGGCTTTCAGAGTGCACTGGTTACTTACCAAGATAGCCATCCTCATCCTTGACCTTTTTCTTCTTCATCACTCGTCTCCGGCCGCGTCTGCGACCGTTCTCCACTGTGACGGTAGCTTCGCCCTCGGTTGGCTCTGTGGTATCCGTCGCCGCTGTTGAAGGAGCTTCAGGCTGAGATTCTGCTGTGGCCGGTGCATCCGGCATTTCCTCATCTACACACGTCAGACACTACGATCATATCCAGCTCGAAAGACTTACCGTCATCTTCCATCATCTTGCGCAATCGTTCGGCTCGCTCCTCTCGGACTTTGCGGGCTGCCTCATTCTTCTCCTCGTCGATCTTGATCTCGGGCTCATCATCGGGATCACCTTCATCCTCAGACATGCCTTCCATTGGTTCTAGCAAAGTTAGTCGTGTAACCAGAAAAGACTGTTTGTGTACGTACCATCCTCGACCGGCGCTGGTGTGGACTCTTGGGACTTTTCCGCTTCTTTCGCCTTCGGTTTAGCCTTTGCAAAGGATTTGAACAGGTCGCTTGTCGCCTTGTCTTTCTTCACCCCAGATTTCGAATCGCTCCTCTTCAGTGTAGTAGACCCCGCCGAGGGTTGTGGCGTTGAGCGACCGGATGTGTTATCTTCGGACGCGCTTCCTCTTCTCGCAGACGCGGACGTCTCTTTTTCCTTCGTCGCGAAAGCGAAAGAGCCCTTTCCGGCAGGCTTCGTGATGGTCTTCGGAGCGGGCTTCGATGTAGCAGTAGGAGGAGCATACTTTGCAGTTCTTCGCTACAATAATGTTAGCGCGCCCGTGTAGCTGTAGCCATGTGCGTACCTTGATGTGTTCGTTTTGAATGGAACCATATGTTCTCCACCGTTCTAGAGGATCTTCGTCTGCATACTCTGTTACGACCTCGTGGTTGCACAAAGACAGTACGCGGACAGCCTATATGTCTTAGTATTGGTCCTGAAGCCTCCCAGGATCTCGTACCTTGAGCGGGCCGGGCTCCACACTGTAAACGTGAGCCGTGAATCCATCTTCAAACTCTGACCTAGTCTCTAGTGCAGCCGTCAGCTGGGTCCTTCCAATAGCATATGCCAATCGTACTTTCCAAGTCTTCCTCTCCTACCAATACAATCTTTGTCTCTTTCACACCTTCAGGTGCGGGTGTATCTTCGTCATCGGAATCGCTAGTGTAATCAGAGTCTTCGGGCTCTTCTCGTTCGGGCATGGAGCTCATAAAGGGCGAGCTGCGCATGTCGGCGTCCTCACGCTTCGGACGGGGGGCACCATTGGGTTTTACGGTTTGCTTGGGTGTGCCAGTCACGAGGTAGGTGGCGTGGACCGATCTGGGTTTCCGCGCATTCTGGTTCTTTTGGAATTCGAAGAGCATCCTGTATTATGTGAGCCGGCATTCAGATGCTGGCGAGAGCTGCACGAACCGTTTCGCTGTGTTGACATTGGTGCTGGTCGCTCTGCTGAGCAGCCTGTAGGTGACAGGCCTCTGCTCGGTAATTACCCGCGCAACGAGAAAGTCGTTGTAGTCTTCTCCCGCCATTGTGTGTTGTCGTGCCTGCCGTAGTCGTCGCAGTGGTGATGGTGGAAGAAGTAGCGAAAGCGCGTCGCGGGGTTGACTCAGACTCACGCGTCGTGCCTGCCAGAACTGACTCGGCGAACAAGGCACCCATTGCCGCCCGCAAAGTGCGTCACAACTCCACCTTACTCCATGATGAGCGCCGGAGAGGACGACGACCTGAAATTACAGCGAGCATCTGCATCGCTCCTGTCTGACTTCGAGAGGCTGCTACCGCGACTACTGCGGAAACGGCAGCATGGCTCTGCCCTTGGTCCCGTCCGCCAACATGTCCGAACAGCAGACATGTACAAGGCATGCAGCTTGGTATGAACCCTATCAATCAATGTTCTGAATGGCTGTCTGACCTTTTACAGATAGAGCCATTCCAGGAAGACCCCCAGATTCTAGACACCCACCTCAAAACCTTCATACCTCCACTCGTCGCCGCCTATCTAGAAGCAATATCGGCGAGCGCCACAGAAGAACCGAAACCAGGATTTGTGACTCTTGCATACGCCATATGCTCCGTCTTGAATACGTTCTGTAAAGTCCGAGGCGAAAAGGTCGTCAAAGGCTTCTTCAATAACGAACCACGTCATCTCGAAGCGATCTTGGGCGAGTTAGAAGCGACTGGGGTTGTTAAATCTGAAAATACCGATGCCCTACTGCAGGACACAGCTCGTCCCTGGATAGAGCGCTATGTGCTGCTCTTATGGCTCTCACAGTTACTACTCGCGCCCTTTCCCCTGGAGTCTATGTCTGGGTTGCAAGTTTCTGCAGAAACACCTGTAGCTCTTGGGCTGAAGCTCCCGGATGAACTTCCAGGTGTCACTCTTCGGGTAATTTCTCTGTGCATGTCGGGGCTTCAATCCCCAACAAAGGAAAGAAGCGCCGCTGCAAGTCTCCTAGTGAGGACATGCGTGCGACCAGATATGCAAAAGTTAGGTTTACTGGATGCCATGGTCCAATGGTCCTTGTCTTTCTTCACAGACATATCCGAAGAGAAGACCGACATACATCAGTGTCTCGGAGTTCTCTCATTCTTGTCAGGGCTATTGGCCTCCGCTACGAATGAGGAGCTTGGCCCTTTCCTCGCTGCCATATACCTATCCTGCAGAAAGATACTGGATCAGGAGAGTCTCGCTTTTGTCAAGTCATCAGCTGTGGCTCGAAAGCTAGTTGTGAAAAGCTTGCGCAATGTCGTTTTGCATTGCCTACAGGCGACGTCAACCCTTCCTGGACTCGATTCAACCGTGGTATTGGAAGAAGTCATCGAATTTCTCCTTGAAGCACTCGCGGATGGTGACACGCCAGTCAGATACGGTGCTAGCAAGGCGCTCAGCATCATCACTCTCAAATTAGACGCGGAGATGGCCAGCGAGGTTGTCGAAGCGATACTTGGCTCGCTCACAGAGAACATCTACTGGCAGGGGTCCAAGCGCAATTTGAACAGCGTGAACCCACTCCGATGGCACGGTTTGACTTTGACGCTGGCTCAGCTTCTCTATCGCAAAGCAATCTCTACCAGTCATTTGGCGGACGTTCTCAACGCTCTCCTACTTTCCCTCGGCTTTGAGCAACGGTCGCCCACTGGAGGGTCCATTGGTACGAACGTACGCGATGCAGCTTGCTTCGGTATTTGGGCGCTCTCTCGCCGCTACCCCACCACTGACCTCCTCGCGGTCGAAACCGCGACAATAAGGGCTTCCGAGCACCTCAGATCATTACACGTCCCTCAAGTGCTGGCAATCGAATTGGTAGCTGCTGCTTGTCTCGATCCAGCAGGCAACATCAGAAGAGGCTCATCTGCTGCGCTTCAAGAACTTATAGGTCGCCACCCCAATACAATAGAAGAGGGCATACCGCTCGTACAGATAGTCGACTTCCACGCTGTCGGGCTCCGCCAGCGCGCAATGTGCGACGTGGCGATCAAGGCTGGAGAATTACAGTCTCTGTACTGGGAGGCCCTATTCGGTGGTCTTTTAGATTGGAGAGGAACCGGCTCGTTGGATTCAGACTCACGTCTATTTGCAGCTGAGGCCATCGGGTCTCTTTCTAAGGCTCGATCGCCTGCGGTAGTGCAGAAGATGTCTGATCAGGTCCGCGGCAAGCTTGCGGCGTTGCGTCCTCGCGAGGTGGAAGAGCGTCAAGGGTTGGTGACTGCCCTTGCGACCCTCGTTGACACGACAGTAGCTATGCATGTGGAACAAGCGCCCGAAAACCCATATGCGTCCTTGATGGCTCTTTGGACTTTATTCTCAAAAGAACTAGAGCTTGAAGACAAGGCATTCACTTCGCCGGCATTGCGACCCCAGTTCACCGCATCATCAGTTTGTGCAATTATCGGAGCAATCTCGAGACTCACCAATGGGACTCTCAGCAAGCTTTGGCCTTCAAACCTACCCGTGGCACAGGTTTGTAATTTATTGGACCTTTGTCTCGCGCGTCATGAGGAATCAGTCCTCGATGCTATTGCTACCGCAGTTCCTGCAGCAGTCTCATTATTACCTAGATTACCGGGGTCTGACACATTTGGCGTCGTGATGTCATGGCTGCTGCGTTTGGAAAATGAAGCATCGTACAATGGGTCGCGATGTTCCGGGCATGCGATCGCCCTGGGAGCTGCGCATGGCAGCTTGGACAGCCTGGCATCCGATACTGAAAGGGATGTCCTCCAGCGGCGGATCGTAAAGGTACTTACTTTCAGGTGCACATCAGCTGTGGCAATCGAGGCCCGAACGGTGGCATTACGTGCTCTGCGTTGTTTGCTTGGAAGCAAGAACCCTAAATCAACTCAGCTTGCTGCCGATGTAGAAGACCAGATCGCGAGCGCCTTGCACATTGCACTTAACGACTACACCATTACAGAACGGGGAGATGTCGGGTCACTCGTCCGACTCGAGGCCTTGAATACCGTGCGCTTGGCTTGGGCAAATGGAATACTCACCGAGAAACGCAATGAACGCGAGTACGATATCTACGCCGACATCGTTCGGCTATCTCTCGAAAAGCTTGATAAAATGCGCATGAACGCCGCTCAAGTCCTCCAGCTGAGAGAAGCCGGCGGCGCAACCACAGACGAGGTCTCCTCTCGGACTTACTTCCTGAACGCACTAATGTCGTTACAAACAACGAAAACCCCCGCGATCAGAGAAGCTATCTGTGTTGGTTTTGTCAGCTCCGCGGGGATGGGCTCCGAATCCGTGGCTCAGAACTCACGAGCAGCTTTGCTAGACTTTGTCGATATGCTACAAGACGAAGATACATCCGACGTTACGCAGTTTGCCTTGGTTGACTTTGCAAACTGCGTCCTGACACTCCTGAAGAACAACATCACCAACGATAGAGTTTTGCTCCCGCTACTAGAGGTCATCGCCTTCTTGTTCGACATGCAGATCATGCAGCGTCTTCAGTCGACGTCTTTCAAGTAAGGGCTCTCTCTTGGTGTTCCATATGCGCATGCGCTAATCGTGTCAGTTTCCGAGCGCTTCTTTCGTATACGCAGAAAGCACACTTCAAGTCCACGCATATGCAAAAGCTTCACCTCGCGCTGGATGTGTATCGGGGCTTAGGTGTCATCCCAATGACCAGGAGCGATACGCTAGCCAAAGCTGTGAGCATGCTGTTACATCCGTTCCCGAAGGTATGCATAAGATAATCTATTGCCGCTGGCTTACGTTAATGAGGTCTAGGTACGCATCACAACAGCGGAGACTCTCTGGTACTTGACTCACGAAGGAGGGTTGAAGCGTCACGACTGGACATTACCATCGAAGAGTCTGAAGCCGGCCGTAGATGAGATCAAGACATGCTTCGCGACAACACCGGCTCAAGCGCCATGCTGAGTGCATATTACCTGGGATTAACATACGACTCGTGGTCTTTAACGCAATTTCTATGCCTCTTATCCTGAACGTGTTTTGTTTTGTTCATTATTCAAGCGATATGAGCCTTCTGCTCAAGCTGGAACGTCCTCTGTCCTTGATTGCCCCTTACGCGGAGTACGATAATCGCCCCTGTCTTCCAGCTGTGACGAGTGGCGCGAATGTCCATGGGCATTTAACCATTGGCCTATCAAATTCTGGCGCTATACCCTGCAGCTCTCATGTACTGTAGAGGCGTTGCAGGGCGCTACACCCGGCTGCGAAAGTGGGGGCTGGGGGCCGCTTAGTGTTCGGTGGCACAGATGGACGGGCGTTTGTGTCAACGCGCATTCCTTCCTCTACCATCGTCCCGAGTTTTGTTGCACCTCTGACTTCAATTCCAACACCGACAATTAATTGTCATCCATAAGAAGCCGATACCATGTCGCAAGACGCGGATAGTTCGAGCTACAGCGCCGATGATGAACGAATCATCAAGATCAGGCTGAACAATGACAGATTAGACCAAAGTCTGTTGGCTGCAAAACGAGCCACAACACAATTTCAAGGGGCCTCAAAACATGAACAGGACAAGTTCGCTGTCGCAGCATCGATGGTCTATACCCCATCTGACGGAGAAGCTCAACGGCTTCGGATCATTACCAGGTCAAAGCGGGACACCAGTGGAACAAATGATGCGAGATCTGAACACTGGTTGTACGTAAATCATTCCAATGGCTGCATCATGCTAATGACATGCAGGCATATCCAAACTCACTGCATAGCTTTCGATGCGTTTGAGGTACGCTTCTATCCCTAGACCACTGGCAGCAATCTAACGATCATGAAAGAAAGCCGCAACCCATTTTGCGCTTGACTATGACGAAGACGCCATACCGGTTGTGCTCTCTTTTTTGAAACACATCAAAGGTGCATGCACGAAGCGAACCTCACACGGCAGCTATATACGGCCGAACACAGTACTGCGATGTGATGGAACCGATCCTACACAAGCCCATAACCCTGACATATCTGCTATCTTTGTTGCTTTTCCGTACTTTGACATTGGTGCGCTCCTTCCCTCTCGTACACCAAAAGACACATCACTACACGAGGTTCGGTAAGTTTGCAGCACGCAACGGCTCGTATAAGAAAACTACTTTACTGACATGTTGCTGGATGGTGCGGCAGAGGATTGTCCCAGTATACATATCCGCAAGAAGCTGCACAGGGTCGGGATGACGAACAAATGTTCCAGAAGTTCAAGGGTATAAGAAAGGGAGACACTCTCCGGGTTCCCCAATTCTGGTCAATGGTTGTAAAGTCCCATCTTATCATCACCTGCGGACCAAGTGCTCTCCCGGAACTCTTCGACGGCAGTGTTGAGTTCATCTCTGGGGACTACCTTCGCACAGACGGACCCAGTCTAGTTCAGGTCACCGATTTCTACGGACAAACCACGTACCTACCGCTCAAGCTGTGCTCAACATACGTTGCACTTCGTCGTAACATTGAGAGCAAGTGTCTAGATGACAGCGAAGAAGATGGCGAAGACTATTTCATACATGTGGGGTCAGATGACTCAGTACTGGAGGCAGATCAATGGCCACACATCATGAAATCCGAACGATCTGCAATGATTGTTTTGCGTCTCAGCCGGAAGAGCACAAGCAGGGATATCTCCTTGATCGATCGGTCGCGTAGTGAACAAGGAAAGATTGAGTATGGTGATCTGAGCTCAGAACATGACTCAACAGATGAAGACAAGACTAAAGCACTTATCTTAAGGCGACCTTTGTAAGCGGTTACCAGCCGAACACATTCTCTCTTGGCCTCCCGCTGATCTTTATACAGCAACGATGTCGAGCCGATTTACCACTCCAAATACGTCGGCGCAACCAGTGAGCTTTTAGCAAGGCAAGGTTACGTCGTGAATGACCCCTACTCGCTCGTGAGTGGCAGCAACCCTATTACTAGCCCGAAGCCGGTCATCTTCCGCCGTCCAGAACGTATGGTAAGGCCACCTTTTGCACAAGATGGCCTTCATGTTGCCAGGGCCATCACGTATGAGAGTGATAACTCTGGTCATATCAGCAGTGGTTCGTATGCATCCGTTGTTGACACCAAAGAGCTTGCTGGTAAGGCTCTATCGTTCGCGGAAAGAGTCAGTAGTACATCATTAGTTGATGATCCAGTCGAGTCGGCGCACAGTTCAAGAGAGTCTCATGTACCTGAACACATCGACATAGAAGACGATGAAAAGCTCTCCGGCTCTTTCGAACTTACGCCTGATGTCTACGATACGAGAAAATACACAGAAAAAGATGTTCAGGGTCCGTTGTCATCATCATCTCGCTCAATCAACGAGCGAGATCGTCCTGAGTCTGAAGATGAAGAGGCTACGTTGGGAGCGATACGGACTGCGATATCAGATCGTGAAGAGGGCGTGGGATTTGGAGTAAAAGCCAAAGCTCGCTTTTCACAAAGTCAACCCAACTTGCACGTTGCCACACAAGATGCTCCAGGATTATTCAAAGGAGACGTAAAGGGGGAAGAGCTCGTTGACTCAGATCTACCACTACAGGATGATGCGAATATAACACAGGAAGAAAAGAGACGTCTCGGTGTCGAGGATAGCCCTGGGGACCTAAGGGATCTCGTGGGATTACAAGTCAGAGACCTCAAAGGACTAATAAGTGAAGAAGTTGCTGCTGCGTTGAGGCAAAATACTGACCAAGTCAACCGAGATGTCCAAAAGCAACTAGAATTTGAGCTCCGCAATCGACTCGCCAAGTCAGGCCTCCTTCCAAACCTTATCGAAGCCATCATCAATCAAGGAACCGACACAGCACCCGGAAGAGAAGAGCGGTCTCCACCTAACTATACCAGGGTACCGACCAGTCAACTCGATAGGGCTACTTTGCTTCACTTCAATCTTCGATTCCAGCATGACATACTTGATCCTAACTTCTGGATCATCTTCCAACACCTGACAACAGAAGAGTTGCTGCCGATGTTTGACCACACATGCGACCGTCGGATAGAGGCGCATCTCGAAAGGAAGCGTCAAGAGGGATCACGCGCTCAAACACAGGAGCGACAAGAGCAGAATCCGCCGATGGATGCTTCTCCGTCCGAACATGTACGCACTCGCTGACGGAGATTCGGAAGTGAAAATCACACTTACTTTAACAGGATGATAGAGCTTCACGCGAAAAGACGATGGACAGAAATCGCGCAGCCACGACGTATCGAACGCGAGAAGTTTCCCCAAGTCCTAAGCTTACAAGATTGAATACCGGTCTTCGTGTGCCACCTTTCCTTGCATGGCAAACACGAGAGAACCCGTCAGAGCAGGATATTGATGAGAATACCCATATACAGCTTACTCTGTTTGCTATCGAACAGCAGCTGACCAGGACGCGGACGGACGTAGCAAGACTACCAATCGATCTCACGCATCCATTTGCCCACAAGTATCAATTAGGTGTACGCCTCACCAATAAAGAGTCTTCCCTCGACGCTGTCCTGACATCACTAGCGGCCTGTTACAGGGCCTGTGCCAGAGTCGTTGGAAACACAACTAAACCCAACGAGCTGACTGTAATGGACGACACAAATGGCCTCTCCAATCCACTTGAATCAGGTACCGGCACTACTACCAGTGACATTGCAGCTGATGTCAGAACTGATTCAGAAGCGGAGACCTATGTCACGACGAGAAGAGTCACCCAATGGCAAATGGCTCTGATGCACAAACACGCACAACGCGTTTTCCATTCTACTATGGAGATCGTAGACCAATTTGTACCAAAACACTACGATCATCAGCTCCTGCGCAGATGTTGGGGTGCACTGAAGTTTATCATTGAGGTAATGACTCCTTTGAATGCGCCGAAAGGCTGTTTTGGCTTACTACTTACACGACCTTGGCAGATCGTTGGCTATATGGGCGTCAAGAATGTTGTATATCAAGAGCTGGAGGAGTCAGAGCCATCGTCGACTTACGCGATCCGTGAACTTCCTCATAAAGAATACTTGAGGCTTCACAAGCTTACTGATCTATCCTTTCCTGTTAATCAGTGTGACTTCTGCAAGCGCGCAAGGTACTACTCGAGCGCGGAAGAAGCTTTCGAACATCTGCGGCGCGATCACGTCAGCGATACGAATCAGTCATCACATCTTTCTCGAGCACAGCTATCCCACTGGGTTATGTCATCTCAGCTAGCTGGTGTGGAGGAGCAAAACGAGCTCATTGTCGAGTATCTCAGTGCAATGGCACTGCGCGTTGAGACGTTGCGATCCAAAGCAATTGATATCCGCAACAGTGTCGCCAATGAAAGAAACGAAAAGCCGAGCGAGTATCTCCTACCGCTATCGCTTGTAAAAGCAGCAGAGATGATTCTGCAGATGATCGATACTTGCGGGTATAGTGTTGTTGAGTTGCACAAACTCAATCTGGACGATACGATGCCGATCATTTCGTGGAAGGAGCTCAAGACTCACATGGACCTGCTTTCATACTTTGGCTCAGCAGCCTCTACTACGCTTTCGTCAGCGCGCAAAGAGCTACTGATCATGGCGCATACCGGCAGCCACCGGGGAGCTGTACAAAACTTCCGCAGTACGCCTGAAGTTACTTTGCTCATATGCCTCATCCATCTCTGGTCAAGAGCGGTATTGCACGACTTGTCTGTACCTGACTTGTACCGAGAGCATCTTTCGAAAATGGTATGTGCACTGTTTAGCTCAGCCAGATGATTACCCGCTAACAAGACATAGCAATACGAAGCTAGCCGTCGGCCCTCCAAGCTTGCCCTCCGAGAGTTGTACCTCTTGGAAGAGGAATTCGAGATGGTAGCCTCCATCTGCGCTCAACAACGCCGCATGATCAGGGATTTCTACGAAATCATCGGTCCCTCCACCTATCGCATAGCCACTAAAGAATGTTTCAGAGCCGACAGAGACGTCGTAATTCCCCTCATGGACCAAAATCTCAGCAGCCCTGCCAGCATGGGAGCAACTTCTATAGGAGTAAGGGAAACACAGGCATTGTTCGATAGGACCAAAGAGGTGCTCCGCCACAACGTTGAAGTCTCAGAAGAAAGCAACTCGAAAGCCATCAGAGTGTTTACTCTAGTGACAATCGTATTTCTCCCTCTTTCTTTCATCTCTTCCGTGTTCGGCATGAACACTACGGATATAAGAGACATGAGCAGCTCGCAAGCTCTCTTTTGGGTCATTGCCATTCCTGCCACAACGCTGATTGGAGGACTCTCCTTGATGATCGCATATCATGGAACGTACATGTGGGCTAAGGTACGCGCGATGGGCGATGCTATGTGGGGATCAGAGAAGATATCGCGCGGGCGGCGTGCCTGGAAACGAAAGCCAAAAGACGTGGAAAAGGTAGACGATGGCGAGATTGCAGACACACGGCCTCTGGGACCAGGTCATCTTCGGAGAAGGAAGACAGTCTTGAACGTCGTTGGGTCGAAGAAGCCAAGGAAGTTCAGGTAAGTAGGGGTTTGATGGGGACAGTCTTACTATAGCCCATCCTTTCGATAGCTGTCTCTTACTATCCATCATCATGACCGGCCAAATCAAGGCTCTGTGGGCACGTTTACAGTCTCGCTTTTGTCCTGTCTTCATTCAAGATGTCTAACACCTGCTTCTCTGCTTCCCACGCACTCCCCCAGCCGCTTTGGTATCCATAGCCAGCATGCCCGTAGCTATGCACTACTTCAACTCCATCAATCTTCTCTCTCTCGACCCTTGGACCTCCAGTCCTCATAGGGCGCAGACCAACACCATGTCTAATGACACTCAGCTCGGTCACTTTTCCGGTCTTCGGTACGAGCGACGGACATAGGTCGATGGAGCGTTGCATGATGCGCTGTGCGAGGTTGGGGTCAGGCTGCGATTCCCAAGAGTGGTGTTGTAGACAGCCTCCGAGGATTGTTCCACCACCGACTGCGCGCTGCATAATATACGTAGCTTCTTCACTGCCATCGTCGGTTCCGCTTACTGTCACCATGACACCAGGCTCGTTCCGCACTAGGACAATTTGACCACGTCCAGGGTACACGTTACTGTCCATGACGCCTCCGAGTGTGGCGGCTAGAAGACCAGTACAGTTCACGACGGCATTTGCATGCCCCGAGGTATGGAAGCTGCCTGCTTCAGAGATATGGGAGAGTATACCGCGCTTGATGGTCACACCGGCCTTCACGCACTGTCCCACGATCCAGGGAAGATAGACAGCAGTATTTATGCATACTGAGGTAAACTCTGTGCCTCTGTCATAGCCTTCTGGGAGTTCAGATTTGGACAGCACGCGGAACTAAGAAGCATCAGCATGACTTCACGCAAGCAACGTAGATGAATGTATGGAAACCGAGTTGGGGTAGGCACTACATACATTCGGCACAACGTCCTTGAACCATGCGTCTTCTTTGGTCAGCTCTTCAAACCACTGTCCTGTAGCGGTGCCTGCATCTTTCTCTCGCCCATAGACCCTCGTCGCCTGGTAGTGGATGCCTGCTTCGGGTATCTCACGACAGATCCGATCGAGCTCACTCCAGGTAGCTTTCTCGAACCTCTGCAAATTTGAGCCTGGCTTGCCAACAGGAAAGTAGTTTGCTCCAGCCCAGGGTGATGCATATTCTATGTCGTAGTCGCCGGGCATGTGCTTGGCTACGACGGTAACGCTGAGGTCCTTGTGCTTGGAGAGCACGAGGGCTGTGGAGAGGCCGATGACGCCTGCTCTGGGGTGGTGTTAGTGCGGTCTTGAGGTTGCCGCCCAAGATGGATTAGACATGTTGGAGAGTCATAGGCGAGGATGAGTACATATTACCACGGGACGTGGAGGGGCAACACAAAATATCATGACAGCATTGATAGGCGAGCTTACCCGACAACGACGACACTCTTCTGGTTGGCCATGCTAGCAGCTCAGAGTCAGAGCGATGGCTGCCTTGACGCACCCGTGATATGCCGTGGGGTGACTGAACAGGACTTCCAAGGTTGCTATCGCCGTGGATGCGGAGCCTGATGAGGATGGCGGGGTCATGCCTTGTATCCCCGGCTCGCCTATTGGCTCCTTCCCGCACACGAGACAAAACGCGTGCGCACATGCGAGCTTTGTTTACTGACCATACGGCCTGCTTGCTATTGTAAAGCTATTATAACGCTGGCCCCGGCCCCCTTCACTTTGGTGCTATTGTCCAGAATATTGAGCAAACTCGGTCCTCGCCCACTTGCACGCGCTTTTTGCCCTTCACCGCCGATATATCGCGAAAAACAGTCGGGCCTGCCCCATCGGCTAGCTGGGGGAGCTCTGTGGTCCGTGACATCATTGCAGGCTCCGAGGTATGTAGGCCGAAGATTTTTCCGTACCATCTGGAGCTTTAGTTTCTGCCGTTTGAAAAGTACAAGAAGGCGCTGTCCCGGTGTCTGGTTGGCTGACGTCTGATTGTACTTCTCCAGGCTCCTGAGCGCGAGCTGTCCTGACTCGGGGCGGAGATCGTTGTTCCTGCGACCCGCCAAGCTGAGCCATCCCTGTCGCCGTGTCCCTTCGAGAGCCTCAAGAGTTCGGGCGCGTCACAAAGATATTCATCATTCACGTTCACCGGCCACGACCTTCACCAACTTGGCGTGGCCGGCCCAGCCCTCTCTACAATAGCAACTGTCGCACCTAAGCTCAACCCTCATCCATGACCCCGTCACCCCACTCCTGTGCCTTCCTCTTTGCATTACACCGACTTCTCCTGTCCAACACGCACGCTTGATACACCACCACCAATATGGCTACCCGAAGACAGCGGGCCAACTCGCCTGAATTTCCCATACTCGAGGCCAATGCCCTGTATGCCAGCCAGATCCGCGGCGATGGTGAGCTTAATTACCCCATATTCCCATGTTCAAGGCTGACTTCGCCCAAGGCAACTGCCTCTTCAACGCCCTGTCTGACCAGCTCTATGGCAACCAAGATATGCACGAGGTGCTGCGCACCACCACCATAGAGCACATGAAGGACAGCGCGGACTTCTACCGCCAGTACATGGCCTGCAACACGGTGCGACGGAACCCCAAGCGCAAGACTGCTGCAGCTGCCGCCAACCGCCTTGACACCACATGCTACACCGACGAGCAGCTGCAACAGCAGTTTGAAGAGCACGTCGAGAAGATGGGCCAGCCCGGCGAGTGGGCCGACAACATGGAAGTCTCAGCATTTGCCTCCGCCCTCAACGTCAACGTCCGCCTCTGGCAGGCTGACTACACCTACCTCTTCTCGCCCCGCACATGCTACACGTCGAATGAGGACTTGGCTGCTCAGGACAGCCGCCAGACACTTCACATTGCCTATCACGTAAGTCATGCCACCACTGACTACCCCGCTGGCACAGTGCTGACGTCCAAATTAGACTTGGGAGCATTACTCTTCCGTCCGCAATATCGCCGGACCTCACAGCGGCCCCCCTGACGTCAACATCGTACCCCAGGTCATCTCCAAGAAGCGGCCTAGCCCTAGTGTCGACGGTGACGACGATGACCAGCGTCGCCGCTCACGCAAGCGCCGCTCGCCTCTGCCGCTCTTCGACTCCGACTCTACACCAGAGGGCACTGAGAGCTCGTCAGATGAATCAAACGGATTCGCAGCGTCGCAGCGGTCCAACATTGAAATTCCTCAACCAGAGCCCGTGAAGGTCAAGCTCACCATCAAGCTCCGCGGTCTTCGCACCTCAGATACTTCCTCCCCTACTCCATCCTGCACGACTTCTCGCGCGCCTACGCCCGCACCACCTTCCACACAAACCCCATCAGAGCCCAAGAAGCCGGCTCCTGCAGCACCCAAGAGTGTTGCCGTGGCAGAGACCACACCCGCTGCTACCGCCTAGTAGGCTTGGTAGCATCATGGCCTTACGACGACGGACACCGATTCACGGTTCATATTGATGACGCTGACGATGATACCCCAGCATAACATTGGGCGCTTATTATTCCCGGGTTATTTTCCTTTTCCTTCTTTGCATAGCATACGAGCATTGGCAGGGGCTGTCTGTTACACATCGTTGCATATGCCAGCATGACTGACGGGTGCCAAAGTGCTTGGGCCGCGCTCTGTTCACTGGCTTTGGCGTTTGGGGGTTACGCTTGCGTTTCCACATGGATGATGATGGCTCATCTCTTGGGATATGACTGAACCTAGAAATGAGAAACCATTACTGCTGTTGACTTGTCGCTGCTTGATTTGTGTGTGTGATGTTCAGCATGTGTGAGGTTGTTGATAAGTACGTCTTGATCGTCATGAGCATTATGCATATCTACCGTCTATTCAAAACCCTCACCCTTGGCATCCACCTCGCCCTTTGGTCTCTCAAGCGCCGGACTCAGGGGCCCCGCCATATCAACAGGTGGCACCTGAACCCCAATTAAGCTCTTCCTATGCAACCGCGGGCTCTTGTCCAACGTCTCGGCTTCCTCTTCCACCTCCGGACTCAGCCTACCATCCTCATCGCCCTCTCCATGCTCACTACCATAGCCCTGATTTGCCAGCCTCAAGCCCATGATCTGCTGCCTCAACTCATCCACAAATCGCTGCATGTCCTCGAATGGTAATCGAACCGCTCCTCCATCGGCATTTTCAGCTTGGGTGTTGTATAGCCGGAGCGCTGTATCAAGGGCGCGTTCCGCTTGCTGCGACTTGTCCAGTCTGTACCAGTTCTCGCTGGCAAGCACGGCCCAAAGCGCTGCTTTCCGACGTCGGCTTCCTAGTTTATACATGCCCACGCCAGTGCGCACAGCATAGCAAGCCGAGATGCGTTCGGTGATGAGTGCATGACCTATCGAGCCTACAAGACCTGTTTCCAGAATGCGGGTTGCCCAGCGTGCGGCGTCGTCTGCGGCCGAGGAGCCACGGAGGCGCAGAAGCTCGAAGCTGAGGGCGAGGGTGCGGAGAGCATAGTACGGCGCTGCGCTGCGTTGGCGGTCGGTGTACGAGTACGATGCAGCTTCTATCCACGCATCGATGTTCTCAGCGCGGGACTTGGAGGATAGTGGTGTGGGTGCCATGAGAGCCGACAAAGCGGCCATTTCAGCAGCACCAGCGTAATGCCGCCATGCTTTGTCGTTTTGGAAGTCTGTCCTTAGGATATCATAAGTGCTCAATGCCAGTTTCCAATCGCGCAGCATAAAGCAGTAATCTGCTAGCCGTCGCATGATGGCTTCGGGGGCGTCGGGGCGGTAGAAACCCTGTAGGCTGTCGTAGTTGGAGTTTCCTGATGCAGTCGAGGATGATGAGGAGGTTCTTGAGCCGCCAAAGGGTGTCCAACGTTTTGATAGAGACATGAAGCGGCCAGACAGACCGCGGCGTCGGGACAGGATCTGCTCGTTCCAGGTTGAGACGCTGCGCTCCATGTTGGGTATTATGGATTGTGTGACTAGTTCACGGATGAAGGTACGCAAGCTGCTGATGTCGGAATCGGGGAAGTAGGGTGTTGGGTCTGTTATGTCGTCCGTGGTTTCTGTATAAATAGTCAGTACGCAGGGTTGATATCAGGTTTACACTATCATGATTACCTCGCCTCTGAATCTCTGCTAGCTCTTCTCCTGCAGACATCCATTCGCACGTCGGTAGACGTACGCTGTCATCGTCTGAAGCTATGCATTGCTGACTCTTCAGTCGCAGTAAGTGGCAGTGCAGACCAAAATGGCGTTTCATCGAGTCGAATGTCTGGTTGGACTTGGCGATATCCCCAGTCTCCTCATCATGTATCAGGACGTAGTATCGTAAGAAGTCGTTCTCTACCCATTGCGGAAAACGGAGATCGCCGTCATGCTGGCGATTGTAAAGCCTCCGCAGCTCTTCTATAGGGTGTGGATTCCGTGATGAGATGGCTATTATGCCAGCCACGGGATGAGAAAAGGTCTCATGAGGCACTACTGGTAGTCCTGATAATAGCCTCCGTAGATATAGAGTATGGAATGGTGAAGCGGTGCCGTCTGTCTGCGTGGCTGTTGTGTCGCCCTTGCTCATGTAGTCGGACACGGGGGATTGTTTGTTGAACTCGGAGTACTGCAGATGTCGGTCGACTAGCTCTTCGATTTGCGACACATCGCCTCCTGACCGTCGCGGTCGCCGTGTGGAGCTCGAAGATGTTCGTTGGCCACCTGTGTCCACGCGCAAGTCTGGATATGCATCGTCTACGCCTATGAAGCGCACACCAAAGTCCTCCCAGCTCTTGCTCGCCCCATTGCTATCTCGTATCGTGACCTTTCCTGGCACTGCCTCTCCGAATGGCCGCAGAAGTTGTAGTAGCCCGCCCTCCAATCCCTTGCCCCGAATCAGCTCTTCCGTCTCCGCGTCCGCAAGCACAGCAACGCATGGCACAAACGCCCGTTGTATAAGCGCGCGGTACTCGTCCGATACTCCCGGCGGCAGGCTGTTTGGCGTGCCTGTCCCACTCAATCTTGAACCCGGCGAGAAGACGGAGCCCTGTACGGTGCTTTGGGTGGGGGTTGCGGCGCCGGAGTTGGGGCGCGACGTGGATATGCTCGTGGTGGACTCGAACAGCTTGGAGAGGCTTGGGTTGGAGCGGCGGTAGGGGAGGCTTGCGAGAGAGGAAGCCGGGGATGCGCGCTGTTTGGGCAGTATCATCGACGCCTCCACATCGGCTGGGTACTTTGGGGGTTTCGGCGTGGCATCCTGAGGCGGCGTCATGAGAGGCTAGGGCGCTGCGCCCGCGGGGTTCTGGATGCGCGCGGAAGTTCTGAGGCAGTCGGCATGTATTCTGATTGTCGTGTGCTGGACTTGGCGGCAGTGAAGCGCTCCTTTACTCAGCCGCCCGTTTGTAGCTGCGCGAGTGTGACGACGTTGGGTGGTGCATCATCGCGGTTGCGGCCGCTGCGCTTTGTGACTGGACGAAATGCGGCATCTCCATCAGCACACAGCCGTTCCCTATCGTCGCACATGTGTCTGCAGACATAGCACACAACGCACACTTCAAACTTCTTGTCTGTCCCTACGGCGCTTTGCGAGCTAGAACCTCATCGCAGCAATCCTTCTGACTCATTTGGATGTCGTTGATGAGTCGAGCCTTCCTCTGTTCAACGCGAACAATTTCACTACTATACAAACGTGACTTCCCTGCACCCACCCTTCGACCACTATCACGATCGCTTCTGCTTTCCAGAACCTTCTCTGCTCTCACTCTACAGCCAACTCGTATGTCCCGGACCGGCTCACCATCCCAAAACCAAGAACCAAACGCTAAACGGCGCAAAATTGCCCGGCCCTCACCCAAATTCATACACCCCTACGGCACTATGGCGTCGACGGATAATGCCGAATCAGCCCAGTTGGAACTCACTGAGGTCGAATCGAAGCTCAGACAGCTTCTACTGGACGTGGCTGCTTACATTGACGAAGCACCCTCAAGCAGCGATGTCACTGGTGACCAGGTTCCAGAAGAGCTAGCGAAGGAAAAGATTGTATTGCGTTGGACTGGCGGATGGGTGCGCGACAAGCTCCTCAAAATTGGCAGTCATGATATCGACGTTGCCATCAACAAGATGACTGGTGAGCATTTCGGCCTAAAGATGCAAGAGTATCTCGAGATACCAGGCAATGCTGAAAAGCACGGTCTGATCGACAAAAACGACGCCCTCAGTGGACGTGACAAGACGAAGAAGATTGCACCGGGGCTGCACAAGATTCAGGCAAACCCCGAAAAGTCAAAGAACCTCGAGACCGCAACTACCAAGATCATGGGTATCGATTTGGACCTTGTCAATCTGAGGAAAGAGACATATAACGAAGTCTCTCGTAACCCAGAGATGGAATTTGGTACAGCGGAAGAGGACGCTATGCGGCGCGACGCTACCGTCAACGCTATGTTCTACAATCTCCACACTTGTCAGGTCGAAGACTTTACTGGGCAGGGACACAAAGACATGGCTTCCAAGATCATCCGTACTCCACTAGAGCCTTACCAGACCTTCAAGGATGATCCGCTCCGGGTACTGCGGCTGATCCGCTTTGCTAGCCGCCTCGATTACATGATCGAGCCGGAGACAGCAAAGGCAATGGGCAACGCAGAGATACAAGACGTCTTGAAGATCAAAATCAGTCGTGAAAGAGTCGGAATAGAGCTCGAGAAGATGTTGAAGGGTCCCAGACCACGTATGGCTCTAGAGCTGATCGACCAGTTCGGCCTTTACAGGACAGTCTTCACAGATCCTACCCGCGAGCTATCTGAACCGGACACAGCCTACTTCAAGCCAGCATACAACTTTGTTGAGACCATCATCGAGAAGAATGCCGATGTACCAGCTGCTATCCCCGATACCTTGCTGAGAAACGAGGACGAGAGGTATCTAGCTTGGGTTTGCACAACCATGATGCCTTGGATGGATGCACCCACAATACCTCATCAGAAGCCACTACAGCGACCCTACTTCGCTGCTTATCTAGTAGCTCGCGAAGGGTTCAAGGCCCCAAATAAGATCTGCGACGTCATTGCGTTTGCTTTGAGCAACAGCGAGGAAATCCGCAACGTCGTCGGTCGGTGCGCCAAGGGACTTCGGAGACCGGATACCATCAACCCGACAGATGATGCCACTGCTAGGGATACTTTGGGTATGGCTATCCGTCGTTGGGGCTCGAGCTGGAGGACGCAAGTCTTTATGAACCTCGTCTACGAGATTGTGCTTGGGCGGGTGTCAAAAGATGGTCAGTGTTGCCAATTTGCTTACTTGGCCATTGCTAATTGTTTCTAGAAATTCTTCGATCATATGACAGCTTCCTTGCCCGGGTTACCGAGCTCAAGATTCTTGATGTGGACACGTTCAGACCTCTTCTCAAAGGTACAGACCTTGCCAAGGCACTTGGTACCAAGCCTGGCCCTTGGATGAAGGACGCCCTCGATGTCGTTATGGCCTGGCAGCTACGTAATCCCGACACAACTGATCCCACCGCTGCCATTGAGGCCGTAAAGGCTTCTAAGGACGGACAAACTGATAGTGAGCTTTCCCTTCGCCTGGCACATCACTTTCTTCAGCTTACCATCCCACCTCTCTTTCCGCAGAATAAGCCCACGTCGAATGCGCTGGAAGCTTCGCGGCAACCGGCCCCTTGGAAAGACACTGGGAATCAGTATGCTTTGGACTTGCTGGAATGGGCGATCAGCACACTCGACCGGAAAACGATAGAAGGGAAATGGCATTTGCTGATGCCTCCGATACTGAAAATGATGGACGACATTGATATGAAATGGAAAGCGAGAGGATGCCACATGCTCGGTCTGTTACTCGATAATCTGCACCAGAAGATCGGGATGGACGCTGGGAAGAAGTCATCGATAGCCGTGCAGAGTTCCACAAGCTTCCTGCAACGCACTGGGTATCACAACATCTTTACTGAGGCTCTGTTCCCCATGTTCACCTACATCCCTTCCATCACACCGGAAAACGAATCTGTCACCCTTTTCCGAGAAGTGTTCCCTACTATTATCTCACTCGCCCAGCTCCTTCCGACAGACCCCAGCAAAGGCCCCTCCCGAGAACGCTTCTTGGACAAAATTTTGCGTGAAGGGGTCCTCTCTCCTCTTGCACATTTCCCTACACCCTCGTCGTACCCGGAATTGGCCACCCTGATCATGTCACACGTTCCTGTATTATTAGGCCACATGGGCATTGATTGTGTCAAGCACCTTCGCGACCTTGTGCCTCTGATCTCGGCTATACTGCAGGAGCCGTTCGCACTTAGTCACAAGCCCCTTCTTCTTTCAGCACTGAAAGCGCTGCAAAGCGTGTTGCTCAATGCGTGGCCTAGGCTACCGGGGTACAGGGGAGCAATCATGATGGGCATATGTTTGCTGTGGGCTCGGTGTGTAGAAGAGCGAAAGAAGGCCGGTAGTCAGGACATCGAGGAAATAACACGCCAGACACAGGAATCGGTCGCTATGCTGGACGCGATTATGCAGGCTACCGAGACGGACGGACTAGCGAAAGTCTGGGAGCAGGAAAAGCAGGATCTGATGCAGGCCTCATCCGGAGTTGAGGAATTATTTGACGAGTGTGTGACCGGACAAGAGTAAGCACACGTTCTCTGCGTGTCAATGAGTAGTACTTTAGCAGCCAGAAGAAGCTGCATTCATTCCATCTTTTTACGTTGTGATGTGCAGTATGTTGGGCAGTAACAAAATCATACAAAGCTAGCGCGTTGGAACCAGCAAAGCAGGATGGCTGTTTTGTGATGATCGAGTTCTTCACATCCTTGCACAGCGTGGTTGCTGCACAGTGACGACAGGCACGTGGGTACCGCCTGCAGCGATTGATTCAGATGGCCCACATGCAGGCTAACGGTTTTAGCCATGCATCGAGTGTCAGAAACAGGAAGCTGTTCTATCCTCGGAAGACGATGCCGCACACGTCGAGCGTATGAGTGGGCATTCGCGAATAGTTGCATCAGGCGACAACGTCAAGTCTGCCTGCGTTGCCGTGGGGTCCGTGGCTATGCGGGGCGACAGCTTGGCGTGTAATCGGTGTTTACACAGCCCAGATGTCAGGTCAGATACGAACTCGGGTCCTGACTGCTGCAACAATGCTGTGTAGACATTGCAACCTCCCACATGCTACTCACGGACAGAGGGCCGTTTGAGACTGCGCGCGGTGTTCTTGAAAGTGGTTCCTGGGCGCTGGCTACTGTACTCGAGTCAATAGCGGCCCGCACACCCCTGCCGGGGACGAGGATGCCATTGGACGCCTTTTTTCGACGAACGCGCGTCTCACGCTCAATGAGACGATGCTGGGGATATGTGATCTCAGTATGATGCCCGTGATGTAGAAGAGGTGTTGCTTGGCGGCATGGGTTTGGAGTGGGCCACTGTCGCATGCACATAGAGAGTGTACTCCAAGTAAGCGCGACTGCGGTGCTGCTGCGATGGATGATTATAGACGGAGGCGCAACCGTCTGACGGAGATATATGCTAGAGGCGTGGGTGAAACGCGGGGCCAATGAAGAAGGCGCAATCTGACTATTCTGTCGCTAGTGCAGGTGGCGCTTCCCCGAAGTCTGCCTGAGCGACTTCACGATGCTCGACGGCAAGTGACTACGTCGCCGAGAAGACGGGCGTAGATATGGATGCATGAGTGGTTCGCGACAGCGGCGCACGAATGAAGACTCGCAAATACTAAACCCGACGCGTCTGGCGCATGCAGAGTCTCGACGTAAAGCCGATCGGCAGCGCTCAACAAGCGTGGGCGGGACTCAGCCTCGTTAAGGTGGTTGCTTAGGGCTAGGGGGCATGTCACGGCCACTTCTTCCCGCCGCGTCCATTGCACCTCGTCCTGCTCCGACACATGTCCTCTGCTCCGGGCCCGCCGTGACTCTCTCTACACTTCGTCGCGGCACATCTCCACGGCGACATTAGCAGCTCGAGGGGTGCGCGCCGCCCAGCAGCCACGCCTGTGCCGACACCTCTCCCAAGATCATGGCCAGAGCTTATTTCGCGTCCAATCCCTCCACATCCACCACGACGACCTGTCTAGCTAGCTCTGCCCAGACTTGCACTACGACCACCACCCTACCCTCCGCCGCGTCGCCGCCCCCGCCAACTCCCTACAACTTCGCGCGCCTCGTCGGCTCCTCCTCTTCGTACCCCAAGGCCGAGGACCACGGCGACTCCAGGTTCAAGAGGTTGCCAATGCCTCTCGAGCTCGCCATCTCGTCGCGGGCGCATTGGCTCAGTCGGGTCCGGTCATGTCTCCGCCTGCTCATCATCGTCCTGAGCGGCGCAGTCGTCTGCATGCTCATGCACACGTTTGAGATCTACCGCGGCAATCGCTACATCGACCTGCGCAAAGGAGAACTGCCCATGGTCTGGCCTGCCCATACCAACCTGGCGCCGACCATCATCCTCTTCGCCATTGCCGCCGGCAACTTCCTCGCCTCGGTCGCCATCCTCACCCTCTCCTTCAAGCGCTCCTTCCGCCGGCCCTTCCGCTCGCGCGACGTCTACCGCATCGTCGCTGGCAGCTTTGGCGTCATCATGTGGATCACAGCGCTGGTCGTCTTCAACCTCTTGGACAAGGCTAGCAAGGCAAGCTTGGGAAGATACTCGTGCACCAACGCGAATGTCTTGACCAACGGCCGCTACCAATACCGCGCCGTCTGTGAAGAGCAGGTAAGACAGCGCCCCTTCCGAGTCCAACTTCATGCCGCTGACAATTTCTCCAGGGTGTCGCATTCTACACCGCCATTGGCGCAGCCTCCGCAGAGCTTCTCACACTCATCACTCTCGCCATCTCCGCCATCCTGTCCGTCAAGAATCAGGAACCACCCCCGACCATACAGATTCGCGAGAAGAACAACTCGATAAGCTCCGGCTCAAAGTACCACAAGCCTTTAAAACGATAATGCCAAAAACACGCACAAATCAATTTTCCAAATCCACCAATTGTCCTGTTTTCGCTCTTTCCTTGACCTCTTATTTCCCTTTTCACGTCGCTGCATGATACCCCGGATTTTCTCGTTTAGCGGCAAACATACAACCAAAACTTTATACGGCGTTATAATCTCGGACCATACTTTGCTCGTTGCGCAGGGCTTCGGGCCATTATGACGACTTCATCTCCCATCGCTCAAATCATCTGCATGGTATCGCGACATTGCGGCACATTTGGCGTTTGTTTCATTTGCTCTTCCCTTGTATATCTGCATTTTCCAGCCTTGGTCAATACCATCATGAACGTGGTCTTTGTCCCGTCCCCCATCACCATTAGAAGAAACACGTTGAGCCCTCCTGTTTGCCCAATAGAGTAACGGTCGCATCTTGGTATTGTCACCCTAGGATCTTGTAATTGGAAGAGAAGATGGGTGGTTTTGCTTCGGAACAAGTAGATGATATAACAAATACAATAAAACAATCGAAAGAATAATAGAAGCGCGTGGTGTGTTGTTACATGTGTTTGTTTTGATTAAAACGCCGCACTATGTGCAAGGGCTCTGATGGGCAGTTAAAGTGCGTGCTATTGACATCAGCTCTCACTATGACGTGAGCTCGGTTGCTACTACATTCACAGTATACTTTACTCTGAGGATTAGGTTCTTTAGTGACAAGGCTCTATGTCGCGCTTTGTGATTCAGTCTCGTTCTTGCCTGGGAAGCTCGTCAGATAAGAGGCCATTTGCTAACAATTTAGAGCATGTCCTGATATGAAGTCAGACTCCCATCTCACTTTTTACGACTTCTAATTGCGAGAGCCCTTCGACTGGACACGCTTCCGCTTTCGCATCATGCGCTTTGCCATCGGGTTGAAGTCCGAGGTGAAGGTGACTCCCCACTGCATCTGGCGCCGCGCGCTCTCACCTACTGCTGTCTGCCTCAACCCCACAAACAAACGCCTGCGTCGGCAGTATTGCTCTGCCTTCAGAAGCTCTCTACCTATCCCATCCTGCCTATTTAAACCGCAACATTGAGGAATTTCCGAATGAGCAAAAAATGGCATTCCGACGGGCTTGTGAGGGCGATGGCAAAGACTCACTCCTCCAGATGCTTGTCCCAGTTTTCTCGCCTCTGTGAAGTAGCTGATCATGCCGCGGGCGCATGCTTCCAGCAGATACCTCTCGTACCTAGGTTTATTTTTGCCCTTTTCTCTGGCTTGAGTTTGGTGCTGGTTCGAGACTGGTTGCGGCCCTTATTTCTATTTGCCCTTTTGTCTTCGGCGGGTATGACCTTTTCTTTTCGCTTTATTGCCGCTCAAGAGCTGCGTTGGAGTTGAAGTTTATAGCCCAAGTGTTGATAGCGAATGGGTAGTCGTTTTGGAGGTAGACAGTTGCAGAGCGCGCGTTTCTGGGTGGATGTTTGCCGGTGGCAGTTTCCAGTGGGTGAGAAAGATTAGAAGTCGACGCGGTCGATTGACATGTATTAGTAGTAGTCTGGCTTGACTGAAGCTATTAAATCTATGCGTTGTCATACCAGCGTCTTGAAGAATCTTGTGTAGGTCTGTATAGAGAGCAGCCTGTAACATGTCCCTTACCGTGGCCACAAAGAGAGGTCATATTCGCCTCGCTCTAGGCTCTGAGACATCCGGAGAACGTCACAGACTCGTCCTGGCGGTGTTTTAAGACGCCAAATAGCCAAGATACACGGGCGGATACGTGTATCGAATGCTGGCCGATGTTGCAGTGTTGCAAGGAGACAAAGGCGAGGTGCTGGAAATGTGGGAGATGTGGATTGCGGAGTGATGACTGACGTTGGCCGATTGGAAGCGCGCATTGACCCCGGCTAGCGCGTTAATCCCTGCATGCTCCCGCTGAGAACTTCCAGAACTTTTTTGAGGTCGAACACATGCGACCGTGTTTGCGACAGGATATGAGACATGGGCAAACGGTCGGCTTTCGAGGCCAATACCAAGAGTGCACACTCTGACCGCGACTCGAAGCGTCAGCGATTCGACGACACCCACGAGCGCAACTCACCACGACCGAATGGCGCCGCCGAGGACATCACGTCTGGGCGCGACTTACAGAATGCGCTGTACTTCGACCAGAGCTCCTCAGCCGGCTTTCGAAGTGGTAGGTGCAACCAGATGCTATGTATGATCAACGGCTGACATGATTAGGCCTAAGTACTTTCAAGCGATTCCTCGATTCGATCCTCTACCCGACCGATGAGCACGACGTGCCCCGCAAGCGAGCCATTCTCCGTGAATACCTGGACACACAGAAAGGAAGAGGCCAAGATGAGAAGGAAAAGACGTTCCTGCAGAACCTGATTCACGGGTGGGACCACGCTGTCGAAACCAACTACAGTGCCGTCGTCTCCCAGGTAACAGCTGTGCTCGCGCTCCTGTTTAAGGTTTTTGCGACCCATGGCGATTTCCTCGAGTACGGCACTCTGCTGGCCAAGACTCTGCTACAGCCATCGGTCGCTCGTCGTTTCGTCCGAAGTACCTCAGCGGCACCCAAGGAGGAGAGCGTCATCGCGCCGGCATTGCGACTGCTCACAGAGCTTACTCGGTTCAATGAAGGTGCGCATGCGAGGGCCGTATACGCCAAGAGAGACTTTACGCTCGAGCCGAAGATACTTGGAAGGAACATCAATCTCGGAAGAGAGCAGTCGGCGGCAGACCATGTCAAGAAACCCAGCATTCGCACTACGGCCATCAGGTATCTTCTCATGCATTTGAGGTATCAGGACGAGCGGGCAAAGAGCGAAATACTCTCCAACACCAACGTCGTCCGTGCCGTCTTCGATCACATCCGCGCGGACCCGCCGTTCCTTATCTACGAAATCCTCGATGTATTCACAAGCCATGTTTTTCAAGACAAGACTATTGCAAGGCACACCAAGAGTAGAATTCTGAACGGCAAGGCACTCTCGCGTATAGCCGGTCTGTACAGCTATGAGGTGGAGGAAGGCGCTCTTTCCGAAGGACAGAAAGCACCCGATCAGCTCGCTCACGATTTCCTTCGCTTAGTTTGCACCGACCCTGCTTATGGTGTCATGCTGCCAACACAGGGCTTCTACCCGTCTACTTTTGATGACGACGAAGGCGAGCTGGACGATGCAGCTGACTATGGCAACGATCTGGGCCTGGAATCAGTTGACAACTACAGCAAGACTGTTAAAGTGCGGAACATCATTCTTTCAGAGTTCATCCAGAGCCAGAGGCCATACGCAAATACCTTTCACCAAGAGCTTGTCGTCGATATCTTTCGAGCCTGTCCTGAGCTTGTAGCAGACTACTTTGTCAAACGACGCGACTTCAGTTACGATCCAAAGCTTACTTCGACATGGATAGGATACTCCGCGTTCTTGTATCAAGCTATCCAGCTCCCTGTACCCAAATACTTCGGCGCGAAGAGGAACTTCCGCGACCATCCACCGCCGGTACCTGTCCTTATGAACAGCATCCTTCCACAGCCTCTGAATCAGCAAGTGCTCACTAAATGTCTCAACCATAACTCCGACCTCATCCAGCTGTTCGCCATCCGAGTTCTAATTGTAGCGCTCCAGAAGTTACAGGCCGTTCTCCAGGAGCTCAACAATGCCAGTGCTACCAGATCCTCGAAACAGTGGGAGCAAGCAGCCAAGCGCCTAGTTTCAGAAGTTAGCAGACGTTGCCCGCCGATTCGCACTGTCTTTTTGGCACTGAAGAAACCTGGTCTGAAAGACATGAAGCGGGAGTCGATCACCAGGCTGCTGCGGCTTTACTACGAATCCACGCCCCAAGTTGCGCTACAAGAGAAATTCGATGTTTCGCTACCGTTGTGTAACGCATTGGTAGAGGTCGACAAGCCCACAGCTTCGCCCGAAGACAAGGTTTTCCGTATCATGGAGCTCGAGCACTGGATACAGATGGCGAAACTATCACCAGCTATGCGTTGGTGGCAAAAGCAAAGTACGTTATCTCGACCTCTTTGGACAGCCCTTACTGACTTTGCAGAATCACTTCAATACTCGCCATTTGTAACACTTCTCAAGCTTCTGGTGACATCGAAAGAGAGCGAACTGTACACAGGCATTAGGTCTCTCCTGAGCGACATTTTGAATGACCAGGAAATGTTGCAGACCAAGACTTCACCCGACGCGCTCGATGCACTAATTGCTAGTTTGGGATCAACCTCTGGATCAGTAACGCCTTCTACCGACGTCCTCGAGTTCCTGGACGACTGCTGCGCGCGGTTCACCAAGGTGCCTATCAAGTACTTTGATGATTTAGATGTCATGTGTGGCCGCACTGCGCAATCTACAACTGGGCTTGGGCCATTCAGTAACTTGCTCATGACACTAGTAGAACAATGGCCCTTCAAAGGTGGGGAGACAGCCACAAATAACACGGCGGATACCATTGCTCAGTGGCTGTCGAGACTGCTGTATCTCCTCAAGCTAATTGGCGAAGACGAGACAGCACTGGAACACGTACGCGACGCACTGGTAGAATCAGCGAATGTAGCATACAAAGAGGTGCTGAAGGATGCCTTCTTGTGGAAAATGGGCAAAGAAAGAGCGAAGGAGGCCTTGAAGCTGGCAACCGGGGCAGACTTCAGCGGCTCAGATAGATCATCGACATCGCCGGTTCCAAGGCCTACGGAAGAGCCTGAGCAGCATGCCAAGCTCAGGTCTGCTGTCGATCTTGAAAGGCCACCCGTCGAAGACAAGAAGCACACTGGACTCACACGTTGGAGGAAGAAAGAGCTGAGTGAAGCAATTGATGATGGAGACATTGGAGAACTACTGTTGTGCCTTTGCTCCGAGCACCCCGAGATCCGCATACAAGCCATCAGCAACATTCGACGTGTCATTGCGACTATTATGACAAGCAGTCGTAACAATGCTGAAGCAGACGACACAGCTACTGGACAGCAGGGACTCACTCCGGACTGGGATCTTCAGCAACTCTACCTTCTCCTCTGCGAGGTCTTGGAGTCGGTGGATCCGGCAGGTGCTGAAGCTTTTCCCTACGTTGGAGGTGTATTAGCCGCTCGTTGTGCTGGCATTGTAGCGGATCCCACACACACGCTCTTCAGCACAGTGAACAACTTCCTTACGGCCTCCCCAGCCTGGGATGTCCATTCATTACTGCGCTTCTTTTGGCATCGCATCGTCGCCAGTCAACCAGACGACGACACCACCTACCACAAGGAAGTGGACTGGTACTTCGACTATCTTCTGGACAGTCTGCGGACACCTGCAGATATGGAACTGTTTAGGAGGAGCAACATCTTTGAACAGCTGTTGACTCATTACGGCTCTCGATCATGTCCTGCGTCGGCAAAGGACAAGATCGTGAAGCTACTGCTGCGAGCAACACATGTGGAAGGCAGTACGACGCTCATCACGAGGTGCGGGCTTATCCCGTGGATACAGATGATGCTTGATAGCCATGATCCGCGACATCGCGCTCTGAGGACACTGGCCGGGCGTGTCTACGACACATGCGACCGGGAGAAGGTAGCTGCATGGAGCAGTGACAGCCTAGGCGAAACGATCGCTTCGCTATGCAAGGTCTGAGTTTTGTAGTTTTGCACATGTCTGTAAACCGTATGGGGCGTTGGGGAAGCCACTCCGAAGCATTGCAGGGCGTTGTTTGCGACTTCCTAATCTAGAGGTCATCTGAAGGTCATTTGTGGCGCGATTGCCTGGCAGAAAATCAAGGCTGCCACCATCACGCGATATGGTCTGATTCCCATGCGCAATCATGTCGTGATTACTGTGAAGATGCGGCTTCAGCGAAAGTGCAGGCTGAAGTCATGTGCTGGACCCTAATATGACGCACCTGCTAGGCACTCGTTCCCGCAGCACTTCTTGGCGCGCATCTCCCAGGGCTCTCTCGAAGAGGCCCGCACCGCTCGCGACCTGGACTCAAAACCACAACAAACATCTGCGCTATCAACCGCACACCCGCTGCCTACCCCCAAGTATCCCAGAGCTCTCCAAGACATTTGCACCCCAACCTTGCTGTTCTGCTGTCAGCAGTGAGCTCGCAACCGTTTCTTCTCCGCTTTCTGTCGCCGCACACCCCTACCACGTTGCATCCCACCTCGAGCTCCCTCACCTCCTTCAACGAATTGCGACACGCACGCGTCTGCTCAACCTTTACATTGCGACCGCTTAGCATCACGCCATCGTACACGTCTCTTTGAACCGCAACCGTCACCGAGGCCGCATATTTAGTCCTCGTAAGGGCTGCAGAGCGGGCACTGTTCAATTGCAAGCGAGTCAAGCGATTCACCACCCGCCCGCTTCAGGACGGCCTCCTCACCCATCACCAATAACCAAACACTACAACACCTGCTTCTCGGTCTGCCTCTCGTCCCTGAGTAAAGCAAGCCTCGGCTAGCCCACACACACCTGCTCATTCGCGCTGCATTGAGCTCGCGAGAATGCGGGGGCCTACCTATTCGGAGGCTGACCTGTTGGCTTTGAAAGAGTCTCCCCTCGTCAAGAAGCCGGACGGGCTACCTTCAATCCAGCAATGGATGGATGTGCCTGCCGACCAAAACACCAACAATGCCCACGCCAACAACAATGGAACCATGCGTCGCACTCGGGCCGCTCGAGACGGAGAAGGGGCTACGCCAAATGAGCAGCGACCGCTGATCAACCCCATGGGCCAATTCGGTCGGCGCCAGAGCATGCGTAAGTCTTCTGATGTTCAGGGTATCAAGGCCGCTATTGACGCGCTTTTTGTAGAACCTGGCGAAGAGACAGTGCTCGGTCCGCCAAAGCTAGCCTTCCTCTCGGCGCGCACTCCAGCGAAGGGCACAGGCGATACAAAAGAACGCACAGGCTTCACCTCTACAGACGGAGACAACGTTGGCGACCGCTTTCCAAAGAACGACCGGTGGACACGGGACCGCGAAAACGACCGGAACCGGGACAAGGGCTACGCCAATGGCCGTCGCGTTCCACGCGAGGACGGTGAGGGCTGGACAAATGTCAAAGGACGCAAGAGTCTGGGCCAAGAAGACTTTGAGCGCTTCCACCGTAATGGCGATCGCAACCGCGACAAGCACGAGGGGGACCCCGAGATGGACGTAGCCCCACGCCGTGGCAATCGCGAGCGAAACGAGCCGCGCTGGGGTCGTCGCGACGATAAAGATGAGGGTACAAAGACCGGCGTCCAGGGCGGTTGGCGCGAACGAGACCGAGATCGCGAGCGAGACAACGGCCGCGAATGGAACAGGGGCGGTAACCGTGGTGAAGAAGACCCAGAATGGATGGACACCAAAGTGGAGAAGAAGGAGTTCAAGCCTCGCACACAAGAGGACTTCCAGCGCTGGAAGGAGCAAATGAGGGCTAAAGATACCCCGGCTGGCGAAAAGGAGGAATCAAGAGAGGTTCCCGCAGAGATATCTACGGCTGTCTCAATCACCGCTCCGCCTATGTTGACTGCGCCCCTGCACGCGCCTTCTGCGGCCGAACCTACACAGGGAATCCTCTTCGGAAATTGGGGTAGAGACAAGTCGGCAGAGATCCCACCAGCAGAGACCATCTCGGCGAAACCCAAGCCAGATAAGAAATCGAGGTTTATGACAATGTTTGCGAAACCTGAAGAGTCGCAAGCGCCCAGCCAAATGCCGGCCCCGGCACCTGCATCGCCAGCACCTGCCATGGAAGCCAACGCCGACAAAGAAGGCTTCCAGCGTATCCTCCAGATGCTTGGTCAAGTAAGCACTGGGCCTTCCCCGGGACCCCAACCCCCTACGAGCATGCCAACCCCAACGAACGGAATGAGGCAGGGTGGAGGCGTCTCATTAGACTTCCATCAGCAATCGCCGCCGCCGGATCTGCAGCACGGTAGACCACCTCCAAGGACACTCGAACAGCAGAGCATATTGGAGCACATTCTGGCTCCACGAGCCGGTCCACCGGATTCTCGACCTTCACAGCAATCGCGCTTCAACAGCATGTCGCCAGAGAATGCGCTTTCTGAACAATTCAGACCCCCACGCCCTGACTCTGGCCATCCAGAAGATCACTATCCTCACCAGCCCCCGCCGCAACGTAACGCCCCGCAAGATGCAAATCTCGCAGCTTTGTTGAACAGTCGTCAGCGCGAGGATACGCAACGCGATCAAGTCACGAAGCAGCGTGAGCGTGACTTCCTATTGAATTTGATGCAGCAACCTTCTCGCGCTACACCGCCGCAGGTACAGGGTCACAACTTGCCTCGCCCATCTCAGGAAGCTCACAACATGCCTTTCTTCGAGCAATCAAGACAGCAGCCTCAGCACCCTGCTCAACACCAGGCCAAGGGTCGTGGCGGTCTGCCTCCAGGTTTCATGGAAGACCCTCGTATGTTCACAGAGAACGAGATGCTGCGTCGTGAGGCTGCCGATCGCCAATTGGAGCTTCAGCATATGCAAAGACTACAACAACAGCAACAGCAACAACAGGAGTCCATGCGAGCCAAGAACCAGCGCATGCCAATGGGATATCCAACCCCGGAAGATCCACTAATGGGCCTCCAGCGCCGCAACACAGGAGGTGACCCGCGCATGCCAACCAATATGGGTATACCTTCGCAGCCTGTACCGGATATGCCATATATGGGCGGACGAGGTCAACCGGGAATGCCGCCAACACCGCAAGAGCGGCCGAACATCGCTCCACCACCAGGATTCGGCGGTCCAATGCGTCAGCCACCTGGCCTCAATGGTCCCAACCCTCAGCAAATGGGACCTGGAGGACCGAGCTTCTCAGCTGGCAACACACCGCTTGGTCATCCTCCTGGCTTTCCGCCCGGTGGCAGTATCCGCGGATTAGGCTTTCCAGGCGGACCAGGAGGACCCGGTGGTAATGGCATGCAGGGCCCACCTGGCTACTTCCCACCTCCTGGCTATGGCGGCCCCCCAATGCCCGGTATGCGAGGTGGTGAAGATCCACGCATGATGTTCGACGGCCAATTCGGCGGACCTCCACGCCAGCAGCCAGGTCGTCCTGGGCCACCCAATATGTACTAGCTTCTCGTACAGTCTCGACTGAAGGGCTCATCTTCGAGCTTGAATGTATTCGGGGTTCACAAACCATCAACTTTACATTGATTTCAGCAGAATGTAATAATGTCAGTTCTTGGCTTCAAGCGTAGCGTCGGCGTCGGGGATGCTGTATATTTGGGTCTGGGCCTTCCCTTTTCTACAGCGATATGTCCCTGGGAAGGACAGGATTGGCATGTCGTCAGATTTCAGATGTGATATGTCTGATCTCTGAGGGTTTTATGTACGTACAGTCACTTGGGCACTCTAATGTATAGAGGGGCTACGAGGCACGAGACGATGCCATCGCAGCAAGAACAAAGATGTACTGCGCTACTGCAGCGTAGTTACATGAAGAAAGAAAGAAACAAGAAGAAAAGGCCAGCTTGTAGATCATAGAATGTATCGACAGTTGGTGCAACTTGATATCTCCAATGATTGTGATACGCATGTGCCTGAAAGTTTGGTATGACACTGTAATGAATCATGCAAGACGGTTTTGATAGGGTTAACGTGCTCATGTTCATAGACCAGGTGAACCTCGACTTGACACACGCAGCATGTACAGTTATCGAAGTATAGAAAGAATTTGAATTACATTGCTCATGTGTATCACTGAATGATAAACGCCAGAAGATATCCCCCACCTTCGCCACATATGCTCATTGACATCATCCAAGATGGCTACATTACCACGTCGCTCCTCGGCCGACTTACAGTACAAGCATACCGAGCAAGCTGCCCGCAGCCAGGACAGCATACGCGCCCATGACTAGATGGCCATGGGGGAAAAAACCAGGCGCGTTGACGCTGGGAGCAGCACCCTCAGAACTGGAGCTTGCTGCACCACCACTGCCGCTGCCACCACTGACAGCCGCAGTACCCTTACCCGTAGCCTCAGGTACACTGCCATCGCCCTTGTTGCCTGCAGCACTCAGTAGTGAGGCACAGTTGCCAGCAGTGGTAGCGCTCTGGATGCTAGCTCTGCCCGAGAAGCTGCAAGCATCTGCGCGCTTCTTCTGTCCAATGTAGTATTGGTTTGCGACAAACGCAAGTTGGTCCTTGGGGTCGCAGCCAGAGTAAGCACCGAAGTCACCGGTTGTAGAGTTGCGCGCAATGCCGTTGCAGTAATCTTCGTTCTCGCCGCAGATGAAGTTGAAGTCGTCGGCGTACTTGTCGTCATCGTCGGATTTGTAGACGCACTGTAGGCTGTCCACCATGCAGGCGCATAGCTGGGGGTTGACGTTGGGAGGCAGTGGCGAGGCTTGCGCGAGCCATGATCCACCGACTGAGGGGCAGGCAGGTGCCGAGTTGGTGGGTGTGTATTCAGATCGTTGAGTAATAGCTGGAGTGGCGGAGGCGAGCTGGCTTTGTAGAGATGTGAAGTCGGGGTAGGGCGATACGCTGGCGCCATTGTCAGCGAGCGAAACGAGTCCGTAGTCGTTTTCACCCATAAACCACTCGTAGACGATACCGCCAGAGAAGACGTCAGTCATGTTGCCGTAGAGAACCTCAACCTCGGTGAATGGACGGCTGGTGGGACCGTCATCCAAACCTTCGATGCATCCGTATTCAGCGAAGAAGACAGGGACGGGGTAATCGGAGAAGAAATCGACGCGCTCGCCATAGGAAGAAGAAGCGTAGTTGCTGTCGCCACACCACGAGTAGACGTTGTAGCCCCAGAAATCGATGGAGGTCTTGTTTCCTGAGTCGCCGGGCTGGCACGCGAAGTAGTGCGCAAGCTCATTGCGCGACGGCACATCGGCAGTCGCGTAACCCACACCTAGCGTGTTGCGGTAGTCTTGGTTTTGGATATACGTCTTGGTGTCACGGACAGCAGCCTTGACAAATCCGGCGGCAGCCGTTTGGTTATCGCTGCTGACGTTCTCGTTACCAGCAAAGAAGCCAATGACATTCTTGTATTTGCTCAGCGCGTCGATAACCCCTGTGTATCGCTGATACAGCGTGACGTCCCACTCTGGGTTGTTCGACTCGATCGACGTGCCAGGCTCTCCCAGGTCGGAGATGACATAGATGTCTGCGCTGGCCAGCTGCTCCATGCAGTCATCGTGGTTTTGGGTCGGATCGATAGCGTATACGCGAATGACATTGGTGTAGATCTGCTTGAGGTAGGGAATGTCTCGTCGGCAGGCGTCGCCGTCGGCTAATGGATCTGTGTATTTCGTATCGGCGCTTGTCGAGCCATTGGGAGAGTAGTTCTGCTGGTATGCGACACCCTTCAGATAGCTTGGATGCTGTCAGTATCGTGCTCTAGACTGGCAGAATGGGCGTGTACTCACAACTGCGAGCCATTGTTTGTGTAGAAGAAATGTTGGCCATAGACCTCAATGTCTGGTATGTCGTCGTAACTGGCTGCCTTTGCCCCGCTGGTGGCTAGCGCTGCCACGGCAGCAGAAACGATACCCTTCCACATTACCATGCTGATTGTCGATAGCGAATGTAGGTAATGAATGAATGGGTATTCGAAGCTTTCTCAGCGCAGTGCTTGGTAGGCAGTGCGCAAAAGCTTGGTTGCGGAGTGAGTGGATAATGGACAAAGAACCGCAGTGTTTCCGGGGCAGCCGGAGAGTTATTGTTTTCCTTGGTTTTAGGGAACCCGGGACGCGTGTCTTACGGGTTACGGCTGGCTGCAGGTACTATACTATTTCTATCACTTGGGTGGCTATGCTGACAAGTCGCCCGGCCCGAGGTGGCGACGTAGGCGCTGATGACGCTGCTGTCGTTGTTTGGTGTGGGGCTGTCGATTGGGCGATCTATCGATTAGTCGAGGGCTAAGCTTTTCGGGAGCGTTTAGTGGGTTTGCCTTCCCCAGTTTTCTTCATTCTTGGTTGGCGTCGCGCTGTGCTGCTCAAAATCGGGCAGACTTTTGACTTGTCCGTTGCTGCGTGCTACGTGCTGCGGGAGTTGAGGAAGCGACACGCGACGCAGGTCCAGAGGTCCGCCATCAGCCGCGCATACCCCGTATCCGTATCTCGCTTGTTACGATGAATGATGCAAGGATGGCTCCTCAGTGCCGAGGTCCGCCAATAGTAAAGAGAAGGAGCAGGCTCTTTTGACAATGTTGTTACTATCGGTGACTTTTACAAGACTGGATGGAATGCCAACTGAGTGGAAAGAAATAGGTATCGTACACACGACCTCCGTGCCATTTGCCAGCGATGATGACTGGGCGTTCGGGAATAATACCTAGGTACCCTCACCATGGCAACTAGTCGCGGCCCTGCAGCCCTCACCTCGCCGCTATCGCACTACCATCTCCATGCACAAAAAGAGCCGACGTAATGGTGTACGCAATCTGCGGTCTTTGATTCGTATTCCGCAAAGAGAGAATCAGTTCAGATGCCCCTGTTTCCTCAGAACACCCTCCCAACCACAAAAGCCTCAAACACGGCGTTCTCAAAAGCTTCTCTCTCGACCACACCACCGAAGCCATAACACCGCACTAATGCCACCAACTTCTCTTTCAAGCTGTCCCACCTGTATGCCTCCAGTCCCGCAAATCCCTCTTGTCGCCGGATATAATCCCACGCCTGTACTGGCGTGACTTCGCCGTCTTGAAGCGGAACATAACTAGACAGTGCTAGAAGCTGGTCGATACTCGCATGTGGAACCTCCCAAGTCGAAGGAGAGAACTGTCGTTGCCCAGGTGGTGAAGGGTGGAGATGAAAGAGGCATGCTGAGACAGTCAAGGCGTGGCCGGTCGAAGCAGAAGTATCTGTGTCGGATCTGCCAGTATTGGGCGAAGCCACATCGATATGTGGTAAACAGGGAGACTCAAGACTATACGTAGGAGTTTAGTGACGGCGCAGTGAGGAAAGACAACGGGGATCTCATACGTCAAGACGAAGTCCATCCCAACAAACTCTGGGTCCATGTTACCCATGCATATCGCAGAGCCACCAGGCGAGCCCGTGGTGGATGTGTACCCTGATAATGCGGAGCCAGACAACGGCGGACTTATGAGCTGTGCCGAGCCGGCTGCATGACAAGTGTCAGCTACCACGGATTGAGAACACTTGTCGTAGCCCAGCCGTAGTGTACTTACGTAACGATTGCTGAGACACTTGCTGTGCGTATATCTGTTTCCGTCGGTTCTTTTTCTTGTTCTCTTCTTGCCCAACGGTTAGAGCGATCCTCTTCTCAATCTCCACGTTCGCTCCCTCTTCCTGTTGAGCAAGTCCTACTCTTGATCTATCGGGTACGGCAATGCCGTTTTGAGTCAGCAGACCTTTCAAGAAAGCGACCTCAGAATACAGCGCCTTGGTTTCTTGCGACAATCGAGCTTCATTTGCGCGGAGCTGGACTACTTCACTTTCGAGAGAAGCCGTGTATGCTTCTTTGCGCTCGCGATGTGTTCTGATTCATGTTCAGTAGAGCACCTGACGTATAAACACGGAAGCGCAACGTACTTCTGCGCTCGTCGAACCTGTTCTCGCCGCCTTTGTCCTGGATTACGCGTATCGCCATCGTCTGAATACAGCGAGATGTATGCTTAGCGACCCGTACCTGGAGCTTCGTAGGCCCTGATTGGACATACCGTCGGGAGAACTCTTGTCGCCTTTGAACGGCTTGAAGGTGAACTTCATCACGTGCACAGCCTGTATGGTGCTCCGGTATTCAGATGTGGTGTTCTGTCAGCCACCCGATAGGAAGACCGGAAATGGACCACTGTGCTTATGGCCCCAAAGTGCAGAAACCTGATAGGTAATCAGTCTCTCTCGGAAGACAAGAGCGATCAAGGCGACGAAGCTGCGCGTGCTGCGCAGATGCCAAGTCTAGTGTTCCCATTATGCCGTATCCATCTCCAATGTCGCGCCAATGACAACGGCCCGGTTGACATGTCTGACGGGCGCAGTTGAGACACGGTGTCACAAGTCAAATTGCGCGCCCTGGCCCTGTTCTCAGCTGGGAATTCTAGGCTAGCCCTCTCTGGTAATTGCTTCAGAATCAAATCTACTCGTTCAGGCAATAGATCGACGAAGCGCTCGCTTGACACGGGCACCGTTTCGTATTTACCGCATACCCGATATGTACCATCTCTTCGCGCTGCATTTTCCATGAAACCAAGCGACGGGTGGTGCGGAGAATCCTTGTAATCTTCAGCCTGAGGCTGTAGAAGTGGCTTGCTCCCCCGGTCGTCTTCTGAAATTATACGCCATTCCGGATTAGGCAATCTTGATCGAATAATCGCGGTCTCTTGGAACGCAAAAGTATCAGGCTTTGGCTCAAAGGCGGTTTCTATAAGAGAAGGGTGTGTATTTGGCGATTGGGCATTCAACAGATCAGCTGGACTCTCTATCTTACCTTCTCCACACACTCGCTCTCAGGCTACCCATTCACACTTCATCATTAATCTCTGTTCTGTCTTGACGCCGTACTCAACACCGCAAACATGTTCACCAAATCTTTCCTCTTCGCTCTCCTTCCTTCAATGGCAGTAGCAGCACCACACCAACGACCCCGTCCAGGCGCACACCAGGGACAACAACAAGGTGGAATGAGCTGCATGCAGCAGCAGAGTGCTGGAAAACCTGCTGTCGGCAAAGCCATCTACATGTTGACTAACGATGCCGAGAACGCTGTCGTTGCGCTGCCCATTGGAGCCGATGGTATGCTTTCGCAAGGCAAAGTTATGAAGACGGGTGGTGCGGGTTCTATTGCCGTCGATGCAGATGGCAAGCCCGCGACGCCTGATGCACTGGTTGGCCAGTCGGCATTGACTGTCGTTGGGAACGTGAGTTTAACACATCTCCGGAGAATATGGACAAGAATGTCGGACTGACGAGTCTCAGAACCTGTTTGCCGTGAACGCTGGCTCCAATACGCTTACCATGATGACCATATCAGCCAACGATCCCACATCACTCGCCTGCGCCGGCAAGCCTGTAGCCATACCTGGAGAATTTCCCAACACCGTCGCGGCATCTGCAAAGAACAAGCTTGCATGCGTGGGAACTACGGGTGCACTAGCTGGAATCTCATGCGCACCTTTCTCCGAGCAAGGGCTTGGACAGATGGACGACCTCCGGCCCTTCGACCTCGGACAGACCACTCCCCCCGTTGGACCCCTAAACACCGTGTCGCAGGCGTTCTTCTCATCCGATGAGTCCGCTCTCTTCACCACCGTCAAGGGCGATCCAGCCGTGAACAACACAGGGTTCCTCTCCACCTACGCAGTGCAAGCTTCCAATGGCGCCGCCGCTCTCTCGAAGAAAGACGTTCGCAGCTCACCCGAAGGAACCGCCGTGCTGTTCGGCTCAGCTACCATGCCCAACGACCCATCCTCCCTCTTCGTCACCGACGCGTCCTTTGGTGCTGCCGTCCTATCGGTAGACTCTCAAGGCCAAGCGACAGTCAAAGGCTCCCAGAAGATCGACGGTCAAGCAGCAACCTGCTGGGCAACAATTTCCGATGCAACAAAGAGCGCATTCGTTACAGACGTCGGTGTCAACCGTGTTGTGGAGATGAGTCTAGATGACGCGAGCATCATCATGCAGCTCGATCTGTCTGCTAATGGCGATCCTGGTCTGATTGATCTCCGCGCTGCAGGCGACTTTGTCTATGCCTTGAGTCCTGGCAATGGAACCACCAACGCGGCGATTACAGTGCTCGATGTTTCCGGAGGTCAAGGGTCAATGAAGCAGGTGCAGCATTTCGACCTGGGCGGAATGGCAGGAAAGACCGCTCAAGGTATGGCTGTGATGATGTGAGGGGTCTGCTGGTGTCTTTGTAGTATGTAGTTTCTACTTTTGTTAGTTTTTATATGTATCATACTCGATGTTACGTGCGCGCTGCTACGCTGCCTATACATCATGAAAGCCAATTATTTGCCATAACACTACTATAGTGTGTCATTGAAGTCTCTTTTAGTGTAACGTCCTGCACCATTTCAATTCGCACAGGAGCGAGTTCTACAGTATTTCTACATTTTGTACAGGTCGTTCAGTCGTAGCGTTGGTGCACTCATCTGAGGCCAACTGTGTGTAACCGGCGTATTTGTTTCCTCTTTTCTGGATTTGAAGCGGGCGGAAAGAAATCACCAGGAGTGGGACGTGGTCGGTGCATCTGTTGCGCGGGTGTCGGCGGGCTGGCAGACTTGCTAGACTCGGTGGGCGACGTGTTGAGTGCCTGCGGCGACTCTTGTGTTCGATAATCAAGATCTTCGGCATCCTCTTCCAGATCTTCGATGTCTTGCTCCAGTTCTCTTAGTGCTTCATCGGCGGTCTTGTCCTTCCTTTGATGTGTCCTTAGCACTCCACCCCACAATGTCTCGAGGTCTGTCTCGGCTCTCTTCTCTTCTGTGAACATCTGCACGACTACATTGACGCCAGGCTTGATGTCTCTGAAACCGACAAACTGTTTCACATCATCTCCGGGCATGTGCGTGTCATCGGGATGCGCTTCCAGTTTCCCAAGTGTGCAACAGATCCAGCCTGTGCGTATACCGTCGTCAATGTTGCCTTCGGGTGCGGAACCACCAACGTTTGCCAACATTCGCATGCGCTTGGCCTTTCGCCTCAGCTTGATCTTCAGCTCATTGCGACCCAGCAAACCGGCTGCATTCGCCTTCAGTCCGTGTTCGCGTCGAAGGTATCGGCAGAATCGGTCGGCTGCTACGTGGAGATGCTTTTCCGAGCGCGCTGTTGCGATGAGCATGATCAGCTTGGGGCCGAGCGCAGGCGGAGGGTCAAGATTTCGCAGGTCGAGCAATTGCAAGTCGTCGAGACCGGCCGTGATGGAGACATATTCGAGAAGGGTGGCTAGGAGAGGTGGCGGGTTCGGAGGGAGGTCTGGGATCTGGGCGGGATTCAATGCGGGCGACGGGACCGATGACTGTTGTCTGAGATACCACGGGATTGCATTGTCTTGTTGGGAAGGTGGCGTTGTAGATGGCGAGGCTTCGGTCGCGACTTCTGGCGCAGCTTCTTTCCAGCCCTCGGAGGCGTTCGTTGTGGCTTCCTGGGATACAGTGTCGTCGTTAACAGGCTTGGAACTGTCGTCGAGGAAGCCGAACCCGGGATCGTCGGTTGAAGGATCGTTCTTGTCTACCCGCCGAAGTGCACTCGTACTGAAGGCGCATCGTGAGACTGTCGAAGGCGCGGTGCGCAAAGATGCGCCATTGGGTCGGGGCACTGAGGTAGATTGGCGAATCTGGGTACTCCGACAGGCATTGCAGATGAACCTAGAAGAGGCAGCCCTAGAGAAAGACATGGTGTGGATAGAGCAGACACGAATAGTGGCATGGCACTGCGCAGTTGGACTTTCTCGATGACATCGGTGTTTCGTAGCACCGACTGTGGGCCCCTACTAGCGTCCTATGAACTTCCCCATCACATGTCTGGCCTTGTAGCACCAGCATTGTGATGACAGCACGCTATCGTGTATAAACGATATCCGTCGCACGAGTTATAAATGGCACTACTATAGAGTGAAAGCTCGCTCATTCTGTGTCTATGATAACACTGATATATTGTCTTCAGCGGTTTGGGTAGCGGGATGCATCTGCCAAGAGAGCTAGTGGGGGCGAAAGAGGGCTTGCGGCGAACTTTTGAAAATCATCGGGCACGCGGGGCACCAATTTCAAAGCAGTCACTGCCTGTCCGACTCACACCGACCGCTGCTTCTCTCCTTATATATCCTTCCACTGGTCCTCTGATACCTAGAGGGACGCGCACTATCGAAACCTCTCTATCCAAACACCACCGCACACATGGAGGGCGTCGTGATGGATGCTCAGCGCTCTTTCGCGCCTGAGCCCAAGAACTCGGCCACGATTCTCTGCGCAGACTGCGGCGCGCCGGTTGACGGCACACTCTCGGGCGCCTTTTGCTACGACTGCATCAAACTCAAGACGGACGTGACGGGCGGCATCCAGCGCGAGGCAATCCTGCTCATGTGCCGCGACTGCGACCGATGGCTCTCCCCGCCCACCACCTGGGTCGTCGCTGCCCCCGAATCGCGCGAACTGCTCGCTCTCTGCCTGAAGAAACTGCGCGGACTGAACAAATTGCGAATCATCGATGCCGGCTTCATCTGGACGGAGCCCCACAGCAGGAGGATCAAGGTTAAGATTACCGTGCAGTCGGAGATCAACGAGGGCGCCATCATGCAGCAGAGCTTCGAGGTCGAATACACACAAAACTACAACCAGTGCCCAGACTGCGCAAAGAGTTACACCCACAACACATGGAGGGCCTGTGTGCAGATCCGCCAGAAGGTGCCACACAAGAGGACCTTCTTGTACTTGGAGCAGTTGATCCTCAAGCACGGAGCCCACAAGGACACGATCAACATCAAGGAAGTTCACGACGGCATCGACTTCTTCTTCTCCCAGCGAAATCATGCCGTAGGCTTCTGCGACTTCCTCAAGGCCGTCATCCCAGTCAACATCAAGCGCTCCGAGGAGCTCATCTCACACGATATCCACACTTCAACCAAGAACTACAAGTTCTCCTTCTCCTGCGAAATCGTACCCATCTGCAAAGACGATCTTGTAGTCCTCCCTATTCCCCTCGCAAAGAAGATCGGCAACATCTCGCCCCTCACACTCTGCACCCGCATCGGCACCTCCATACAACTACTCGACCCTTCGACCCTCCAGACAGCCGATGTCGCCACGGACATCTATTGGCGCACACCGTTCCGACCCCTCGCAGACGTACAGGAACTGACCGAGTTCATTGTCCTGGACATCGAGCCTCTGGGCAAGTCAGTAGGCCGCCACTTCCTCGCCGAAGCCACCGTGGCCCGCTCCTCAGACATGGGCGTCAACGACACAACATACTACTGCCGCACACATCTTGGTGGTATCTTGCACGTCGGCGACTCGGTCATGGGTTACCTCCTCAGCAACACCAACTTCAACAACGATCTCTTCGACGTTCTCGAAAACAACAACAAGTACGCGGCCGCTATTCCAGATGTCATGCTTGTCAAGAAGTACTACCAGCGATCCAAGAAGAACAAGAACAAGCGCAACTGGCGCGTCAAGCGCATCAACAAGGATGAAGGCGAGATGCTGCCCCGTAAGCAAGATCAGGAGAAGATGGAGCGCGACTTCGAGATGTTCTTGCAGGACGTCGAGGAGGACCAAGACCTGCGCGCTACCATGGCGCTATACAAGGCGCAGCAGGAACAGAAGCAGCGCGACGCAGATGCCATGGAGACTGAGAGCAGTCTTGGTGACGATGAGGATGAAGGCCTGCAGATTCCGATGGATCAACTGCTGGATGATTTCGAGGAAATGAAGATGCACGACTGAAGTTAAAAATGACGAGATCAATGTCGCATGAGTTATGGCGTTGTGGCTTGCTGCATCTACGGGCGTTTGGCGGGTAAAAGGGACGGGAAGTACCACGTTTATAGAATTGTCGATTTCATCCAATGTCGACTGGGCATCTTGTCCTTCAATCTCAAAATACTTTCATTCACCTCGCCATTTCGTTCGTCGCTGTGGCTGTAGAGGTTGTGACAATTCTACTGCTGCAGGTGAAAGCAGGAATCGACATCGTTCGCTATCATGATTCTAGTGGCCTCAGCGCGGCGACGTAGGTGCCGTATCGCTAGCTCAGTGCGGCTGGTAGTGATGGCGACAGTTTCACCAGCTTGCTTCAAGCCTCTCTGAAGGTTCATTTTCAGGCCTCACACAGCTCAACAGTTTACACAAGATCGGCACGGATAGGCCCGGTTCTGAACTTTGATCAAGGCTTGATGGTTCCCCTTGCCCACGCCCAGCACCTTCCGCGGGGATATCCTTGATCACGTCAACGGATGTGTGCTGCCTACTGCTGATGTTGCAGGCGATCCGGATCTGCAATTGAAGGTTGCGCCATGTGTCATGCGCTACTCAGGACAGCGAAAGAGTTGGCGCGGCCGACTCAACAGCTAACCACCTGGGCACCTGCGTGGCGATGTCGAGATTCTCCGTGAGCTCGAAAGTTCAATGCCACAGTGTTCCACGAGTGTTCTCTGTCATTCTAATTTACAGTTTCTTGCGCAATCTGCGAGTAGGCTTTCCGGCTCTTGTGGTTACCGGTGCCTCGCGTGTCGCACCATCGCCGCCAGCTTATCCTGGCGACACGCAATCCTAGGTAGTTCAGGAAATAAGACTCGCTCCCGTCCGAACGGCTTCTCACCGCGCTCGAACGAGGTCGCGGGCTTTGCTCCACTGAGTCGTATAGGGTCAACTTTGAGTTTCCTGAAGTTTAAGTTTTGGCGGAGAAAGGGCCGCCTTCATCCATAGCCGTACGCGACTCAGCCGGCATCGCTAGCAGAGCCGGCTGAAAGACCAGCATGCGCAAGGGCGTTTCTGCCACTTGTGAACATGGGGTAGAGCCTCTCTTAGAGACATGACCTGATGCGCAAGTCGCAATTCTTCAGTTCGCAGGTTGAGTAATCGATGCCTTTCGCACGCAGGCAGACTACGACATCTGTCACATAATTATCTTAACGAAGCTCAGCTGAGATACTTGCCCGCCATGGCCGACGAGTTTACTCGCATTGTCGAGGAGATGATGCTAACTCCCCCGAACCCAAATGCGCCCTTACCACTGGCGAACAAGAAAAGCACGATGTTTGGTGTCTCGATACCATTCCACGTAGGTCCTTCTCGACAATACAAACGTCCTACAAACTCACCGTCATAGGTTTTGTGCTGGATTGTCGTAGGCTTCCGTCTTCATACTCGCCTGCGAGTTGTTCGTGAACCTGGTCTCGATGACCTCTTCGTAGTCCTAGCGGCTGTGTTCAACTTGATATCTATCATAGCCTTCCTCCACGGTAGGCTTGCACGACTCTAAAATCGTGGTCGTTATACTGATTTCTCGCGCAGGCACCAATTATGGAATGGGTCACCATCTTATCTACACCTTACGAGAGTTGCAACCAACCATGATCTGGCTGTATATCACAAATGCCGCATATCATACGACCACTGTCTTCATCAAGATATCCCTACTCCTACAGTACCTGAGGCTGTTTCAGCAGGGAGCTCGCCGCATCATTTGCATCGTACTTCTCGCGTTGGTGATAGTATGGGGCCTGACTTTCTCATTCATGGCTTGGGTACCCTGCTTTCCAGTAAGGAACTTCTGGGATCGACAACCTGGCTCTAAATGCTACGGCTTCGGGTATCGCACTATCATGGAGGCGAAACTCACGATCCTCGCATTTGCTGCGACGAACATGGCGTTCGACATTGCAATATTCCTCGTCCCGATCACGGAATACTTTAGGAAAGATCTCAGACGGAAACAGGTGCTTGCCATGACTGGATTGTTCGCCCTCGGTTCGATGTAAGTGCAGGTTCTGAACACTCCAGCATCACCACTGACAGACGCAGTGTCGTACTCATGGCTATCCTCCGCCTTTGGAGCACCTTCAAAAACAGTCAAAGCATGACCCAAAGTTTCGATTTCACATGGTGGTACCCCGAAGTCCTAATCATCTCTTGCCTCGAAATCGACTTCGCGATAATGTGTGCGTCCATGCCTATATTCTGGCCCACCGTCATGGCTTCCTGGACCCAAATCTTTGTCACCAACGAGGTCCGCGTTACGCACCACGAACGTCTGCCCAACGATAGTCGCGATAACTTCGAGTTGGTCAGGAACACGTCGTTGAAGAGCACAGGGAGTGCGGAAGAATTGGCAAGGGTTACGAGCGAAGAGCAGGACACGGTGTATGGTGGATTTGACCCGGAGACGGGCAAGGATGGTAGATTTGCTGCTATGCGAGTAGAGGTACAACCGCAGGCACAGAGGACGCGGAGACTCTGAACAGCATGTTCCCAAGGAATCCAGCTCATGCTTTTGCCTTTGACTCTTACGTCCGTATGTGTGTTGGCAATTCGGTACTTCCTCTGTCTGACACGCTCGACTTCTCAGCATTGAGAATGCCAGGTGTGGCTCCTAGCTGCATGGGCCCCTGCAAGAAAGATCATCGAGGCACAGCTCGACAAGCTGCAAGCCAAGCCCACTCCACACGGCAACTGACCTCGGTTGCAATGGCTCGCCGCATCCTTCATCGACATCTTATTTCCGTTCTTTCAGTACGAAATCCTCATATCAGCACGGTATAATGCTGCTACATTCCCTTGCGCTGCTCGTCTCTTTTGCGACGGCACACAACCATCATCGTGCGGAAACGGAAACACCTGCAGTCCGGACATTTTTCTACGTCGGGGGTGGCTACAGTGAAGATGGCAAGGGTGGTCATATATTCAAGGACCAAATGTATGTCGAAAAGTTAACGCCAGTATCCTCCGAACAACATGATACGGATCCTGTTGTTCTTATCCACGGACAAGCGCAGACGGGCACAAACTTTCTCGTGAAGCCAGACGGAGGGATATCATGGAGTTCAAGATTCCTTGAGGCTGGCCATACCGTCTATATCGTGGATCAAACCTTCCGCGGCCGCTCCGCCTGGGCACCAGTGACTGGTGCTGATGCGCCGTCGACCTATTCTGCTGAGCTTATCCAAGAACGCTTCACTGCTCCACAGCAATATCGTCTCTGGCCCCAATCTACCCTTCACACTCAATGGCCAGGAACAGGCATCATGGGCGATCCTACTTTCGACGCTTTCTATTCCTCCAACGTCCAGTTCATATCGAATGCTACCTATCAACAGAGCACCATGCAAGCAGCAGGAGCACAGCTTTTGGACTCGATCGGTACTCCCGCGTGGTTGCTTGGCCACAGCCAAGGAGGTCTTCTGCCGTTGCTCATCGCTGATGCACGGCCTCATCTCACGAAGGGCCTCCTCTTGGTGGAGCCGACTGGTCCGCCGTTCCAGGAAGCAGTCTTTGGATCTGCAGCAGCGAGACAATGGGTAGGTCCACCGATCCTTCAGTCTCACTTGAGATGGCTGCTGACTTCAAGAACTACAGGGCTTGACAGACATACCGATGAATTATTCGCCTCCGGTCACTGACCCCGCGATCGACTTAGTGCAACAAGTTTATCAGCCTACCAACCTGACAAGTAACAATGCTACTGTTCCTTGCGTGTTGCAAGCAGCCGAGCCAGCTCCGAGACGACTTCCCAATCTGGCCCCTGTGCCCATTCTTACCGTTACGTCAGAAGCTAGCTACCACGCGCCGTACGACTACTGCACTGTCAACTTTCTCAAGCAATCTGGCTGTTCTAAGGCTGAACATCTTGAGCTTGGAAAAGTCGGCATCCATGGCAATGGGCATATGATGTTTATGGAGAAGAACAGTGATGAGATATGGAAACGTATCCATGATTGGATGGTGGCTGCTAAGTAAATGCCTATCAAGATGCTCAATCCTCAGTGCCAGCATGTTGAGTTACAAATCCACAGTCTTTAAGCTACTCTTTCAGCTAGCTGTCTACATAAACCGCCTACTTGTCCCTGGTCTCACTTCTCTCATCCATTTCAGCATTCATGTCCGTTTTGCTGCGCTTGTTCCGGATGTCCTTCCAGCCCATACCCAAGCTGGCAAGGGTAGCCAGACATGCTATGCCTACCAAGAAGTAAAAGACATCGCGCAGACCCTCCGAGTATGCTCTCAGCACGCCATCTAGTTCTCCAAGCGGGACGAGGGCTCGCACGGCACTGGCACTCGATCCAGCATCAACCGCCGCCTGGGGCGATATCATGGGCGCGTAGCGTGTGATGGCGGAGCGGAGTGTCTGCGCGAAGATCGTGTTCGCGATGACGACAGCGATAGATGTACTGAGGTTCTGGAAAAAGACGACACTGGCCAACGCGACTGGGTATTGGGCCGGGGATACGGTGTTCTGGACTGCAATGATGGCCTGAAAGCGTCAACGATGCGACCCCAAGCTGTGCAGAACTTGGACTTACTATCTGCATACCACATCCTCGGCCAGCGCCCAACAAAATCTGGTAGCCGATCCAGACCGAGGCGCTCGTAGATGCTGTGAACGTTGACACAAGACCGTTGCCGATTGCGGTGATGATACCACCTACGAGCGCCCAGGGAAGATAGTAGCCCATGCGAGATACTTTGAAAAGTAAGCTAGCGAAAGCATGAGTTTGATAGTGTGGAGACATACCTGCAGCACCCGTAGCGATAACAACGAGAAGTTGGCTCAATATACTCGGTAGTACGTGTACACCACTATCAGTCGGGCCATTGCCCTTCACGGCTTGGAAGTACGTCGGCATCCAAACACTCGCTGTCATCATGCAAGTGATAATGCAGCTGGCGTACACGCAACTCGTCCAGATGATGCGCTGTCCAAGCAGCTTACCTGGAAGCATGGCTTGGTCGCCCATTCTTCTCTCCCAAAGTATGAAGAGGGCGGCGCATGTTGCAGCACCACAGAATAGTCCGATGACGACAGAGGAGCTCCAGGCGTACTTGCCACCACTGCCTAGCTGGAGAGCGAGGAGCAGCATAACAGACGGAGGGACGAAGAGAGCAAAGCCGAACAGATCGAGGTCGGGTATGATTTTGCGGACGAGAGACAGAGTAACGCGCGGCTTCGTTGTGCGCTCAGGAATGGGGACGAAAGCGATGAGGGCGGCTGCCACTCCGCCGATGGGTAGGTTCATATAAAAGCCTGCGTTTGGGTTACCGTCAGCTTTGAAGGCAGGACCAAGACGTGATAAAATGAACAACGTACACCAACGCCAGACCGCATGCTCAGTGAGAGCGCCTCCAATAAGCGGTCCTGCGACGATGCCCATTTGCGCAGCTATCATCTGGTCAGCATCCAGCCATGCGCACTCCATGATACAGCATGCATACTTCCGAGTACTATACCAGTATACACTGTCGCATCCTGTTAGCGTTCATCATTTAGAATTCATGACCCTAAGAACGCACCTGGACTCTTTTCTTTCGGCACAGCCCCTGCGAGGATTGTCATAGCGCCGTTCACGATACCAGACGCTCCTAAACCTGCAACCACTCTTCCAACGATAAGGAAGGCTGAAGAGCTAGCGATACCGCAGAGTAGGGACCCGAGTTCGAACAGAGATACGAATATGAGAAACACAATCTTGTTGTTGAAGTGTGTGTAGAGCTTGCCGGAAAGTGGTTGCAATGTTGCTCTGGTAGCGACATCAATAAGCAGTTGGACGTGGTTCACTCAGACTTGGAAGGGAGACAAAACGTTGTTTGAAGAAGACGACGTACGAAGCCAGCGTAAAAGCACCAATGTACCCTAATTACAGGTATACAAAGTCAGTATACGTCTCACATCGCGGTTTCGCAGTTACACTTACAGCCTACATCTGGAAGCGAGTGGAATTCGGATGTAATGCGTGGTATTGCCTAATACCATCAGAATCGGATCATCCCACCAGCGACACAGGCGATACATACAGTACCCATGATGGAGGTGTCGAGGCAGACGAGAAATGTAACTAGCGTTAGGCTACCGAGAAGGGTGAAGAGTTTTGGACCCTTGAGATATCGATCTGGCGGCGGCGTGTCGCGATAGCTGTCCATGTTGGCTGGCTGCTATGTAGGTATGTTCAGGTTCACGTAGAATTTGTCTAGGTTGTTGTAGGTTTCGAACGAAATGTAGTAAAATGTTCGTGTGCAAAAGGCCAACGAGCGATAACGATATGCAGTGATCAGGTAAGAGCAGGTTTGAATGGCATATATAATAGGAAGTCGCATGTTGACCTGTGGCTTTGTCCATGGATCGGGTTTCGGGCGGGTTTGACCTGCATATCAGGCAGCCGCAGCCGGAAATTAGGTCAGATCCTCGCAAATCCGTCCCAAGCTTCTCGTAATGCCCTATTAATCATTTAGAGCCTATCTCAAGTGTATCTTTGTGTCCTTCACCATCTGCGCAAACGTCTGTAAACTGATCCATTCAGACCCACTCACATGGCTCAAGGATTGAAAGCATTAGGCAACCAGAAGTCACTCGAAAAGTCCAGTGCCCCAAAATCACCAAAACTGCCATTCCATCCATCCGACGCATTGCCCATATCGTCATCGTTCTCCGTCGTTGGAAGTTTCCAGTTTGGTGCCATAGCCCTTAGCGTTTCCGCAGCCGCAGCAAATAGAGTATCCTCGCCTGTCTTGGCCTTGAATTCCGTGTTAGCCTGCTCAGCAATCTCGGCAAACCTCTCTAGACATTGCACGATGTCGAAGCTTGATTGGACGATGGGTGGTATCCAGTCTGGGATTCCTTTGAGGCTGGCGAATCTGTACAAGGTCTTGATACAATACGAGAATACGAGCATCGATGGAGCCGTCAGACCTATGACGCCGCCATTCCAAGCGTGTTCTCGACAGGCTTTACTGGTCTCTAGAAGCTCCATAAAGTACTCGATGCGCCTGGGCTCGAAAGCTAGATGCGACACTGACAGCTCCTCCGAAGGCTTTGTCAAGAGCGCAAGATCGTAGATGGCAACCTGGGCGGTTTGATTGAGACCGATAATTAACCCTGGAGTAATTTGAGCGCTGGAAGAGGCGGCGGAATAATGATCTTACAGTGCTGTAGAACCTCAATAGGAAGTGAACTTTTGAAGTTGTTAAGCGCCAATATTAGAGGGTCGATAGCCATCATAGCATGCTTTGCTGTATTGTGATCGTCCGAAGCTCTTCGTGATACTTCGGCGGCGCTAACAACAATCTTTGCCAGACGCACAGCGGCGACCAGTATGACGTCTCCTTCACATTCTTTGTTCTTAGTGAGGTGATCGCATGCATCTTCGATCTGCGACGACCAAAGCATCAGGTCATATTCGAAGATAACAGCAACGCTTCTCGCGTCAGTTGAGCTACGATTAGTTTACTTGCAAACTTACTTGGCGCATAATATGAAAACAGATAGAAATGCTCTACTGCCCTCGGTCTTCCGAACTTCCTTGTTATCAACACGAGGGCCTAGGCTTGGACATCCCGCGGGTTGCATGGGCTTGTCGAGTCGAAGATCGCTAATCAGCGTTTTTGCAAGACCGCACATGGAGCCCAGGAACTGTTTTCCATGGGTGAAGTACGGTGACCTAAAAGCATTAGAGTTGGAAACACCATACATGATCTGCGTCCTTACCAAGCTATGCACATGATGACAGTCAAGAGCAAGTCAATGCTCCGTTCTCCCTGCACAATGATCCTGGAAGCCAATTGTTCTCGTAAGTGCTTGCTCAACTGGCTTTGCTTCGTTATTGCTTTGGTGAGTATTGTGCGGATAGCATGGCAAAATAGCGGGTATTTGAGATAAAGCTCGTTTGTGGTAGTATTCTCCGACATAGGCATGAAGGGGAAATAGTACAGATAACTCGTCCGGAAGTCGTGCACCTGATCGCTAGACAAGTACTTGTCATTGTCAAAACCATCGGTCCCCTGGTGGGGAATTACGGAGGAGTCGGGTGTTAGCACGAGCTGATCATTGGGCGATATGGTGAGGGGCGCTGTGCGCTGTGTTCGAAGCAAAGAGACGACTTCATCGAGTTTGTCCTCCAATTTTGACCTCTTCGGCGCTTGGTTTGATCTAGGTGCCCTCCTGCGCACAGCTGATGAAGCTCTGCACTCTTTACCTAGGCGGTGACATCTTTGCGTTCAAGTTAGCCCGAGTGCGCGGAAGGTAGCGATTTGGGCCTACATCAACCTAAAAGCCTCCAAACTAGGTGACCTAACGTCGATGTAGGCTCTAGGGTGTTCGGCGTTTTCTTAGGTTGACGTGCATCCCCGAGTGTGATTGCTCCATAGTGAGCGTTTTGATCAAAAGGATGGCGCACCTGTCGCAAACACCGCCGTCGCGTAACATACATCGGCATTTCGCTTTAACGCAGTTGCTACATGCCTGACCATATGGCGCAGGGGTCTTGCCTACTGCGTTCGTTTCCATGATAGGATTTCGTCTGTATAGTAGGTACTCAATCTGTATGCGAAGAAGACGAGCTTGATGGCGTTGGCTGTGCACGCGCAACGCGCAAAAGGGCGGGATTCGGAGCGGAATGACCGAAATTAGGCAGCCAAGTGGACCCAATTTCGTGTTTCGCCCCCCAAACAAGGGGGACCGTTCGCCGTTACTACACGCCACAATGAAGGTGAGTAGGCATCTCTGACTCCAAATGCGACCTGGCTGGTTTCGCGAGGTAAAGAAATAATCATTTGAATAGGGTATGTGTCCGAACTCCAGAGTTCCTAACGCCGCAGATCATCCCGCCCCTTACGTCTTCACCTTCGCCTTGCCTTTCCTTAGCCTCTCGAATTCTTGAACAATTTCAACAGCTCTCAGGTCAGCCTCGGATTTCCGGCCCATCCACTCAGTCTCTCCCCGTTTTGCCGCCTTGATGCGCTTTCTCGTACCGCCTTTCGCCAAGTACTTCATACTCTTCACGATGCCATCTCCAGGGTACGCTATAATCCCAAAGGTTGCTGCGCCAGTCTTCGTGATCAGTCCGGACATTCCCTTGCCGAAGCCCTTTGCATACCCGATCGCACCCTCTTTCTTCCCACCCTCATACGTCTGACGGAAGGGATCCGAGAGGCCGTCGGCAAAGCCATGGATGAAGGTCTTGCCACCGACTTGGAAGCCAGAAAGAGCGCCAGTGACCTCCCCATGGTCTTTGACTTCTTCACCATACAACCTTGGCACGTTGCGAAAACCTTCTGTGGCAGCGAGAGGGAGGTCGACGATGGTACCCTTATAGAATGCACCTACAAATCTACCAAAGCCTTTGGCAAAGCGACCTGCGGCAGCTGCGCCGCTTGAACCCGGCTTTCCTGAAGACGCTGAGGCTCCTGAGAATGTAGCAGGGTGTTTAGGCTCAACGAAGGGATCCACAACCATGCCCTTCACTGCCATACCCATGTCTCCGACAATGCCAACACACGCCGAAGTTGTACTTGTTATGGGGTCCCAGCGTTGATTGGTGATGATGAAAGGATCGGTTTCGTGGTTTTCGAGATCGGTGGGATCGATGGAACCATTCTCGATGAGTATCTGTGCCGCTAATTTGGAAAGAAGGATAGATTCTTTCTTGACCTTCCACGATGCCACTTGTGTAGGTAGCAGTGCGCATCGCATAGTCTCGAGAGGCAAATTGGTGTGGAAAGATTGCACTGCTGCCTCGACGCCTCGCTCGTTTGCCATCTGCGAAGATAAACCCCGTGCGGCCTGCTTTGCCTCGCGCGTGAGACAAAAGTGGATAGCCGCCGTAAGGTTTTCGGCCGTCAGAAGTTTGTGGGGGATAGGCTGTGGACCAGCTCCCGCTGCTGCTATCATCTCTCCCCAGAACGGCTGGTCTCCAAAGAACGGAACGACAACAGTAGGACATGCATTACGTAGTCCGCACGCAGCTGTACCTGCACCGCCGTGATGTACCACCGCTGCAACATGCTGAAACAGCCATTCGTGTGGACAGTCGCCGATGAACAGAACGTCGTTATTGTCGTTTGGTAAGTCGCCTCCAAGGTTACTCCATCCTCTAGAGATGATCGCTCGGATACCTAGGGCGCGCACGGTTTCCAGGATGCTTGATGTCACCTTTGCAGGATCGTCGAGGACGATGCTCCCGAAGCCGATGTAGACCGGCGGAAGTCCGTTTCTCAGGAACTGATCAATTTCCGGAGGCGGCGTGTACGGCGTTGGTTCGCGGAAGAAAAAACCACAAACATCGATATGCGCTGCCCAATCAGGTGGCTTCGGAACCAAAGCCGGAGACCAGCAGTACGTAAAAGGCACTTTGAGTGTAGAAGCAAGTACAGGTCCGACTGATAGCGGCACCTCTTCAAGGTCCAAGGAATGTCTGAACCCATTGATGACATCACCTAGACCCTGCCACGTTAGAAATTCGACGACGCCATACGATGCATAGTTGATGAGAGCGGTCGAGATTTCGTCGCTCTTGAAGTTCGCCAGCGGATGCGGAAAGGCTCGGGTGCTGCTCCAAGGCATGGTAAACATGAGATGGAGTGGAATGCCCAGAGCTTGGGCACAGTGTACATGCGCGAAACTAGGCGGGTTGGCGATGATTGCGTCTGCCACAAATGGCTGTTGAGTTTTGATGTCCGGTTCGATACATGACTGCCAGCAGCCATAGAGCATCTCGGCGATCATTTCCCTTTTCTTTTGGATATCGCCTTCGCGAAGACTCTTCATGGACGGTATCAACCCTGGGTTCTTGACCATGTAGGCCACTGCTGCATGTTAACGAGGTACGAACGGACCTTTACAGCATAACATACTGAGCTCTTTGGGATCCCCGCCAATAGGATAAAACTCCAGATTTGACTCCTTTACGAAGCCTTCGAACGTGTTGTGTGTCGCTATGCGGACACGGTGGCCGTACTTTTGTAACTCTTGTCCGAGGGCAATGAACGGTTGTACATCGCCTCGACTTCCTACGACTTGGATGACGATGTTCAGACGGATACTCCATAGTCGGCTAACAGTGAATCTTCGGCTTAGTTCTGGTTCATCTTTGTCATGCTTCGGTACAAGCTTGACGAGTGTTTTGGTCAGTCGCGAGTTCAAGTCAATGTCGATGCGACCGTCATCTGCTCCCCGTCAGCATAGTTACAGATAATAAGACGAGTTGCGCTTACTCGTCACTCCAGTATCTCCTGGCTGTGGTATTGAGCCCGTCAGCTCTTCTGCAGTGTACGGCGGTGGTGCGCCGAAATGATATACGTCATCGTCGCGTTCAGAATCTACTGGTATCGGCGCTTGGGTGCTATCTGGTCTTGCTTTCATGATGAAGGGCAATTGGGTGAAGTGAAAAAGTATTGCTTCTGACCCAATTCTGGCAGACGGCGACTTTTATCATCACGGTTTTACTACGCAATACGCAGATTACGCAAATACGATATACGAAGACCCGTCTCCGGCTAGCGTGAGATCACGGATCTTCCCGCAAGTCTAGCCTGTTCCATAATTCTAGCGCTCCAAGACGCGTCACGCCGGGCTGAGCCCGGAATCGGCCTCACATGAGACCAAGAGAGAACTGGGAAAAACTACCTGTATTGTTTAGACAAGTAACGGGGTCCTATACAAAATGTAGCTCACATGCATAAAGCAGCACTTATACCAGCTCAATCAGATTCATCAACCTCTGCATGCGCAATCGCCCACCACCCTCGAACGATGCTCTTCTCGGCTGCGACGCCCGTCAATGGCTTCCTACCCATCTCGAATTGATGGCGTTTGAGTTCGTTCACAACAAGCGCCAGCTTCGCCAGCCACATATCTGAAGGCTGACCCTCGAAGTGCGGACCAATAAATTCACATGCAAACTGTTGCGCAAGATCGAGCTTCTTTTCTTCAGGCCAGGGGTCCATTAAGCCATTGCGTGCAAGGCCTTGGGACACCAGCATCGTCAGTCCATGTAGCAATGGGAAGAGTCGAGCATTTTCTAAGTCGGCAGCTTCTTCTACATCTTCCCACTGAACCAATGGGTTGTTGACACCCAAGCAGCGGTTGGCTTCCCACAGTAGTATGTTGATCGCCAGGCTTGTCTTCCTCTCGATCGCGTTGTGGGCGTCCCAGAGTAGGAAACAGAATCGAATGAGCGGAAATGCCATGGGTTGAGGACTGGCACCGCGAGAAGCTGTAATCGCGTCATGAAACGGCGAAAAATAATCCCCGGCGCTTGCTGCATCTTGCAAAGCTTTCTGCAGGATGTCGTCTCCGTCGCTCGTGTAGCATTTCTTGAAGAAGTGTAGGATGTCTTGACGGTTGACATCAGGATCGGTGTTTGCGACGCTATCGCGTAGCTGTTCGACGAAGGCGTTGAGTTTGTCCCGGTGGTCTGGTATAGCAGAGCTAATGTCGCCGAGTATTGACAGCGCTCTCTGCTCGCTGTCGAGGTTTGTAATCGGAACCTGACATTCTGGGCATTCGGCACCCTTGATTCCAATGCTGGGTATGTCAGGCCAAGTGCTCTTCAATTCGACGTCGCCACCGTTAAGAATGATCGAAAGACAACGGTAGCCGAATATATGCCCACAGGCTCGTAATGCGGCCGGCGCGTGATCTGGACCGAAAGCTCTGTTACAAAGGAAGCACGTTGGTGATACTTGCAGGTATCTGCTAACGTTACCAGCCATGGCCGATTCCGATCTGCAGGTGAGTAGTGGGCTGGCGGTCAGCGAGGGTAGAAAACGTGCTAAGAGAGGTTCTTCGCGACTGGGTGTATCCATGCAACTTTGTGAATTTTTGTTGCTTGATCTACCCTGTGAATGAGCAGTCACAAGAACGCGTTGTGCCAAGTTGCGCAAACAATTCGACGAAGAATTGCCAACGATGCATTCTTGATCACCCTGCGCTTCTCGACAATGGCTATCTTCAGCTGGGTCTTGGAGCGCATGTCGGAGCGTCGGGAAAACACGCAGGTGGCACCGATCTCAGCCAACGCCACCTGGGCAGTCGTGTCCTCGACTGCTGCGAAGCAATATTCGGAGGAGGACGACAATAAATTTGTCAAGGGAAGTGTGCTCTCCAGCAGAGATGCAAAAGGATTCATTCACCGCGGTATAGCCGATGTTCAGGCGCGGAGAGTATACCTAGGTACGGCCGAACTGGCGTCGGAAGGAAATGCGCCTAGGAACGGGTGTTTCGACGATTGTCAGATACGGCCTTGGCGATCTTGGGCTTTCAGATGGCTAAGCATCTCGACTCGACACTAAATGCGCATCAAAAGGCCGAACTTTCTCTTTGCCTGAGCTTGTAGCGGACCTGACTGTGATCTTGTGGAGTCTGCTGTGGGCATAGCCCGAGACTTCAGTGGGTGAAGCATGCATTCGAACGACCCGTGGACTGTCCTGGAGAGCAACAGGTGTAGGCAGCAGTATGGGCTGAACGTGATTACTCTTCATCGTTTGACGCGATATCTTGGGAGTTTCGACAGGCGTGTTCGCGAGGCTAGTCTCAATTCAGCCTAGATGCAGCCAATTTGTTCCTTCCCGTCTTCACCCTACCTAGGTAGCTTACAACGACTTTACCACCTCCTCATGTGTCAGGTACACTGTGGCGCCTCGAGAATTCTTCCGCCCACTCATCGATGCCTAGGTATCGATATCACTGCGACATTTACAGCCACCGCAGTCCTCTTTGTGACGAGCATGGCGATCTTCTGTTTCTCAAGTTTATCCCATTGGTGGTCTTTTTCTCCACAGCCAGCCAAGCATTCTGGACGATGCTGTCAAACGGTAGCGCCGACTTGTATATTGTTTCCTCCCTTCAGTTGGCTTCCAGGAACTCTTCCGAGGCTCCAGCGCTAATGCAGTCACTGAGGGCCGTCGGCTTTTGGGACTTCCCCAGGTATGCACCCCAGGTTTGCGATACATTTCCGGCCTTCGAGCCACAACCACATACTGGCTCACGAGACCGCTGTACATGAATGTCCTTGGTGGATTATGAATGCTTCTTCGAAACGTCTTGGAGGCCAAGACAAAAGTCATATATTCGCGGAGAAACTCCACATCTGGTATGCTAAAGATGGTTCCGCGATTCACAGTATTAAAGGGGGACCGAGTTGACGATCATGGAGCCTGTACAGATCTCAGCAATCTAAAACATCTGGTATAAAGATACCATTAGACACCATCAGCTATCGTCACCTCCAACACATTCTTTCATCAGATCAGAGTAGATCTCTATTCACTCTTTTACATTCTTTCTTCCACCTTCAGTCTCATCACATCTTCCAAACACACCAAGATGCGCTTCTTCGAGATCGCCACAGTGGCCATGACCGCTGCCTCTACGGCGTACGGTGCACCTATGGAAAAGCGCGCTGCAGCTGTCGATGAGCTTGTTGGATTCGCCCAAGGCACCACCGGAGGAGGCAGCGGGGCTGGAACCACTGTCGCCTCCTGTGCTGAGCTCACAGCGGCAGCTAAGGCCGGCGGTGTGATCAAGATCAAGGGCATGCTCACTGGATGTGGCATCATCCGTGTCGGTACTGCAGGCACTTCCATTCTCGGTGTTGGCAAGGACGCCGGCCTGACAGACAGTGGCCTCCAGGTCTTCAAGACGTCCAACATCATCATCAGAAACCTCAAACTCTACCGTGCGCCAAAGGGAAAGGATCTCATCGACATCGAGGCCTCGACCAATATCTGGGTTGATCACAACGACTTCTCTAGCGTGGGTGTGACAGGCGACAAGGATACATACGATGGCCTGCTTGACGCCAAGTCTGGATCCGATATGCTTACCTTCTCCTGGAACAAGTTCCACGACCACGTGAGTCTCCATAACACCGTTACGCTTATGTAAAACTCAGTACTAACGCCTATCAGTGGAAGGGCTCGCTTGTCGGTCACTCTGACAACAATGCCTCCAAGGACAAGGGCAAACTCCACGTGACCTACCATCACAACTCTTTCACCGGCATCAACTCGCGTCTGCCCTCGATCCGCTTTGGTACCGGCCACATCTACAGCTCTTGCTACTCAGGTGGTATCTCTGGTGTCAACTCGCGCATGGGCGCTCAAGTCTTGGTTGAAGCCAACTCCTTCACCAACGTCGACAAGGCTGTTGTCACCAACTTGGACTCTGACGAGGAGGGCTTTGCGGTTGAGAAGGATAACATCTTCACCAACAGTCCTACTCAAATCACGCAGAAGGGCTCATTCGCGCCCAGCTACAAGTACACTGTGGACCCAGCGGCCAGTGTTTGCGCTATTGTGCAGAAGAGCGCCGGTGTGGGTGTTGTCACCTTCTAGGTCATGACGAAGAATGAGGAGATACAGCCTTAGTGATACATACTGGCTGGCCAGAGGGAGGAGCGCTGAAGGAGTTGCGAGTTTCGGTCTTGTGCATAGCTTTATTCGTGTATATAGTTACATTCCATTAATTAAACAGTTGGTCTCGAAAATGTTTCATCATTAGTTATGAGCATCAAGAGAAGCTCGCGCAACGGTATGCATGTGACGATTGATTCTAGTATTGATGTTTGGGTATAGTTGATTCTCTTCTGGTGCGCTCCAATTTCTTCTTTCCCAGTTGTTCTAGCATGCATCTTGCATTCATCCTAGATTAACCAGGGAACACCCATACGATCGACATGAGCGTGGCAATAACGCCCACGATGACCAACACTTCGGGTCCAGCCTTGATGCCAACAGGCAACCCCTCAGTGGTAAATTGCGCCACAATCCCCTGTGTAAAGTTCTTCTCCGCCTCTGCTAGTGCGATCTCTGTCCAGTTCCCGCATCGGTTGTTCAAATCCGCATCGGCCGTAAGCGCAGGTAGCTTCGCGATGGCAGCATCCATCATGCGCGCGCTGGTCAGCGTTCCGACATTAGCCTTTTGCATAACGACTGTACGGTAGGAGCCGTTGGCGCCCACTGTCGACATGTTGGCTGTGCGTTCGTAGTCGAGACATAGATCGGCTTGCGAGGGTGTGGCGGAGACTTGGCGAACTTCAAGTTTGGTATTGAGTAGGCCGCCGGGGACGATAGGAACAGCATTGGGGCCTGCAGCCGCCAGATGGAAGACCGAGAGGGCGAGGAAGAGACTTGTGAGGAGCGAAGAGTGCATGATGTCGTTGTCGATGTTTTCGTGAGCGGATTCCTCGGGAGTGGGACAGCAAGTGAAAGAAGTAAAGAATTATTAGGTGAAGAGTATTTTGGTGACCGGCACGCCTCAAGAAGTGAATGAATGGACGAACGAAAAGGAAAGAAAGATCGTTGGTGGTGAGGCTTGGTACCACTGCCTGAGGTATACCAGAAGCTCGGGATAGGAAAGAAGGCGACAAGGGAAGCAAAAGAAATCAGGCCACTTTACCGTGATATATGAGGCCGCAAGAACGATGATGGCTGTCGTTCATACCGCGCTGCGACGTGGATTGCCGGATAAGGGGTGGTTATGAGGCTCATGGTGTGTCAGGTCACACGGAGGCTCTTAAGCGCCCCTAGACAGGCGCTAGGGTGCCTCGTGGTATTCAATGGATCGCGCCGGCTCGCCGTCATTAGCATAAGCACCAGTGGTCATTAGCGGAGCTTTAGAGCGTGGCTGCGATGAAATAGTTAGTCGCGATGGAGACTGTGGCGGTAAGATGGGTTGCGGCGTGATGATGGAATGATTGGGGAGCGGCGTTAGTGCGGATGATCGTCATCCGCGCACGGGTATTTTATGCATTAGGGTCTAGCGACAGCCCCAGAAATCTCCTTCTTTGGCGTCCTCAGTCTGATATGTGACAGCCGCTGTCATCGTGCGAAACGGCGATTACTTGATCAGAGCCACTGTCCCCTTTCAGGCCGCGCGACGCGGCATATCGACGCTCCTACTCGATGGCTCAGCGAATTAGTACTATCACGACACGAACGCGTCGAAGACCCCTGCGTCGTCCAGACTGAACGTCCCCGACATGAGCATGTCCCAGTCCTCCGTGAACTCCGGTGAGAATTGGAAGTCGAATTCTTCCATACCGCTGCCCTCCATGCCGGCAGCACCAGGACGCGGCTCCTCACAACCAGCCAATGCTTCCAGAATCGGTATACAAACCTGAGCAGCGTCTTCTGCGGCTCCCACCAGTAATGCAGGCAAATCTGAGTTGTCTACATGATGACTTTCCGCGTCAATCCAAGCACCGACGAGCCGCAAAAGAACGTAGCCCTTCATACCAGTTTCACCGGCTTTCATACAGCGGAGGTACCAATTGGCAGCGTCATCGACAATATTATTTAGTGATGATGGCAATGCGTCAAGATCCCCTTCGTCTTCCTGTATTCGCATCCGCAGTTCAGCAGCCAGGAATGTCGACCCGTGGAAAGTATACATTCGGAAGAACCCCGCTGTGCACATGCACATCCGAACAAAGTCGGTCTCGCTCGGACGACGTGAGCTCTCGCTTGCGTTCGGATAAGCCATATTCCAGATCTTGAGCGAGGAGTCGACAGTAGCTTTCCTCGAATAGGCATAGACCGGATTCTTGAGTGCAGGAGCGAAGAATGGAAGATGTAAGCAGGTAACGTAGCGCTGCATTATGAACTCTACAGCTTGAAGAGTAAACTGTGAGGGCGACGAGCTGGTATGTGAGGTGTATGCATGTAGGGTGCGACGCAAGAGCTTATGTGCAGCTCTCAGATCCGAATCGATACGAAGCGTCTCCTCATATGTCCCGCTCGAGTTGACGTCGTTCAGAAATCGGAGTACCGCAAGCCGAGCCGGAAGAGTCTTGCGCAGAGCTATAGCAATGGACGTATGCGTATACACATGATCTGCCCTTGCAATGGGGTCTGCTTCCAAGAGTTGTTCATCGTCCAAATTGCTTGGTGGCGCTGTGTTGAAGTCGTCCGATGAGATGAATGGCGGACCGCCCGATCCCATGCTCATTTGAAGCGACAACTCCAGGATTGTATTCCATATCCGGCGGCGCATCTCAGTCTCAAGAGCCGTCGTACTCGGAAGCTGCGACGGGTCCTTGTGCAACCCAACATATACCGCTGCTCGATACACCGCGCCCGCTGAGATCCACACAAGCTCAGAGCCAACGTCGACAAGCTCTCGTGCGATCAGGAGGAGGATGCTGATCTGTAGATATTGGATACCGAGCTTTGATTTGAACAAGGGTGATGACAGCCAGGTCTGGGCCTCAAAGACCCATCTCACCGCGTCGGCTCGCATGCACACTTTGTCGTCGTATATCATGGCTCCAATCGCCAGGACCAACTTCAACATCATTACAAATGCCATGTTAGATTCCGATTTGCCTTTCCACATGTTATCGTATGCATGTTGGAAGCTGGGAACATGCAGCACGCGGTAAAGAGTCTCCATGGTTCGAAGATATGCAGCGACGAGGTCATCGCAAACATGCTTCGGAGGAAGGTCTCGTGTTGGAGGCGTAGGCCACGCTGGGGAGCGTTGCGATTTGATGATCCGGGCTAAGGGCTTTGCTCGGTGCATACTGGTGATTACGTTGGGCGTTCCGCTATGTAAAAAGGGCTCAATTGTTTCGATGATATCACGGAATATCACCTAAAGATGGGTGTACAAAGTCAGTGTTTGTCTTACATGCAGTTCGTACATCGGCAAATACTCACGAATCCATTCATCCAATGGCTCTGTCCGAAAACTCGGTTTTTGTGTGCAATGCCTCGAGAGACAGCTGTACCGCTAGGCATCCGGGTGTCTTGGAGGACATTCACTGTACAGGCAAAGCTGCTGACAGTTTGTACAGTGTGCGTCGACACAGGAGTCGACGAAGATGGCGAGAGAGTAGTAGTGCTTTCAGCTCGCGATAACCGGTCTTCCAACTCGGTGATACGTGCTCTCATAGCATCAAGTTCGAAAGGACTTCGGTCGGTGCCGGTATTGGGCGCTTTGACGGATGAGCTTGAGGGTATGCTAGGTATGCTCCTGGAAGTCGGGCCTCCGATGTACGGTTGGATGGGTGTGAAAGGCGATGTGGCAGGCCTTTTATCCGGCACTCCAGTTTCGTAGACACAAGTGCCAGTCTTGCTCTTCAGACAGTTACTGCATGGCGTTTCCCGATTGCAGCGTAGCTTGCGCTTGCGGCATAGTGTGCAAGAGCTGAATGTGGTTAGCTTCTGTCCTCATAGAAGGAAAACATAATCTGGTTTGCAGACTACAGTAAGGTAAGAACGTGCAAAGTGGGCGACCTGACGTCGATGTAGGCTCCACGGTGTTCAGCTATTTTCTAGGTTGACCGGATGAACTCACATAGTAAGCCTCTTGCGTCTGCGGCTGAAGTCGGTCATTGTGCGTGTCGATTTCTTGTTCGGTAAATGGAAGTTAGATCTACGGCCCGGAGGGAGTCGGTGTAAGTATTATAACAGCGGACCGGGGATAGGTTTTCGGTTATAGCTGGATTGTTTATCTAGTGGCGCGCCTAGAATGCCCATGTACCTTACCCCAGATACGCCAAAAAAACGCCTTTTCGGGGTATTGACCAATAAGATTGCAAGAATATCTCCGCCCCGACTTTGCTGGAAACCTCCCTCTCATGACGAGATGACAAGCAACAATATTGTATATATACACCGTCAGGACGAGTGTGGTAGCCCTCATCAGCTTCTCGACCTTCCTAGAGCCACAGAACTCTAATTCAAGCCCCTCCGATACAAAGTCAGGATGTCCACACCAACAGCTCAACCCAACGCCGTTGCCGGTACCAGCACCCCTTCCATTCCCTCCTACGATGTTGAGAAAGCATCGATCGAATCAGCCCACGATGACGGTCAAGCAACCGTTGACGCTGAGATCGCCGCTTTAGGCCCTGCTCCTGACGGTGGTTTAACAGCTTGGTTGAACGCTCTAGGCGGCTTCTGCATCTTCTTTTGCTGCCTCGGCTTTACCTCCTGCTTCGGCGTCCTACAACAATACTACTCTACCCATCAACTGAGAGACCACAGCATGGACCAGATTGCGTGGATAGGCAGCCTCACAAGTTTCATCCAGTTTGCTGGGGGTGTTATCGGGGGACCGATGTTTGATCGCTTTGGTGTTTGGGTGCGTATTTTCTACTGGCGTGAAACTGATCTCGTACTGACTTAAACGAATAGATGATGCGGCCTGCGACACTTACATACGTCCTTGGCCTCATGATGCTGTCCTTGTGTAGCGAGTACTACCAGTTCTTCCTCGCGCAGTCTGTCCTCATGGGCTCCAGCGTAGTCTTCCTTCAGACACCTGCCTTTGCAGTAATGGGACATTACTTCGACAAGCGACGCGCCGCCGCCCTCGGTATCGTGGTATCAGGGTCCTCCATCGGCGGTGTCATCTTTCCAATCGTTCTGTCCAAACTTCTGAACGACTCGCCCCTGTCCTTTGGCTGGTGCATCCGTATCATCGCTTTCATCATGCTCCCTTTCATGATGTTTGCCTGCTTCGTCATCAAGCCGCGCATACCACCCCGCAAGACTACAGTCTTCCTTGGCGAAGCATGGAAGATGAAGCGATACGTACTGCTCGTTGCAGGACTGTTCTTCATGATGATGGGCATGTGGATACCGGTTTTCTACCTCCCAGTCTATGCTGTCAGCCGAGGTATGAAGCCTTTACTCGCATCGTACCTCCTCGCCATGATCAACGGGTCCTCCACGTTTGGTCGTATTATTCCGGGAATACTCGCGGATAAGCTGGGCGGCATGAACATGTTCGGTTTTGCCGGCATTGGCACCGCCATCGTAGTGTTCTGCATCAACGAGCCAACGACTAATGCTGGCATCATTGTCTACTCGGTCATGTTCGGCTTTGTATCGGGTACCATCATATCGGCTGGTTCAGCAGCTATTTCCAAGTGTACAAAGGTAAGTTGACTGTACGAAATGCATGAGACATGCACTGACTTCGTCTCTTCACCATTTTAGGACCCGAGGAATCTTGGCACGTACATGGGTATGGGCATGGGTGTTGCAGCATTCGCTGTTCTCGTCGGCCCTCCAATCAATGGCGCGTTCATCGATCGATACGGCGGGTTCAAAGAAGTGTCGATTTTCAGTGGCGTGATGAGTTTGATGGGTGGGCTTATTGCACTGTCTGCTAAATTCGCCACCACGGAAGGTATCTTGGGGAAGGTTTGAAAGGATGTGGCGAAGGGTCTGTCTTGTGGAAGGCGAAGAGGATTGTTAGCCTAGATGTAGGGGCTTCAGCTTGAAGGGAAGTAATTAGGTGGTCATAGATTGAATTGATTGTCATGTCAGAGGGTATGAAACATTGAACCAGTTACGCCAGATAACCGTAATGAAAACCTGTACATCATCAGCGGCAGCCGATCCTCACACGTAGGATGTCTTGGTAGCCACTCTCTTCCGATCTGCCCTCGCGACGGCACATGCGCTCGTCCCAACAGGCGCGTAAGCTTATGCGGGTGCGCGGTGGTATGTGAAGCCTTGTATGCGCGTAGCCTATCTGGCTCGTCTATGCCGGGATGGGCTCGTAGGTGTTGTGGGCTTGGCGGTTGGAGAAGAGGTAGTAGATGATCATGCCGACGACGGGGAAGAGGAAGACGACGAGGGCCCAGAGCACTTTGTTCGGGACGGGACGGTTGGACTTGAAGATCTCGACTAGAGCACATGTTAGCTTTGTTCGATGCGCGACAACCGTGCTGTCAAGGGCGTTGTGGGTAATTACTCCACGCGATAATGTCGAGGACGAGGACGATGAATCCAATGATGCCGCCACCGGTGCCAGCTTGCCAGGGCTTAGCTGACTGCGCCGTAATGGGAGCTGCCTCGGCGAGCATGAACATGGACAGCTGGAGGAGCAGAGAGAGCACGAAGTTCATCATGATGGCGGTGATGGGTGAGGTAAGACTGGGGTGGACAAGATGAAGCGTGAATGGGTGCAGTGAGAGGGAGGAGGCGAGTGTTGCGGTGTTGACGGCTGCTGCCTTCTATATGAAAGCGGCGGGGCGGAGCTTCAGCTGTTTGATGTCCGCACGGACCTACGTCACTGGAAATCCCACTGTCACGCGACACTCTTCCAAGGTACACATGCATCATCCCGCAGGAGAGACGGTATATCACTATTCTTAACACACGCAGCGCGTCTGTACCCGTGCTTACTCTGCGCATTCTCGTCGCCCACCAAACAAGCAAAGAAAAGGTTCGAAAGACGCGTGAGTGGCGCGTTGGCCTCAGCCACACAGCCAGCCTCGAGGCCTTCCAGCGGCGAACATCACCACTTTTCCGACTGTCTCTGCCCGATCGATCATGCGGCATCACGAACTTCGTCTCGCGGCACCCCTTGAGTTCTCATGCTCCACCTATTCAGGCGGGCTTCATCTGCGGCGTCCTTGTGCACGTCGGCCGAAGCGACCAACTCTGCCAGTAGAGTCTTGACTTTGTCTCCAGAGGTCTTGAAGAGCATCTGGGAGCTATTTCTCTCTGCCCGTGATGCAAGTGCACTCGCGCGTCTGGTATCGCAGATTACACACGCTGCTCTGTCGACTTGGATACTTGATCCATTATCCTCGCCTCAAGGTCAACATCACAACAGGCGAACTTGATCAACTTTGCAAGCGGATGCTTCAAGCTTCTTCGAATCATTAACGGTCTCGCCGCCACCTACCAACATTAAGGCGGTAGTCGAAACACACAACACAAACATGATAGACGTCATGAGACAAGTACATGGTTAGCAGCTCCAGGTATAGTATTATGCCAACAATTTGATGGTAAAAGGTGAGTGCTATTTGTGTCATTATTCTCGCCCAGCACAAATCTAGTACTTGTGGCCCTTGACTACGATTTTGCCACCCTCACATTTCAGACTAATCTCCTCGCCGAAGGTGTAATACCCATGTTGGTCAGCCTCTGGGACCGGCTTTGGCGATGGGGGTAAGTGCTCTTCTTTGGGAGGTGCTGGATGCGTCTCCTGGGGCGGTGCTGGATGCGTCTCCTGGGGCGGTGCTGGATGTGTCTCCATGGGAGGTGCTGGAGGAGCTGGATGCGTTTCCTTAGGCGGTGCTGGATGTGTCTCCATGGGAGGTGCTGGAGGAGCTGGATGTGTTTCCTTGGGCGGTGCTGGATGCGTTTCTTTGGGGGGAGCTGGAGGAGCTGGATGCGTTTCTTTGGGGGGAGCTGGAGGAGCTGGATGCGTTTCCCTAGGCGGCGCCGGATGCGTCGTCTCCTTCGGAGGTGTTGGATGCGTTGGCTGCGGCATAGGCGGGTGAGGCTTGTAGCTGCCGTCATCGTGATCGTCATTGTCTTCTTCTGGAGCTGGATGCTCGGGTTTTGGGTGCTCAGGCTGCGGGGCTGGATGTGTTGGCTGCGGCATAGGTGGGTGAGGCTTGTAGCTGCCGTCATCGTGGTCATCTTTGTCGTCCTCTGGAGCTGGATGCTCTGGTTCCGGCTTCGGGGGTTGAGGCTTGTAGCTGCCATCATCATGATCGTCTTTCTCCCCCTCTTCTTTGGGTGCTTCGGGGTGCTCCGGGCTCGGCTTTGGCGGCTCTTCGTTCTTGTGCTCGTCACCCTTAGGCGGCTCGGCATGGTAGTGCTCGTCGGGATGCTTGCCGTCCTCTATAGGCTCGGGTACGTGGGGTACCTCCACCTTGGGAGGAATGCAGACCTTGCCATGATCGTACTTGTCGCGCTGCTCACAGCACTTCTGGTACTCATGGGCTTTCACATCATCACCACGGACGGCGATGGGCTTTGCAGCGGCTGTGAAGGCCAAGATGGCAACGACAGCGGCTTGTGTAAGGCGCATGATGATGGTCAATCCAAGGGATTAAAACGACTGAGTTTGTAGTGAACGAGATATGAACGGTAGATAGCTGCTGCGACCAGTTCGAGATGAACGAGAGATATCCGCTTGGTAGCTGATGTCGAAACAGCGTACTTCATCTCTCTCATATAAATACCTGGGCTGTAATAGAGCTACCCCGTCTCGCTCTGACGGCTTGACCCTCTCCTAGGCAATTGCCTGCACAATTACGTCTCACAGTATTGATTTTCGATGTTGGAGACGCCCTACTGTCTTGGAGAACATAGTGTTGGCTTCCACCACATAGCCGAAGTACCGTCATGGCACTCCAGTCCTGAAGCTATTCATATTAGCCCATCTCGAACGAGCTCGATACGAACGTGATGAAGTCATAAGTTCTTGATGAACGCCCTCAACTGGCACGGTGGTGAAGCAAGTGTCGTGACCGCGACGCAGGGAAGTATTGCCCAGCACTGCTTCATTGTCCGGAGCTTACTCCAAGGCATACACACGACTCATTTTGAGATGCCTTGGGGAGCTTGTCGTGACGACTGCAGCAGAAGCTTGATTTGCCTCGTATAGTTGCCTTGGCCCACCATGCTGTTGGTTAGGGCAATTGCATACATCGCATACGGGGCTTTCGGTCACCATGTGCGAGCCCATCTTCCAAGCCACCATCGGAAAAAGGAACAGGAGCTATTTGAGAGGTTGAGGAGTGAAGCTCCTCTACGCGAACAAAGCCATACGCGGGGTAGTGCCTTGGCGGCATGACACATGGAATTGCCGGACTGGGTCGGCACTGCTTCCCCTTCCCTCGTCACGGCATCTAATAGGTCTCTTGGTGGGCGATTACCCATTCTGACGGATCAACAGGTACGCACTCCAGACTACAGCCTACCGACGAACTATCGTTGGCGCATACATTAATACGCGTGGAGACTACTTACACTTTTACTTCATCAACTCATGCGTCAATACTGCGGCCGCGCGAAGTTGCGGAGTGTACTTGAGTAAATCTGACGTCAACGTCGCAGACACAGTAAGCCCCCTTCCATGACTGCAATACATCTCAGCGTTGGACACTGTACTGGAGTTAATAGTTTGATACTAAAGCCGTAGATCGTCTTGGCTGCCCAGGTCTCAAGAGGCTACCACGACGTGGCTGATCTGCCAAATCCAGGCCTGTATGTATGTCCAAATATACACACGGTCTAGCAGTAGCGGTTTGTTTGATTGGCATTGGCTCTGCAATTAAGTCGGATAGTGCATAATGTCCGATTACTCATCGTTTTCCACGTAGAGGCTAAAACCTAGAAGGAGCGAATATGTCAGACCATGTTGGCTTCCCAGCGCTGACTGGGAAGACATCGCGATCGATCGATGCAAGGCCACTTCCATTCATGTAACTCATTGAGGTAATGAACTTGGACTATTACATTATTCCACTTCTAGTGCTGAGAATACCCATCGCGTATTCGGCACTGTGCCGTTCCCCGATATCTTTTCGATCTTGGAAGTGTGGGGCTTACAAGTGGAGTAGTAAATCCGGGGTATAGTTCTAGTCGCCTGAGTACGCTTTTGATGATGAGGTGAGGTAGCCAGATGTTCCGATCTTCCGTTTAGCGTTCGTATCCGTTGAAGCCGGTCTTCGCCAAGGTCTTAGACTATCTAGGTACAAGGACTCATTGCGTTAGAGTTCCGGATAGCTGCCATGCTACCCTTGTGTTCGTTTAGTGGCCTTCCAGTTGCGAACCCTTTGTCTGTTCCGGTCCGATGGAGTGGGTTGACCAGATATCACCATTCTATCTGTATCACGACCAGACGTGATTGGAGAAGCCACCAGAACGCTCCGCTCTTGTCGCCAGTGACTTACCAGTCCGAACGCGGCGATTATGCGGATGATGTCGAGTATCATAGCAGTATCTGCTGGAGCCTTGTGAGCTTGAAGGGCATGTTCGATGTTTTCAACAACTGAAGATCGAGCATTGATCTTGTTCCAGATGAGGCTGGAGTTCTGGCTGCGGGCGCTTCGCTGAACTCCTTCCCACCGAGAACTGCGCGTCGGGGTCTTCTGCCGGGTCGTCTGTGAGGCCACCCGGTAGCTGATCAACCATGACGCTCTCCTGTACGACTTGGGAGAACTCCTGCGCCCATTCATCTGATACCTCGATCTTCTCTTCACTCTCTCGCAATGAGGATGACGATCTTGCCCGAAAGCCTGCGGTACTTGCCTGTTGGGTGCGTGGTCGTCGTCGTCCAGCCTCTGGTGACAGTTTTCCGCCCGCATCTGTTTTCTTCTGAGCCTTGTTTGTCGCCCCGAGCGGTGCTTCATCGGACGCTTGACCTAGGGAGCCATCGTCTTCCTGTGCGGCTGCGCGATAGAGACCTGTTAGCTCGTGCACGTCGCCTATAGTCAGTTCGTTGACATCAAGCAGATCTGGACCTTGTCGAAGGTAGTCGACAAGGCTCAACCTTTCCGCATCCGGTTTGCCGTCGATGGCTGTGTGGTAGCTTTGTAGCAGGCCTATCGCGCTGCGGAGATCCACTCTCGGAGCACCAGACTTGTTGTGTTCGGTGGCCGGCGACATCTTGTCCTAAGATGACCTTGAAACCCGCGGCTTGCAAGGATGGTACCTACCATAGGTAGCCGCTTGTTCGTAATAAGTCGAATGATGGCGGTAGAGAATGTAGACGCACTTTGACCTACTTAGATATCATGCTTCGTGAGCTGACGCGAAATGATTAGCTACGCGTTAGATCGAATTGGCCTGGGGGCTCGGAAACGGCCGCCGGTCGGAAGCTAGGCCGCTACAAGGGTGCTGCTTCGTTATGCAGCGCGCCGCCACGCCGACCGGGACCCAAAGTTGCTGCTCTTTACAGACATGCAAACAAGTTGAGCTGCATCTTTCTTTCTCCTCGAGTAATAATTGAGGCTGTGTCAGGCGAATGATGGCACATACGAAAGCAAACTCGCCAGCAACAAGGTCGAGTTGTGGAAGAACATTGCCTGCAGCCCACGCATATAACGAAAGATGAGACATGGAATTGGGAGGAGGTTAGGGTAGAGCAGGACAGTGGAAAGAGCGGCAGTTATCTTGTTCAGATTAGAGCCACGGAGTAGTAGGAGATCATGGGATAAATTGAGAAATCTGGTTGACAGACTGTGTTCCCTGTCTACCCGCACGCTTCCAGGAATTGAGTTGATAGCCTTGGCGGGTTAACAGCTTCGACACAATTATCCAAAAGCCATTGTTCGCAACACAGCCCCTCGACGGTATGCACTCTGTCTTGCAGACGATACCTTCCGATATGGCGAACTCACTGAGAAGTGCAGAGTACCTTCCATGCGCTCTTCATCTGTGTCCCATCCTCCCACACGTGGTGACTCTGGTAGACATGATATATCTCCGGGGTTATTCACCAAGGAGAAGATCACGCCTCAACCAACGAGAGCTTGCGTCAGAAGCCTCTCCTGTCCACTCAGGTAGTTGCGTTTTTCCAACCAGCGAAGTTTCCCCTTGGCCCTTTTCGAACTCAATTTGACCTGAGCCCCCTTCAAGGCGCTGGGCACGTCCTTCGCTATTTTGCCTACATCCTCGACGTGCTTGACGACACTCTTGCCCACCTTGCCTGTTGTAGCCTTGAACCCATCTTTGCAGACGGTCTCGATGACCTGTATAGTTGACCGGCGACGGGTTCTTGGCTCGACACCGAAGAAGGGATAGGGATCGAATGCTACGTATTTTGGCGGCGGATCATGGTGGGTTACGTCGTCGTATTGGTGCGGGGATGTTTGGGGTCGACATGGAACACCGTGCTCAAGCGCTGCCGCTGCCGCTGAAGAAGCGAGTGGGAGGCTGGTAGTGCGCTGATGTAAGCCGTGAAGCATAAATGGTCCAGGTCGATGCAGCGCAAGGTTGTTCTCGCTCGCAGTAGCGCTTGGGAGATATAACCCAAACCGCCGCGCATCACTGACACCACTGCTATGAGCTGACCTTCTCCGCGGCCCGGACTCAAGTACCGCTGTATGTATTCCGGGTATATCTGCGATAGCTGCGAGGGTTCGGGCTTGAGGTGAAGGCTGAATGGGAGGAGACTCGGGAGAGGAAGGAAGGGCCGTATCGGACGAAAGGGGACCTGGCGGTAGGGTTGTCGCGTCTTGTAACGTCAAAGCGTGAAGCTCCTCTCGTAAGGCATCCACTCTCGCGTGTCTTCCAACGCTACTAGCAGATGAAAGCAGCTGCGAGCTTTCATTGAACGGCCACATTGGGGTTGCCCACCTGCTGTTGATGTTGGGCGAAGCGGGAGAAGCAGCTCATGAGAGGACGTTGCCTGGAGGAGGGGTGAAGAGGGAAGCATTGCGGGGTGTCGTGCCATGGTTATGCATGTTGTAATTGCGATAGCCGGCTCCAGCAGTAGAGATCGCTCGTAGTGGTTGATGCAGACTGGTTCTGGTCCGCTAAGTCGTAGTGTCCAGCTTGTATCCTACGCGTTGCATCGAGACTGTCGACGGTGCTCTAGACCTCGAATGCTCTCCGGAGGGTGCCGTCGGTCTGGTCTGCTCGTACATGGCGGGTGCGCTCGTGGGTTTGCGATGGGCGAGAGATGGTGTTGAAACCAAATGACGACAGCTCCAGCTACCTCGGACCTCTTGGCAAAAACCACGCCCTCGCAGCGACCTGAAGCGTTACCCTCTCACCAACACGACCCAAGACAGTATAGTCATCATCGCTACGCGCTTTATTCTACCGTACTAGAACGATTGTGCATATCCTTTTCTCAGCTGATTGAAGGCCTAGGTACCTTGGTGTGCTTCCTGCAACGCTGTTCGCATCGAAACGAGCGCAGGCGCAGGCTGACGGACGCGCCACTTTCCCGTGCAACGTATGTACCATCACATAATGCATTCAGCATGCTCTGACGACTATGCAGACAAATTGCAGGCCGTGTTGAACTTGGCAGTATGCATCTTCACATGGTCGGTAGCCCTCTTCGCCTTGAAC